TTGTCTCTATTCAGAGAATGTTATTGACTGTGTATAGATCCTGACCAATCAGGGGAGTTATATCATTTCAGGATGAATAGAGTGAAGGTTTGTGTGTGAATGGCCTTCATTGCAACAATGGGAGACTCTGAATACGCTGGCCTATTCACTGAACAATCAAGATTGAATGAATCAACAATAGGATTGTGCTGGAATTAGGCAGCGTGTTGGTGCGGTGTTGGGAGTAGAGGTCACGACCAGAACACAAGACAGTCCCGAGGGCTCGCGAACAGATTTATTCACGCTCCCTGTTGTATTGGCTGTCTCCAATTGACAGATAACATCCATGTATATCCATCTGCACAAGAGGGCGGTTTCTGAATATACGTGATCTACAGACTAGTGGACGATAATATATGCAGTATACAAACGCCTAACGAATGAGAAGCGACCCTGAGATATAAATAAGGGCATTGGATAGATCATATGGTGGCTCGATAGTCTCCGTGGGCGCATATGATACCCTATTATTGAGCAAAAATCTATGAGCCCGTCGACGCCCGAAGGAATTCACCACCTCTCATAAAGAGTGTGACTACGGAAACTGTGATTACTGAAACTTGAAAGTGACCGGAGAATCATGTATCAGATTATTTGCCCTCGGGACAGTGTGCGCCCTAGAGCAATAACACCAAAAGAACCAACCCCAACCCTCACATACACGTTCTGCCTGCCATCTGCAGGTACGGGTACCACAAGTAGGACGTAGTATAAGCCAAGATGAGCTTCCTGGTGGTCCTGAACGCCTTGCTGTCCCGGAATGACCTCTGCCACGTACCGTTTCCCGAGCAAAATGCAATCAACCTTGGTTAGTTTTTCGCCCTCCTCTGGATCATCGAAGATTAGGTCTTCCTTGTTATGGATGTTATCGAGGAGGACATTGAAGCAGATCCCGCTCAGTTCACGGCTGGAAAAGTCGCATTGAACAGACATATTCCATTCGACCTCCCCAAACGGGATATCCATGTATTCAATCTGGCCATACCGCGCCATCCAAGACCACGATGGAATCGGCCGATTATCCGGGATATTCAATAGGATGAAGTTTGTCCTGGCGCCGTCGCCAAAGAAGACTACGGTGGAGGTAGTTTTGGACGGTGCCGTACTGCGCGTCTGTCCTAAACACGCGAGACAGTCGTTCCTCCAGGCCAAGAACCGCCACTGACCGGTCACTGGGTGATGTTAAGTCAAGAGTCGTGTATTTGGTGTACAGCTCTTGAAACAGTCGCATTTGGCTTTTCCCCGGTCGGTTTTCCACAAAGTGTGGAAAATGAGCATCGGACATCAGGAGCGCTCTTGGACTATATCAAGGGATTAGAATCTCCCACTCGTTACTTCGATGGATTATTAAAGTCTTACTTGCTCATTTTTCCCAGGCTCTCGCACCGCACACCTTTCCCACATTCCCAATACGTCTGAGTGGACGTGAAGTGGATGATTCGACGCGACAACGCTCGCTCCTGGAAGACCCAGCCGCGCTTGTTCAAGCCCCCTTCCATAACGTCGTCTTCAAAATGATCAATGTTCTCGTAGACATATAACGGACTGCTGAACTTCCCACGCAACTTGACAAAGTCGGCGGCTTTTCGGGGCTTCAAAAACCCATCTGACGACCCGCTTGCGGACGTGGCGGCAATGGTGCAATACGCTAGATTATAGTATGTCTCCATCTTCTTCGCTTCGACGTTCCAGTCCTCGAGGCCGGTATCCCAGTGGGCTAAGTGCGGTTGAACAATGCAGAGCGAGTCGATCCAGAGATATCGTACACCGAGTGCCCGGGTCATAATGACTGCATCTTGAAATGTCTTCGGCAGTTCATCAAAGTCAATGCCTTGGAGTCGACTTTCCAGATTGCACCTGTAGGTGCAGAACGTCGGATGCAGCCGGGGGTCGCCCCATCAGTGCGATAGTGTGATATACTTGCCTGTTTCTCCTGGACTTGGCTCGTAAAGACGAATCGCGCGGGAATTGTTTCCTTTTCCTACGTCAATCACCCTGCGTGGAAGATACAGAGCCCAGCAGGAGGGACATTGTCATCATAAACATTGTCATCGGCCCGTGCCAGCATACAGTCATGCTCTTTGTTGCATTCTGAAATCCATTGCCGCACCAACGAAATGTGCGCCGAACTTCCTGCACCTGCGATAGTTGGGAATCCGGATTGTATCTTGGGATATACACCCCTGGCTCCTGTTTCGAAGTGTAAGCATAGGCCCAATCAGCATACGTCGGACCATACCAGGATCAACGCATATCTTCAGTATGACTCCAAATCCGACAATATATAGCGTGGAATCTTCTCGGGCTAAAGTGAATTTCGGCAGACCCCCCAGGTCAAACCGTAGAGAACACTTGAGTAGCAACCTGCAGAGGGCGCAGGTTGTTGCCATCTGTCTTAGAGTCGCAAGATTCACTTCGTGCTCGAAGTCCTCCGTAAGTACGTCGAGCGTAGAACACGCCTCACATATCTTTGAGAATGGAAGCGTCCTGGGCACGATGCGTTTCTTATACTGCCTGAAAAGCTTGGTCAAGAACTGGGGGGTCTCCTCCTCACAAGACCATGAATCTTTGATAGATTCTTCGGCTGTCTGCTGGAGTATCTGTTTGAATACTTCCCGGTATACCGGGTGAGCCTCATAATCGGCCCATTGACGATACTGCACAGGAAGGTCATGGTAGGCATTAAAATCTTCTTCCCTTCTGAAGTAGTCACAGGAAAATGTAATTTTCTGCATGGCAGCCTACCGATCGATAGTATAGGTGATGATAATGACACAAGCTTGTGGTTGAGTGGCCTTTGGTATCTTGCCAAACGCACATGCTGACACTGGCAATCCAAGGGGAGCCGGCATTTATGAAAGGCTGCCAACTAAGCATACACATCTGCCTGGCTGCACTGCAAATGGCCACATTGTGGCGCATCCATGGCGGCTGACTTGCATCTCAGCAGCAGCATTTCTAGACGATTGGGTTGCAGTTATCCTTTGAGCCGGATTCTTCGGAGACGATAGGATTGGCAAGGCTAGATCGTTTTTGCGGTCCTTTGACGCTTCTATTTTCCTTTCTAGTCATCGCAGACCGGCCTTGTTTGTGGGAAATCCTATATCGTTCGACAAGGACATGATGCCTAACTCTGGAGTTATTGAAGCTGCGCGCTCCTCGTCCAGGGACGACACTCCTGATGAAGAAATTGTGCCTGATGGATATAATACATCGAACAATAGTGCTACGGATGGCGAAGGCGATTTCGACGAAGACAGCCTCGATGAGAAAGACGATTCTGCTGAGGACGACTCTGAAGTCGATTCTGAAGATGACGCTGAAGACGAGTCTGATGATGAAGGCTCAAATGAAGAAGAGCTTCATAGTTCACTCTCTACTCCCTCTGAAGATATAGATGCTCTTCTAGTCTATGCAGCGCAGATGGGGAACCGCGAGTATGTCCAAACCCTACTCCAAAAGGGAGCGAATCTGGAAGCCAGCAACAGTCTCGGACAAACATCACTATCTTGTGCTGCAGAAATGGGACACGAAGATGTTGTGGATTATCTAATTGAGAATGGTGCTACATTGGAAACGGAATCACACAGCTGGGTGACTCCACTAGCATATGCTGCGGGCAGGGGCCATCCAGCAGTTGTGTGCCTCCTAGCAGATCGGGGGGCAGAGTTGGACGCGCAGGACAAGAACGGCTTCACGGCTCTTTTCCATGCATCCTTTCATGGAAGGGCAGCGGCGGTCAGGACCCTTCTGGGAAAAGGGGCCAGTTTGCATATTCTGGATAATCGTGGGAAAGGACCAGCAGTTTATGCGGCACGAAATGGTCATCAAGAGGTGGTCGAGCTGCTCACGGCCGATACAACGATACAAGGTTCGGAGGAACTGCTTCTTACTGCTGCACAGAATGGACAAGAAGATATGGTGCGGTCACTTATAGCAAATGGCGCAGCGCTCAGAGACCCTGACGCATTGGAGGATACCCTGCAGGTCAACAACGTACAACCAGTGGAGATTCTTGTTCGCAACGGGGTGAACCTCGCTTCCACGAACTTAGAAAGTCTTTTGGAAAGAGCGGTACTATACGGGCATGGCTCCTTAGCGGAGATGCTCGTTGCCAGGGGTGTTCATGTGCAAGGCAAGAAAGCGGACGAATTGGCAGCACAAGCAGCAAAGAACAAGCTTTGGTCACTTGTTCGGCGGCTTGTGGAAGATGGATGCAGCCCAAATGCAGAGCATTGGCTCGGGCAAACTCTTCTTTCACTGGCGGCGGATGCAGCCGAGGAGGGCATAGCTCGGATTCTCATTCAAAAGGGCGCAGATGTCGAGAAGGCCGATAATTCCGGCAGAACTCCCCTTGCGTACGCTGCAATGAACGGGCACATGGCGATAGTGAAGCTGTTGCTTCAAGAGGCTGCCGATGTTAATCGTTGCTGCTATGACAACATGACTCCGGTTTTCCGTGCAGCACAGGGAGGACATACAAGCATAGTAAAGCTACTTCTTGACCACGGAGCCAAAGCTGATGTTGTCGATAAACACGGCAAAACACCGCTTTTCGTTGCAGCGGAGTCCGGCTATCAGGAGATAGTGCAGTTGCTCGTTGAAAAGGAGGTTGGCTTGGAGCATCTTGATCGGCATCGTGGCAGAACACCACTCATATGTGCTGCAATAAATGGAAATTTGACCATGGCCAGGCTACTTTTAGACAATGGTGCTCAAGTCGACGAACGGGACGAAGACCTGAAAACGCCACTTGCACATGCGGCAGAGAATGGGCATCAGGGCATTGCGCAGCTTCTACTTGAAAGAGGCGCCAACCCTGATGCACAGGACGATGTCAATTTTACACCACTGATGGAGGCCTGTTGGAATAACCAAAGCGGTATTGCTCACCTGCTAGTACAAAAGGGTGCTAAGCTGGATACCAGAGATCGCAGGGGAAGGCCGCCTATCATCCATGCCGCTGCCACAGGCAATACTGAATTAGTTCGAATGCTGATTGAGAACGGTGCCGATCCAAATGTCACCGACAAGCTCCGAGCAACGCCATTCTTATACGCGGCGATGAAAGGAAAGCTCGAAACCATTCAATATCTGCTTGAGCTAGGAGCAGATCTGGAGTCTAAAACCAAGGACAAGGGACGAACGGCCCTGGGACTAGCTGCGGCGAACGACAGTACAGAAGTTGTGGAGTACTTGATCGGCCGAGGGGCAAAATTGGAAACTCCAGATGCATCAGGATATACGCCTCTTTGCATTGCTGCCCAGAGCAACAGCAGCCAAGTTGCAAAGGCGCTCATTCAGAACGGTGCCAACCTAGAAGCGGAAGATGCGGTGGGGATGACGCCTCTCATAGTGGCCGCGCGTAGTGGTTCTGAGAAGACAGCGAGGGTTTTGGTAGAGATGGGGGCGAATGTCCACGCAACAGACCGTACGTGGCGAACAGCCATGTGGTGGGCATCCAATCGCAAGTCTCATAGGCTAGTGCAGTTTCTCGAAGAGCAGGGTGGCACCTTTTGGCATCCAAGATGATTAGGAAACATGCGCTTTTTGGAAGGATTAGATGCAGCTAAGCGGTGAATACATATATATCAGCATGCCCCTAGGTAATGTCCATATCACATACACAAGTAGAGCATCATAACGCCAGTCCAGTGCACAAATGCAATCAACCCCATCAAGCACCGTAGTTCCCATCGCTATTCATTTCGATCCGAAGTCTCGCCGTTCCATGCGGGCACGATGGTTCTTCTCTAGCCGATTTGGCCGCGCCATCAACCTCGGAGAGCCTCTCAGAGCCTGGCATACTGATACCGACGCCCATCCAGCTTCGCCTGTCCGAGGCCTGTTTTCCGTTCCTCGTGCTCTGTCCGTCCGCGAATAAGTTAAAAAAAGAAGTAGAATAATTCAAAATCTTTAATGAGAGGGCTTATAGAGATTCTATTCTCTGAAAACTATATCCTCTGTCTTCTAGTTAATATATTATTAGATATCTAAAGTATCTAGAAAATCCGCATGACTATAAAAGAAGAATGAGAATTCAGGGTAAGTATTGGTATTAAAGAAATAAAATCGTTATAGATAGAGAAGCAGAGGAGAGTCCCGACAGACGACCCGAGATGGCAGACGCGAGCAGATCCCTCGGCATACCGGAGACGCCAACGGTATCCTTTCAGGATAGTGTAGTAGCCCATTTAGACAGTGAACTACCAAGTCCAAGACTTTCCTCGTGCGCAATAACAGCCACTTGTAATTATATCAAGGTCCCAGGGAGCTTATGCATAGTATATCTTTTCTCTATGTGATAGTTGTGTCATCCTATGTTCCATATTGACCATTCCGGGGTATTTCCGAGCACCTACCCGGTACCTACCTAAGTCCTAGGTAGCTAGCATGTGCGGAGTAGGTACACGTAATATGAATTCATTAATTATCCATATCTGCATTAATCATGGGAGGAGATTCATAGCGCATTGCACGAACTGGCTCTCGTGGTACTCATTCCACTCAGTCCTTATCCAGAGAGCATTCACTGGCTGCACGATTCTGTGTGTTGTAGGCATTCATCAACTGAAGCCACGACCAATACAAGCTCAGTATCTACCTAACAACCACCACCAAAAGCCAGTTGGTAGTGATAGCCGGTTCCTGAACGTTCGGGGAGCCTTAATGGCCGATTCCTTTGTAGAAGTATGTATCAAATCTTGGAGATGTATTGAATATGGACGAGAACAAGTTTAAGATCCGAAGGACATTCCGTGAATACAAGCCGAATGAGAGCGCAATATCCCCAGTCACTGGATAAAGCTCTGATGGAAAAAGATATGAGACAACTGCTGAAGCATCGGATTGGAGTACGGGACCTGGGAATCTCCCGCGCCTACACCGGGAGCTCGGGGAGGAGTGCGGGAAGGGGAGACAGCCCCAGAGGATCAAAAAAGCCGAGCTTCATTGCCCGCGGGATGGACCTTAAGAGAAATAACCTGGAGTAGGGCCTGAGGCGTGGGGCGAGGTTCCGCTGTGGAGGGTCTGCGCATGGACGAATGTTGGATCGGCCACGCAAAGGCAATGGTGACGGGAAGTGTGGAATTCGGAATAACATGCCGGAACCGCCTTCGTCGGGAGAATCGGATGTGGTGACCAGATTGGGTAATATGAGGGTAAGGTCAAGGTCACTAAGGTATATGGGAGACTCGAACTTGTCCTGGTGATGGATGTGATGTGTTCGGTAGGTTTAGGGTTCTGATAGTTTATAAGTATGTAAGGGGGATCTATCTAGTATCTATAGGGTTTGAGAGATCCTATGAAGACTCTGTAAAGAGCATCCGTATGATATCCTACTCCGTAATAACTACAAGAGTAGTTAAATGTTAGTTCATAATTCATACAATTTCACCACCCCATCCAGATGCCAGATGAAAGACCAGTGGAGAAGGCAAAGGATAACCGGCATGCCCTGCGCCAATCAGATGGTCAGGAATGCGAACTCCCGGGGACTCTGCCGACACCGTCCAAGGCACGTGACGTCTCTCCACTTACCGAGTCTCGTTTCCGCCGCCGTGCTGGAACGCTCGGAATCGACAGCGGCATTCCTCCCCGCAGTCTGGTTGCTGCCTCTGACGTGACGCTCGCTGACGAACTCGCTCTCTCTCTCCACGATCCAGCCGATGCTCACTGCCGTTATGCTTCTCCGTCAGCCACCTCTGGCCTTCTGGATGGGTCCGTTTCCCCAGCTCTTTGGCGACTTATATATGAACTCTCACATCCCCAGTCATGTCTCAACATTTCTCTCTCTATCATCTTGTTCCTCTTTCTTTATATTTTCTGAGGTGAAGGACAACGGGTGATGGTATTTGATTTGAACCACCCCTACTGAGATACCCATCCTGTTACACCACATTCTCCCCGCACATCTTTCCTCCTCCCATCCTCACCATGGCTCCTTCCGATAACCAGTATGACATTGTCATCATCGGTGCCGGCCCCGTCGGTATCCTTCTCTCCCTTTGCATGTCGCGATGGGGTTACAAGGTGAAGCACATCGATAACCGCCCCGTTCCCACGGCCACCGGTCGTGCCGATGGCATCCAGCCCCGTTCCACCGAGATTCTGCGCAACCTCGGTCTGAAGCGTCAGATCATGGCCTACCACCCCGCCAAGGTCTACGATGTGGCTTTCTGGGACCCTCTGCCCGGGGGCAAGGGTATTCATCGCACCGGTAGCTGGCCTAGCTGCCCCCGTTTCATTGACACCCGTTACCCCTTCACCACCCTCGTCCACCAGGGAAAGATCGAGCGCGTGTTCATCGATGAGATCGAAAAGGCTGGCGGCACCATCGAGAGACCCTGGACCATCGTCGGATTCAAGAACGATGGCTTGGACAAGACCTACCCCGTCGAAGTCCAGCTCAAGTGCATTGACACCAACGTTATTGAGACGGTTCGCACCAAGTACCTCTTCAGCGGGGAGGGCGCTCGCTCGTTCGTGCGCCAGCAGCTCAACATCCCCATTCATCACAAGGACCCCATCGCCTACGTCTGGGGTGTCATGGATGGTGTCGTGAGAACCAACTTCCCCGACATTGAGGTACGCCCGATTTCTCCCTTTAGGAAGTGATCGTCAACTAACACGCTGCGAACAGACCAAGTGCACCATTCACTCCGATGCTGGTTCCATCATGGTTATTCCCCGTGAGGACAACATGGTTCGTCTCTACGTGCAGATCGCCTCCTCCAGCGACCCCGACTGGAACCCCAGAAAGACCGCCACCGCCGAGGAGGTCCAGGCCACCGCGAAGAAGATCCTCGCTCCCTACTGGATCGAGTGGGACCGTGTTGAGTGGTACTCCGTCTACCCCATCGGTCAGGGTATCTCCGAGCGCTACACCCTCGATGAGCGTGTCTTCATGGGCGGCGACGCCTGCCACACTCACAGCCCCAAGGCCGGTCAGGGTATGAACACTGCTTTCCACGATGCTCTGAACATGGCCTGGAAGCTGCACGCCGTCGAGTCCGGTCTAGCTGAACGCTCCATCCTGAGCACCTACGAGTCCGAGCGCAAGGACATCGCCGAGACCCTCCTGAACTTCGACGCCAAGTACGCTGCGTTGTTCTCGAAGCGTCGCCCCACTGCCGGAGAAGTTGGTGAGGCCAGCCACATGGTCGCCAAGGTTGGCACGGATGAGGACGAGTTCGTCAAGACCTTCAAGTCTTCTTGCGAGTTCACCTCCGGATACGGCGTGGCCTACAAGCCCAACGTCTTCAACTGGGATGAGAGCCACCCGGCCCAGTCTCCTCTCTTCGGCGTCCCCGGCGTGAAGCTGAAGGTCGGCCGTGCTTTCACTCCTACGACCGTGACCCGTCTGGCCGATGCCAACTTTGTGGATCTGGAGCAGGAGGTGCCTGCCAACGGTGCATTCCGTATCTTCATCTTTGCCGGCAAGCAGGCCAACACCAAGAAGGCCATCAGCGACCTCGCCGCCAACCTGGAGAAGGAGCGGTCCTTCCTCTCTGTGCACCGCCGCCCCGACATCGCCGATGTGTCGTTCTTCGAGCGCCATCAGCCGCACTCCAAGCTCTTCACTATCTGCGTCATCTACGCCGCCGAGAAGAACCAGGTTGACATTGACTCCGTGCCCAAGATCCTCCGTGACTATCACCATCACATCTACGCGGACGACATTCCGGATGTCCGGGTGCCCCAGGCTCAGTTCGCCGCTCACGAGAAGCTTGGCTTCGATCCTGAGAAGGGTGGTGTTGTGGTCACCCGTCCTGACAGCCACGTTGCCTGCACTGTCCAGCTGGCTGAGGGCAGTGGCACCGTGGATGCCCTGAACGCATACTTCAATGCTTTCTCGACGAAGCCCATTGGCCAGGACGCTCAGCAGAGCCGTCTGTAAATGTATATTTCAAGACTGACGCTGTTTATGTGATGTATATAGTCTCGTTTTCTTCCTTTTCGTTTGGTCTCTGGTCTCATTCAGAGCGATCATGACCTAGCATTATTGGCGTTTGTTATATATCCCTCAATACAATATTTTAGACGAATACTTGTCCGTGTAGTTGTAGTTCAAGTGGACCTTGTCAAGTTGTTTGGTGTTGAAGGATCTCGAGGCAAATCGCTTACTAACCCCTCCTACTTTGGCATCGCCGCCAATCATCATTCTTCCCCGCACCACCAACATCCCTCCCATCTTCCTCAGAGTACAACAACACTTCCTCCAGATTGATAATCCGACGAGATGCTTTCTCTTCTCCTCACTGCTGAGCTCAACGGGTAAGAGTAACTGGTATTTTGTTCTCTGTTGCGACACTCAGCATTCAACGAGCGTGCAGCCCTTGTGCTGCGCTTCCCCGCACCCATAGTTGATGCGCTGTATAACACCCGACTGACATTGTACAGCGTGACCGACCTCCGTCCGAAGGACACCGAGGACGAGCCCTACTACTACACGTTCAAAGTGCAATGCACTTCGTGTCGGGAGACGCACCCGAACTGGGTCAGCTTCAACCGGTTTGTATGTCTTCCTGCGGATCCGTCATGTTTTTATTTCAAAGTATGATCTCAGGATTTAACGCTGACGCTTGGTGCAGGAACAGCATGAGATCCCCGGAAGCCGTGGAGAGGCCAACTTTGTGTGGAAGTGCAAGCTCTGTCAGGTTTGTCGCAGTGAACTTCTTCCACGTCCTGTTACTGAGTGACCTTATACAGAAAACCCACTCGGCATCTATCATCGCCGGTCCTAATGCGTACGCGGCGGAGGACAAGCGCAAAGGCCAGAAGATCATTGAGATCGACTGCCGCGGTCTGGAGTTCACCGAGTTCAAGCCTGATGTTTGTGTTTGAAGATTGCTGAATCGAGGCTACAAGCTAACAGGCTACTAGGGCGAGTGGGAGGCCAAGGGGGTGGAGTCTTCGACGCCGTTCACGGTCACTGACTTGACCGAGGGCGAATGGTACGATTACGACGAAAAGGCCGGGGACGAGGTTTCTATCAAGGAGATGACCTGGGAGGTTGGCAGAGCTTGATGGCGATGTGCCCTGTTAATACGAGTTGATGATAGCATTCTAACGTGTCTAATTATGTGGTGATGGATGTTGTATGTGGTGTGGAATGGATGTGAGGTGATTGTCTGCGCATTAAGGACCCATTCTGTGTAGTTATTAGGAATGTCAAGGCCAGGATATCTCTTCAGGTCGTTCATTCAGTTGGTCACATTTTCGTGTGGAATGCCTGAGGTATCAATTGGTGCTATCAAGGCGGTGGGAGATGGAGCCCTCTGATTGGCCTGGACCCCGTCAGAACTTCACCAGCGGAGATTCTTCCTTCAGCGCAACACGCGATCTCGACAACGACCGACCACGCGCTCTCCATCTTCCATTTGTCTTGTCGGTGTCAGTCTCGGTGTCCTGCAGTACTTGGACACATATACTCCGCCACGCCACCTCCCAGTCTCACATATTCAACACAACCAGTGAACAATGAGTGTACGTGACCTGTCGATTCTTCCATCCTCGCCGTATAATTCCCATCGGCGCGCATTGTTCCATCTGAAGGCTTTGCTGACGATTTTCCTGCAGTTCCAACCGGTTAACCCTCGGCCGTTTCTCCAAGCTCGGTACGCATCCTGATCTCGCACCCCCGACCGCAATCCCTCGCTATGCTCCAGTGCAGCATTGTCTAACGTGGATTCTAGGGTCGGCACCGAGCTCATCATCCGTCTCAAATGGGGTCAAACAGAGTACAAAGGCAAGCTGGAGAGCATTGACTCGTACATGAACGTGCTGCTGCGGGATACGGAGGAATACATTGACGGAAAGAACACTGGTACTCTGGGTCTTGTGTTGATTCGGTACGTCTCCTTTCGCTACTGCGTTAAGCACGCACACTCGACGTGCTCACCTGGCTCTTTTTGAACACCGCTAATCGGCTCTTGCAGGTGTAACAACATCCTCTGGATGGGATCGGCAGACAGCGTCGAGATGACGGATTTGGGACTGCGGTAGAGATATACCCTGGTATCTGCAGCTGAGCGTCGCTTACGGGACACTCCTCCGCGACAACATCGTTACTATACCCGTCGATTTGCCTGAGATACACATGAGTGACGTCCATGGATGGTTGTTGGGGAAAGAATGAAGCGAGGAAGAAGATGAAAGAGGGCACGGGCTATGCTATAGGAACCCGTTATCACGGCTCGCTCCCGTTTGTTTTTGATTTCTGGTACGAGGCGTTTTTCAATAATGGCTTCTCAATCTTGCAATCTTGGGGGTGCTTTTCGGACTGTACAGGTCGGGATGAGCGATATCGTGGGATGGACTGACGGATTTGTCCTGCGGCTTGACTCCAAAATGAAAATTATAGAACCCTGGCTCTACTTGATAATGACACTTCTATTCCAAATTGTGCTGTTGTGTGTTTGCTGGAGTTGTGTAGAGTAAGGTGAACCCCGGGCGGACGATAAATCTACCCCACCTTGTTGATATTAGTGATTCTCCCCGCAACCACTCTCATCGACCACGACGAGCTACGTGGTATAGAAAGCTGATCACTATGGCTCATTTAGATGGTCAATCGGATCCATCCGGTGATACATATTACAACCTGGGCTCCTATCATCGCGACGTGAGCACGAATAGTCTCGAAGCTCAGACGTGGTTCAACCGAGGCCTCATCTGGACCTACGCCTTCAACCATGAAGAAGCAGCAGAGTGTTTCCAGAAAGCCATCACTCACGATGCCAACTGCGCTATGGCCTTCTGGGGACTCGCATATACCCTCGGCCCTAACTACAACAAACCGTGGCAGTTCTTTGAGCAGCGCGAGCTGGAGACAACCGTACAACGCACATATCAAGCAGTTCAAAGCGCCAGGAACAACACTGCCACAGCTACGCCCGTGGAAACGATGCTGATAGCGGCTCTGCAACACCGGTACCCACACAATCAACCATCCTCAGACTTATCCATGCGGAATGTATCCTACGCCAACGCCATGTCCTCCGTCTACAGACAGTTCCAGAACGACCTCGACGTGGCCGCGCTCTACGCCGATGCCCTCATGAATCTCACCCCGTGGGAGCTCTGGGACATCAAAACCGGCCAACCAGCCGCCAACGCACGCACTCTGGAAATCAAGGCCGTGCTGGACCGCGCCCTCGCTCAACCCGGAGGGCTGCGCCACCCCGGCCTGCTCCATCTCTACATCCACCTAATGGAGATGTCCGGCGCCCCCGAAACCGCCCTCACAGTCGCCGACCACCTGCGCGGCCTCGTACCCGACGCAGGCCATCTCAACCACATGCCCACGCACCTGGACATCCTCTGCGGGGACTACCGCGCGGCAATGGCCTCCAACCTGGACGCTATCCGCGCCGACGAACGCTTCGTCGCGCGCGCCGGCCCCGTCAACTTCTACACCCTCTACCGCTCGCACAACTATCATTTCCGCATCTACGCCGCCATGTTCGCCGGCCGCGCGCGCGTCGCCCTCGACACCGCCGCCGAGCTGGAAGCCTCCATCCCGGAGGAGCTACTGCGCGTGGAGTCCCCGCCCATGGCGGACTGGCTGGAGGGGTTCCTCGCGATGCGCGTGCACGTGCTGATTCGGTTTGGACGGTGGCAGGAGATCCTCACGCTGCAGCTGCCACAGGATGCGACACTGTACGCCGTCACGACGGCGATGATTCACTACGCGAAGGGCGTTGCGCTAGCCGCGACGGGTGCCGTGGAGCCGGCGGAGGATGAACAGCGAGAATTCCGCAAGGCCGCTGCGGCGGTGCCCGCCTCGCGCATGCTGTTTAACAATCGCTGCGTGGATATCCTCGCCGTTGCGGGCGCCATGCTGGACGGCGAACTGGAGTATCGGCGCGGAGAAGCGGAGACAGCGTTTGCGCATCTGCGGCGGGCGATCGAGCTGGACGATGGTCTGCCGTATGATGAGCCGTGGGGGTGGATGCAGCCGACTCGCCATGCGTATGGGGCGTTGCTGCTGGAGCAGGGGAGGGTTGAGGAGGCGGCGGCGGTGTATCGGGCGGATTTGGGGCTGGACGCGACGCTTCCGCGGCCATTGCAGCATCCGAATAATGTGTGGGCGCTCCATGGGTATCATGAGTGTTTGGTGAAGCTGGGGAGGGAGGACGAGGCGAGGATTATTGGGCATATGTTGAAGATGGCGGTTGCGACGGCAGATGTGCCCATTCGGTCGTCGTGCTACTGTCGCAATGCGTCGAATTGATAGATAATAGTATCGTATAGTTGTGTGCTGCATGTGATTAGATCTACACTGAGTAGAGTAAATAAATGCTGACAGATGCAAGGGACCGCCGTTTGTGCAACTCCCACCATCTCATTTGACCATCACCATTGCAATGAGACTCTTCGCATGGATAGAACACCTATGGGGTATCCAAGTCGCATGGGCTCTCTCAGAGCCAGGTGCTTTTGCGCAACGATGTCGCTCTTTTCTCGCAGGCCACCTCGCCAATTCTCAGCGTCCAACGGTGGACTTTGTCGCTGCAGGAACAAACCTGACATTCTACGGCACCAACACAACCTGCGATCATGTAGCGATCACTCTCCCTACTGATCTCTGTCGGGTCGCACTGTCTGTTCCCACATCGACCCGGTCAGGCGTGGACGTCGAACTGTGGTTTCCCAGCAACTGGACCGGTCGATTTCTGCAGACGGGCAATGGGGGGATCGATGGATGTCAGCCCCCTCCTCCACAACAGGTGGCTTCCCCTGAACTGACGAAAAGTAGGTATCCGATACGAGGACCTGGCCTACGGCGTCTCCAACGGGTTCGCGACAGCGGGGTCCAACAACGGCCACGACGGCAAGACCGCAGCCGCGTTGTACCAGAACGACGAGGTCACCATCGATTTTGCCTGGAGAGCGTGCGCCCACCCCTGACTCTTCCATTCCCACATGTTGCGCCTAACCGGGTTTGTCATGCAGTCTTCGCGCGAGCGTAGTCGTGGGCAAAAACCTCGTCGAATCGTTCTACAACAAACCCCACAGCAAGGCTTACTACATGGGCTGCTCCCTGGGCGGCCGCCAGGGCATCGACGCCGCAGCCCGATTCCCCGACGACTTTGACGGGATTCTCGTCGGCGCGCCGGCCGTCGACTTCAACAACATGACATCCTGGCGAGCGAGTTTCTTCCCCATCACCGGAAGGCCTGGGTCTCCGCAGTTCCTCACTAAAGCGCAGTGGGCACTGGTGCACCGCGAAGTGCTCAGGCAATGCGATGGGATTGATGGCGTCGAGGACGGAACCATCAGCGACCCGACGTTGTGTCAGTTCCAGGCGGATCGTCTGCGCTGTGTCGCCGGCCGCGTCGATGGATGTCTGAGCACTGCGCAGGTCGAGACCGTCCGCAGGGTGTTGGGTCCGCTGGTAGACGAGGACGGCCAGCTTATCTTCCCGGCTATGCAGCCTGGTAGTGAGATCGCCGCGGCGGAGGGACTGTACTCTGGTACGCCGTGGCTGTATTCTACCGTAGGAACCCATCCTTCCCCCAAACTACAAATACCTCGATCTCATTGATGCCACCAGGAATGGTTCAAATACGTCATCTACAATCCCACCTGGGACCCCGCCAGCTTCACCGTCCACGACGCCTACGTCGCCGACGCGCGGAACCCAGGCGCCATCCGCACCTGGCCGAGCGATCTGTCCGCGTTCCGCCGCCGGGGCGGGAAACTCATCCTCTACCATGGCCAGCAAGACGAGAAAATCACCAGCTTCAATTCCCAGCGCTTCTACGATCACCTGTCCGTTGCCATGGGGCTGTCCTCCGCGGCCATGGATGGCTTCCTGCGCTTCTTCCGCGTGCCGGGGATGGGCCATTGCTCCGGGGGACCTGGGGCCTGGTGCTTTGGACAGATGGGCGGGGCGAGCGCGCAGGGCGTGCCGTTTGAAAGAGAGACGAATGCGCTGGCGGCGTTGGTGGCGTGGGTGGAGGAGGATGGGCCTGGCCCGGACACGGTCCTGGGGAGGAAGTTTGTGGACGACCGGGTGGACCTGGGGGTTGAGAAGGAGAGGGCTCATTGTCGGTATCCGCTACGGAGTATGTATGCGGGTGGCAATGCCTCGCTGGCGGGGAGCTGGAGGTGCATGTAGGAGGTGCTTTATAGGGCACAATGCTTCTAGCATACTATTGGACCGTCCCTCAACCATAAAATACCCCCTCCTGGGTACTAAACCCCGTATTCGCAAAGATCCCAGCCCACATGTCCTCATCGCAGAAGGGAAAATGGCGTGGCTCGTCCGGGTGCCCGGTCATACTCAGGGTGGCGTTGATGGCCGGCTCGCAGAGCTCCCTATAGCTGTCTGGCGTTGGTCCCTGTGTCTGCTCATCTGGCGCATACGCCTGCTTCTCCGCGTGTTGCGGGACGACCGACCGCAGGACAGGCTCCGCTGCCACCAAGCGCGCCGGCTGATCGTGCGCGGCGGTCCGCACGCGGTTATTCCGGATAGTCGTGTATTCGAAGAGAAGCTTGTCCAGGAAACGGGCCTGCAGGTTGCAGCTCGACCCCGGAGGAGAGGATTGGTCCGCGAATACCTTGGCTGCGTCACGGATTGTTTTGAGGGTGCTGCTCTCGATCTCGCTGGTGATTGCTGCAGGCGCGGAGAGGAGGATCTAACCTATGGATGAGATTTGGCGGATTGACAGGAGTCGGGGTAGGGAAGAAGGCACCTTGACGAGAAATACCGCCGCGTAAGCAGTCATCACATGGATAGAGTCCTGGACTAGATACAGGAACGGAGCGTATTCCGTGACGAGCGCCAGCATTGTCGCCGCGTTCTCGTAGCTGACCCAGAAGGGCGTCATATCGCGGACGCCGTCGGCCCGTGGAATGCCCGTTTCCTGGAGGGGGATGGAGAAGAGTTGTAGATGTAGGTGGGCGCAGTATAGGCGGATGAGAAAGGCGTGGCAGGTGCCTGTTCATTAGATCTGAAATTGCGCTGGAGTGTCCAAGGGAAATGCATACCTGCACCCACCACACCGAGCCACTTTGCCTCCAAAGCCTCGATGCGCACTTTGAGGACTGAAAAAAACCGGCCCTGATGAGCTGTGGAATGCTTTTTCTGCGAGGGCAGAAGATCAAACGTCTCCGCGGTCAGCAGCCGGAGCGCCACAAAGGTGCACAGCAGGTTGTCGTTGGCGCTGGCCAGCGGATCTTTCCCCCATGTCTCGACCGACTCGATGAACTCTGTCCGCTCGATCATCCACGGCTTTCCGGTTTGGAGACTTAGACTGTGGCGCTGCTTAGCATGGTTCATCGCAGACACACACCCCCTCACTTACCTGCGGTCGTACACGAACAGGACCAGCAACGTGCGCTCGTCATTTCTCAGCTCCCTCCGTTCGAGCTCGTTGAGCCCACTGCGGCTCGCGGGATCGGTGGAGAGTTTGTGCCAGCCAAGGTCCATGGCGATGCGGATCGCAAGGCCGACGGAGGTCCAGGCTCTGGTATCATTGGGCTCCTTCCAGTAGGTGAGGATCAGGATTGCCTGGACGATTTCGGTTGATTTCTCGCCGCGGCGGAAGCAGTCGCTGAAAAGCTTTTCTGCGTGCTCGTGCAGACTGGGATATAATTCGGACTGGAAGGCTTTGGATGATGCGGCCAGGACTGTGGTGAGAAGAAACGGGGATCTGCGTCGGATGTATTGGAATGAGTGCAGTAGAGGGTCTAGTTGGCAGATGTAGGGGTTCATCTTGCCCATGAAGCTGCATTATGCTTAGATTTTGCAAACTGCTGCTCTGTGGAGGGTATTAGCACTCACTATTCAAACAGAAACAAGGCAACATGATGATTGACCAAGCCCAAGGCCAGAGGATCGTCCGGGGACACTGGCGGCGACGTCGTCGACCTGTCCACGGTCGATCCATGATCGGTGCTTAGGATATTCTGCAGGCTGAACTTGCCCTTCATGGCTTGATGGCTCAGCAGGGCATCGGGCTGGAGTCTGTCCGAGTCGGCCCAGAAGTCCGCCGTGCGCTCCCTCTCGGGCGGAGACTGTCTCGCGGGCGCAATATCTCTATGTGTCTGCCTTGTAGATGGGTCCTCTGTGTGTGCCGTCTTTGGCACCAACCTGGTCACAATCAGCAAGAAGCAAAGTCAGCCGGAAAAGCCGAGTCCTACCGCATTCCCGGCTTACGACCGCGACGATGCTTGCGAAACGTGCAGTCTAGACTCTTGCGAGCGCAGCGATCGCATTTGGCGGCGTTGGCCGTCGTCACGCATCGCATCTTGACCTTGCGACACGGCAGGCAGGCGTTTATACTGATAGGGTCAGAACGGTGCCCGAGCGGGTGGCTTGGATCCCTCACCTTGGCTTTTGCGGATTGGAGGAGCCATGCCGGAGATTGGCTGCGTCTGGTGATGACATGTTATACACCGACAGGATGGGGATGCTGTATATGGTCTTGCTTCTTGACGCCGGCAGGAGATGAAAAGGGGGGATGGGCAGTGGGTGATGGGGGCCAAATGGTTTAGCCGAGAGCGTTCAACGGAGTCACAGCACAGTCACTGCATCGTGAAGCAATACACTCTATACAAACAGCCTGCTGCTCTCACACCTACCGCACCTATACTCGTAGATCGTGTGGATATCCAGAACGAGGCTGGTGGAGAGATGTTTGTCACAGCGATAAGTCATCTCCCCGCACCGGCGATTTTCGTGAGACGCCGGCCGTGCTTAGTTGCCGAGGGCCATCATGAAGGATCAAAAAGGCGCTGAAAAGACCCCTGCAGTCGGGGCAAATAGATCAGACAATCCCTGCTTATCTGACAGCTAGCTTGGAGCGTTTATCGATCTATACAAGCCACAAAAACGTACATCCCACGATGACTGCCAACAAGGCTGTGGCGGCCCATGTCAACATGATGGCAGATACCATCATCGCCAATCTGCCAGTTGATGGGCTGCGGACTGTCGTGCGTGGGATTCTGACGAGCAAGTCAGATATGGTCGCTGTGTTGGAAGAACAGACAAAAGAATATCTGCGTGAAACGGCTGCGCGATTCTCCAACGCCGTTGTAATCGAACAGCTACCGGATGGATCGTTCAAGACAACATCGTTATTTGACGAACTGCAGCAGCGGATTCGCTGTTCGATCGGGTGCGGAATGTGCTATCAGACTCTGCCTCTTCTTCAGGCGATTGTCGACCAAGCTGCGCCCATCACGCTCCGTCCAGACCAGACCCAGCCTTACCGAGACACCTTCCTGAGCAAGGTTGCATCAGTCGATGCGGACATAGTCCAGGCCATGACGGCCGTGCAAAAGACCCTCTTTGTGGCAGAGGGAACGCGAGACCTGACAGACGCGGAAAGACAGCCCATGGAAGCGCTGCTGCGATCGTTGGTGGATTGTCGAGCCAAGTGGGAAGGCAAACAGCAGACATTTGTATTCGAACGGGGACTTGACGCAGTAAACGGCATACTGAACCCGGCAGCAGCTGACGAAGCAACGACGAAACTTCCAGAGTCTCTATCAGAGCCTCCCCGATCGATTGGAGAGACCTTCGAACTGGCAGAGGGTGTCCGACTGCCACGCATCTTCAACGGACTCTGGCAGCTATCTAGTCCCTCCTGGGGCGCGGCATCTAGACCTAAGATTCTGGAGCAGTTGTCACATTACGTGAGTAATGGTCTGATTGCCTTTGATATGGCCGATCATTATGGAGACGCCGAGATCGTTTTCGTAAGTTGTCTTCTCGCCCGGCCTGTTCCTTTCTTATACGCGCATTGCAGGGCCGATACCGCTCTTCTAGCAAGTACTCGCAGTCTATGTTCGCTGCTACAAAGTATTGCGTTTTCCATCCTATGACCGTCACGCGTGAGGCTGTTCGTGCCAATGTCAGCGAACGCTGTCAGAGGCTGCGAACGGAGAAATTGGATCTGTTGCAGTTCCATTGGCAGTTTGTGGGTTTGAACCATCTATCAACAGCGGAGTATAGCTGATGCATATGGGTAGTATGAGGATCCTCAGTATATCGACGCCCTGCGGTATCTACAAGAAGATGACCGAGTGCAGCACCTCGGTCTCTGCAACTTTGATACGGAGCATATGCAGAACGTGATTGAAAGCGGCGTCCAGATTGTGACCAACCAGGTCCAGGTGTGTTCCCACTGCTGTCCTCAAGAACTTACTATACTAATGATGATACAGTTTTCTCTTATAGATTCCCGGCCGGTCATGCGGATGGTAGAATTCTGCGAGAAGAATAATGTCAAGCTTCTTACATATGGTACACTGGTACGTCAAACCATGAAAATTCCAAGAAAATCATCATGATGGATGTCTAATGAACGTAGTGCGGCGGCCTCATAGCAGAGAAATGGATCGGCCAAGATGCTCCCGATCTCTACGGCGAGAAGATGACTCCCAGTCTACGCAAGGTACGGTTCCAAGGCGCGGATTGCAGAAACATACATTGACTTTCATAGTATTACGCCATGATCCAGAGCTGGGGAGGTTGGGACCTTTTCCAAGAACTACTCCGTACCCTCCAATCCATTGGACGCAAACACGGTGTGTCGGTGTCCAACGTCGCCACCCGGTGGGTTTTGGACTTCCCCTGTGTGGGAGCCGTTATCGTAGGTGCCCGGATGGGGGTGAGTGAGCAGTTGCAGGGGAATCTGGATAGCCTGGGCTGGACCCTTGATGAAGCAGATCGGACGGCAATCGAGGAGATCCTGGTACGCAGTCGGCGGATGGAGATGTTTGAGAGCATGGGAGATTGCGGTGGGGAGTATCGACTGTAGATTATGTTTGTATATTGGAATTGATACAATAGTCCCTGCTTTAGACCTGTATTCATGAAACCTGGGTATTGGCTTAGATGAAATGAATCCACCGCTTGTACCAGGGCTGCTCTGAGCCCTCCTGCGGTATATAATCCCCATACGCCTTTTCCTGTTCCATGGCATCGAATTCGGCCTGGAAATCGATTTCTCTCAGAGGGATCACCTTGGACCTCAGCCAAAATTTGAAAAATATATACAGAGCTGCAGGTTATAAGTTGCATGTCCACCATGAAGGATAGTGATACTGACCGGCAAAGATGGCAATGTTCAAATAGGAAGTAAGGAATCCAGACGCGGTGAAGTTGCCCTTGGTGAATACATCGAATCCTGTGGACAGTTAGAGACAAAGTTCCATGGGAAAGACACCATTGCATACCCGAGAAGAGAACAATCATGACCACCATGAATAACGTGGCCCATGCCGTGTACGGCTGCAGCGGACTGCGATAGGGGAGTTCTTTCAACATCAGCACGGGTCGCCCATTCCACTAGACACGAGGTACTCACTCTCCCGAGAATGTCCCTGCGCCTTCATACCCGCATAGAAGCGCAGATACGTCACCTCGATAACGATCCAGCCGATCAGACCGGCGACGGTGGTGATGTTAACAAACCAAGAGAACACGGTCGACGCGCTACTTCCCAGCGTCATGTACCCCAGCGGCATCAAGATGCAGGTCATGCCGACAGCAAAGTAAGGCGTGCCGAAGCGATTACATTTCTGGAAGAACCCCGGGGCATGGCCATCGCGGCTGAGGCCGTACAGTGTTCGTGAGGCAATGAAGATACAAGCCGAAGCGCTGCTAATGGCTGACGTGCACACCACCGCGTTAATGATGTGCGGGAGAACCGAGACTCCAGCGCGGTGGAATGCGATGACGAAGGGGGAGGTCTTTGCGGTTCCGGATGAGACGGTCAGGTCGGGGTCGTTGGATGGTCTGGTCGATCAGCCGTTGTGTTTGAGAGAGCAGTGTCTGTGATAGAGGGGATGGCTTACACGATCAATCCCACGATGAAAATACTCAGGACGTAGAAGAGAAAGACTCGCACGAAGGTCTTCCTGGTCGCAGCTGGGATGATCTTGCGCGGGTTTCTTGTCTCTGTTCCGGAGATGGCCACGACCTGGATGTTTCCATAACTAAAGGCCGACGTCAAGAGGACTTTCCAGAAGGCGAGAAACCGGCCAGCGGATCCAGTGTCGATGTATTCGTTGAACGCGCCCGGATCGTGCCAGTAGCGGAAGCCGATATATTCATGATTTGGGCCTCCCCCAGCGTTGATGACAATCCCACCGATAATCAGCCCGACGATGAGCATGATTTTGAGCGAGGCGAAGACGACCTCCGACTAGACAGGGTGAGCACAGGGCAGCAGAAGTGCTTCGACGCGCATACCTCTCCATACAGACGGACGCCGCAGAAGTTGACGACGACGATGAACACACCAAAGACAGTGATCCAAACCGCCGGACTGACGTCCACATCCCAGAATTGGACCAACGTCGCCGCAGCGGTGATCTCCGTCGGCGCCGAAATGGCCATCGTATACCCTGGAGAGTTAGTCGCGATCGGCGCAGCGAGAGTCCGTATACATACAAAAGTTCCATCCTGTCGCAGCGCCCAGCGCCGGCTCCACGAACCTCGTCGCATGGCGAATGAAGCCGCCGGTAGAGGGCATGAAGGCGCTGATTTCGCCCGTCGTGTACGCAACCCCGGCCGTTACAAATCCCATAACGATATAGGCCAGAAAAGCCCCCGCTGGGCCGGCAATCGCGATGACTTGGCCGGAGCTCAAGAAGAGGCCGGTTCCCTGATGACGATGAGTGGATATTTCCCCAGGAAATACTATGTCAAGCATGAATGGGGCCAACACTCACGATCATGCCTGCAATAGCAATCATGTTAATATGGCGCGACCGGAGATCGCGTTTGATCTCCTCTCCCTCTTGCCCGGACGCCATTTGGATCTCGGCGTCGACATGGGTATGGTGTTTCTCATCCTGAAAGAAAGAGCCCATGATGACCAGCAACTTTCTCGATGTGTGAAAAGTCCCTGTCGGTGGACGACCGTCGTCAGGGGGCGAAAGCCACAAGCGCTATCGGCATGCTTGTGCTTAGTATCTCTGCAAGGACGGGGAACACCGGCGCTAAAGGAATCCTGCAGGACGTGCGCACTAAAAGACGCCGGCCGGTTGAAATTCCCCGGTCGATCAGATGGTGCATATATTTTGCCTATGGGATTTGAGCGCGAGTCGCTGTTCATACAAGTCGAGATATATTGTGGTTTGATTCGCCATGTCCCAAGACGAGTCGTTTCAGCTCTATGACCTCCGCGTCGAGGTAGTATGTCCCCCAGGGAAGCGGATCATGTGTGGTGCAAAAGAGGGCGATTATTTCACTCTCAAAGGGGAGATGATGTATCTGCCACCAGGTCAGGGGATCAGCATCTACAGCCTGGGTAGGTGATGTTGATGGTGTGGTATGATGTGGGCTGATGTATATACAGCCTCTGTTCTTCCTTTGCTGGCTTGCAAGCAGCGAATGACCCATGAGAATGACTGGATGACGACAGATTCGCTCATCGCATGTCCCGATCCTCATTGTCCATCGCAGTTGAAGATTATTCGGACGGGAATTTCCACATTTAATCACTCGGAGACGACGGTGGTTCCACTGAGGACCTAATTTTTACTAGTTTACGTGTGACTGAGATACAGCGGAAAAGCGAATCTTACATGTTTTCAAGGCATATATTGTCAATGAACCCGTGGGAAGACAGCTGGATATGATGCCTCGGTGTGCACGAGGAGGCGAAATGTATGGAGCTAACACAAGAGGCTCAATACAGCCGGAATATCATCTCCATCATACGAGAATACTGCATTGCTCCAGTATACGATACTCGAACGATCAATGAACGTGATGTCTCAGTTGATAACAGTGCGATAGACTGAAACAGGTGAAAGATGCACTGATGAACAAGGTATATACCTACAAGAGCTTCATGGCGATGCTGAAACTGCCGGTCAACATACTCTCTGTGTAATCCGTGGCTATGTTTCGACTTCATTATCCTCTCTATATGAGTATGCTTTTCATGATTGCTCGGGCAAAGACAACCCCAGTATGTTGAACCCTGCTTCTTCATCAAAGTCTTTGTTCCTACAGGCATTCTCCTTAGCAGACAATGGCATTCATCTTGTAAACCCCCGGCTCTCGAAGAATGCCAGACAAAGAAACAAAGAACGGAACATGACATGGATGTTGTATAGTCCCATGAAGGCATCTCCCTTCCACCTCTTATGCGGTGATCTACTCGAGCACTATTTAACTGGTCTCTCGCCTGCTTTTTCCTCTCATCTTCTCACCATCACCCATCGTTTCTTCCTCATCCAAGAACAACCAGATTCCAATTCACCAGCATCATGTATCCGGTCTACTATGCACTTGCCTCACTTGTGGCAGTGCTGTTGAGCCTTCATCGCACCATTCACCTCCCGGACTACCTTCACAAGAACATCTTGCTGATCGGTGCTAGACCTTTCACCACTGTCCCTCCCAGCAATGTGGATTATATTCCTGCAGCTGAGGCTCATATTCCCGAGCTGGATGTTTCCACAAGCGGCTGTCTTGTGCCAGTTCTCACCCCTGACAACTTGGAGACCCATTCTAACACTGTGTCTGCAGCAGGGACCCTTCCAACTGTTGAGCAGCAGCTCGGAGATTTTCCAGGAGGCAGGCCTCAGGAAATTCCCGGATTGCATGGGGTCCGCAACGGGCCCTCCATGAACCCAGTCCTCGTCGCATCACTGATCTTTATGGTGCCTACGTTCGTTTTGTTGTGGGTGTGGATTCGATCTACATCCCGCATCCATAATCGATATGTCGAAGAGGCCGATACTGAGATGCAGGATTTTATTGCAGAGGTAGAGCATCTCAAGGGACATCTTCTGGACCGACTGGAAGTGTTGCATCTGCTGGCGGATGCACAATCCGATGTCCTTCACCGTTTCAGTATGGGTGGTTACGGATATCAGCCTGATGTCCCCGACTATTTTGATCATGAGCTCTCTTCACTGGAGGAGCAGGAGCAGGCAGAATACGATTTGCGACTCTCACTCTGGCTTAGGCCAGCTGACATAGATAGTGAGGATGATGATACCGCGTCTTTTGATCTGGACTCCGATACCCCTGGCTTTGAATCCGTCATGGTGCAGCCTTTGTCTATAGTCAAGGCTCCAGCGTCGGAAGAGGATGAGTCTGGAGATCTGGGGGCTGATGATTGTCCTCCTAGAGTTGATCTTGGTCCTCCTTTCCTTTGATGAAAGGAAAGCATATGTCGAATTTCTTATGTTGTCCACAGGTTCGCGCACTAATAGTTTGCAGCTTCATGTCGAGTGGATTGTCACTCGGTTGCATGTTGCAACCCGGCTATATAGACTGTTCGCAATCACGTTCGTTCTGTCATTGAGATTTAACATGTGACGCCGGCTATTGTGTATCTCCTTTGTTTTGTTATCAATATTCTCGATAATTCGAGTACGTACAAGAATTGACTATATTTCCTCTTGTGATTATCTACTACTGTAAACATAGGCATGTAGACGATGCGTGCATAACCCACCCTCTAGTCCAGGAACTCATGCCTCGATGCGAGGCAGTTGAACGTCATAACAGGGCAAGTTTGCCACCTCCAGCCTATGGAGTATGTGATATGCATTGCAGAAAGCCACAACGTATTCTGCACTCCATCCTCCCCGCGAAGGGATCGGCATCGTACAGGAAAGAAATATCGTGAATAGCTATTATGTATAGTAGACAATTACATACTCCGTAGAGAATCGAGTCGTCACTCAATTGGACTGAGACGGCCGAAATTTCCCCGAATCGTGCACCATACTACGGAGTCAATGCAAAGACAGTTATTTCCACATTCGCCAATGCACGACTATTATCGTGATTATCGTGACACGCTGGCCCGTGGACCCCAACCCCCAACTTCCAGAGACAGCTGTTCAGACTCTGATCAGTGGGAAAATAGCCCGTATAAGCTCCGCTCCACCACGATGGCGAGACGAATCCACTCTACTACCCGAAGAAGCAGGCCTGCCGACTCCGGGTCCACCGCTGCAGAGTTTGCAGTCTACCGCGCAGTGCTGCGGTGTCCGGTGGCATTATTAATGGCGTGCATCCCGATTCTACGGGAAGAAAGGTACGTGAAGATCATTATCGTAGATCGGAGGGGAAGACCTTCTCCGTCGTCGATGGGGTAAGCGTGTCTCGCTTAGCTTTCCCTGGGAAGCTGCTATCACCACTCACCCCTGCACCACGCCGATGGGCGAGAACGGGCAGCTCAGGGCCGATCACTGCGCCGTGAGGTCAGTGGGCCCTTGGAATGTTGTCAATTCGTTGCGATGAGGGCGGGTTGCTGGGTATACAATCCGTTGGGGACTTTGGGGGTGTCGAGGAGGAGAAGGGCTTATCGCACTATAGCACTCTGTGCCTTGCGGATTTTAGAGTAGAATAAGGTCGACAACAAGGAAAACAGGGCAATACTCGGAAGAATCAAGATGCAGCGGTCTGAGTAATCTGCCCTGGAAGGAAAGATTAAGCCCTAAGAAGCCCTAGCGAGGATCTGTGCAAGACATTCCAGAAGACCCATTTGAGTCTACAATTGGCCAGGAAATAATAAGCTATGACTGATCGTCTCTCCCGCCGGCTGCTTTAGGCTCTCCCTACAGCGGCTGCTATTCCTGTGAGTCTTACGGCGCTGCGGCGCGATCCACGGGCGTCTTCCGAGCTTGCCGCGGGTATTGCCATCGGAATCCAGAAATTTTCTTCCCTTACTAGAACGGCAACGCAGTTCGGATTCTAGATCCCTATGACACTGCACTTATCGCTAGACAATTGAAACCGCACAAGGTGGAGAGGTGCAGCTGGCGGATGCAAGTCTGCATACCCGGCCGGCGGTTTGACGCAGACAGCCCACCAGATTCGCCGTTTGCCCGAAGAGGATACCTTATCGGTGCCCACTGTGTCCACCGTAAGCTGCCAGCAAGCATTGCAGTTGTGTGCTTGTGGTCCGAGGGTCCGTGGCAAAGCCTCTGGCCCTCGGGTAAATGAGTCGAGTGGCCGGTAGATCCTCCCTATCACGACAACTCGTGCAGTGGGCTGCATGTGTACTTTATGTGTACTTTATTGGCCCTGCGTGTCTATCCATATGCATCGTCGGTATCAGATCTTCTCCGGCTAAGGCGACGATGCCATTGATCGTTGCTTTCTTTCCTCCTCAGCTGTGGGGGCCGACTCCATTATACCGCGTCCGTATAGCAGACGGAGAGCTGACCCATGGATTGAAGCAAGTCAACCGACGTTTCAATGAAGATTCTCAAGCCTTCCGCGGAGTCCCGCCCACATGGTGGCTCATGGTGGCTCGTTCAGTCCCATCGGCTCCATTTTTTCTCATCTAATGATCTGCTGTGTCGGGATGATTGGAAATTTCAATAGGGCAGTGGAAACGAGAAAACTCAGTTCGTAGGCGATAGCTTGTAGCCATATTAAACCCCCCAGAGTGCCCGTCATCGATGGCTCTCTCAGTCCGCGGAGCCGGTCATTCAATTGCCTCCCCTCCTTTACAGGTCATACCTGCCCATCATGGCCTTAGATCTTCCGAACGATGTCCTCCTGCTGGTCGGGGAGTTTCTGGAAGACCATCAGGACCGGTACAACCTGATCTTCGTGTGCCGTCGGTTCCATGACCTCTTTCTACGCCTGGTCTATCGAGCAGCAGCGCTGAAGTCCTGCTCGCAAGCGCGCTCCTTCCTGGGCGCCCTTCTCCATCGACCCGAGCTGGCTCGTGCGGTGCGGAGTCTACACTTTGATGACTGGAAGCAGACGTCCTCTCCCTCCGCTGGTTTGTCCGAAACAAGCCTGACGCCTTTTAACGAATGGGCGCGCAACATTAGCCATTCCGAAGACGAGTATACGCAATGGGAGCAGGATCTCCGCGGGGAGGTGGAAGAAGCGTGGATTGCCCTTTTTCTGCCTCTCACCAGCAACTTGCGGCACCTCGATCTAGTGTATCCGAGAGAGAACGTGTATCTGGACCGGACATTGCAGCGGGCGATGAAGGGAGAGAAGCCCTTTGATGGCCAGCCTGCGTTCCGGACGCTGCAAGAGGTGTCATTGCGCCACCAGGACCACGAAGACACCAAGGGCAGCTACCTGCCCTCGCAGGTGCTCCCGTTCTTTTCCTTGCCGTCCATGCGCGCATTCTCGGCGGATTCAGTGATAGAATCGCGCCCTCGGGAGGATGGAGAGCACGATGCGGAAACCGGGGGTCTCGAGACTCCCGCGATCGGAAGCTCGCCCATCACCGAGATCACCCTCAACTCGAGCAACGGCTCGCAGGGCATGGAGAGCTTGATCGCCTCCTGCTCGTCCCTGCAGTCGTTCAAATACCAGCACTCGGATGCCCACCTGCTCGCCGAGGGCTACCAGCCGTCAGCCTTTTACCGGTCTCTGGCCGGCAGCAAGCACAGCCTGCACACGCTGTGGCTGGATACGTGCGGCAACCACCTGCCCTTCACCATCGCCGGCGTCAACGAGACGCACGACGAATGGTTCGGACCGCTGGTGGACTTCACCACGCTGAAAGACATCCGCATCCGCCTCCCCAACCTCCTGGATATCCGCTACCAGCCGGAACCCTCCACCGCGCTGCCGGACGTCCTCCCCAAATCGGTCGAGTCGCTCTACGTCGAAGGCTGCAAGGAGAACTCGCTTGCGATGCTCATCAACCAGCTGAAGCTGGTCCTTGGCAAGCGCGCGACGCAGTTCGCGGGGCTCCGGCGTCTCGACATTGAGGGTTTCTTCCACGACGAGGAGGACGAAGACGCCTCGGGGTACCAGGAGAGCGCGGCTGCGACCGGCGGCGAGAAAGTCATCAAACCTCGTGTCTACGAGATGGCGGAACCGCTTCGAAGTGCCTGTGTGGACGCGGGCGTGGAGCTGTTCCTCCGCGACCGGGCGTGTCTGGCGACGATGTAGTCGGGTCATGGCGTCATGGCCCGGCAGTCGTCGGAGATGTCCGATCTATACTTGATTGCATGATGTCCGATGATGATAGAGATAGAGCTTGGATTGCATATACCCGATAGATGGATAGAGGTTAGATTTGTTGGTTTTTTTCCGTTGCGTTTGCGTGCGTCGCTGTGTGGGCTTCCGTTTGATGTCGGAAAAGCCTCGCTGCGTTTGATGATTATGATGCGACATCCTTTCTGCTTATATGCTTAGCACCTGCGATGAGCTCAGTATGTCCTCTCACAGTTGTGAATGGATTCTTTTCGTGCTCTTTTGGGGTTGGTGACCGGTCTGGTATCGGTCGCCAGCCCAGCTCCTGGGGAGTATGCTGCTTAGACTGAACCACGACTGGCCGCTGGATTGACGGACGAACGATTATGATAGATAGAAGGACTGCTTTTCATACCGAGACGCAGTCCCTGATGATACCCGCAATAGGAAAGACAATATCTGTCTGAACGAATTTGACAGCCGCTTATCCGGATGCTTCGGAGTACTCCATGGTTCATACTTTACCAACCAAGCCTCGATAGGAAGGACGTCCATCGGCTTCAGCCGACCAGGACGATATTAGTTTCCTAACAGAGTAAGCCAGAGGGCACTCGGTACATCATCAGCGAGACTTCTCCAGCGTATATCCGGGGCACACGTAACCCTAATTGGCTTCTCCGCATCAGCGTCGCATCCGCCGCTGACGTGCCCCTCGGAGGTAGTATTCCTGTTGCAGTAAGTGAGAGGGCAGGGGTGAGGAGTAGTGTTCATGAGACCGGAATGTTGTTATCTGACGCTGCTGCGCTGACTCCGGGTTGTGTAGTCCATGAGCCATCGGTCTCTCCTACATCGCGATATCGACCCTGATTCTCACGGACAGCTGATATTCGATCCAATACCACTAATGCCACTATGGACCCCATCGACAGGGTGGAAAACCCCTCGTTCGATCACGAAAAGAAAGATGACACGCAGGACATGCTCCCGGCATACGAGGATCCCTTCGGGGACGAGACATTCGCCGAGGTGAAATATCGCACGCTGCGATGGTGGTATGTCTTCGACCTTCAGTACACACATGGACTATATCCTTACTGACCGTCAGGCAATGTGGAATGAGTATGTCCGACCCCACGATGGCGTCCTCCCGCTAACCAGATAGTCATGATCGCCGAGACCATCTCGCTGGGCATCCTGTCGCTCCCTTCGGCCGTGGCTGCGCTAGGCCTCGTTCCGTGAGTCTCCATTGGTAGCGATGATTGTCAAGACTTTTGGCGCCGGGTGTGGCCTGCTCTAACCTGACGCTTGTGGCTTGGATGTAGGGCTGTGATACTGATCGTGGGACTGGGTCTTCTTGCGACGTATACGGGTTATGTGATCGGACAGGTCGGTATCCTGCATGCGCGTGATTAAGATGATGTCGGTGTAGGAGAGCTGACGGGTATAGTTCAAACTGCGATACCCCCATGTGCATAGCATGGCTGATGCGGGGGAGGTCATGCTCGGTCGGTTTGGGCGCGAGCTCCTGGGGACGGCCCAGTTGCTCTTTTTGATTTTCATTATGGGCAGCCATATACTCACTTTCAGTGTGATGATGAACACGGTCACCGACCATGGGACGTGTTCGATTGTCTTCGGGGTTGTCGGGCTGATTCTGTCGTTCTTACTGAGTCTCCCGCGGACGCTGAAAAAGGTGTCCTGGCTTTCGATCTCGTGTACGTATCTGCCAACATACACATGGACACCGTTGGCGAAGGCGGACTGACAGACACAGCGTTCATCAGTATCTTCGCCGCGGTCCTGATCACCATGATCGCCATCGGCATCCAGCGCCCCGGAGACGGTCATGTCGATGCGACCGTCGACACATCGCTCTACAAGGGATTCCTGGCTGTGACAAACATCGTCTTCGCATACGGTATGCACGGCGCCTACGACTTTGCAGATTGTACACTAACCGGCTGACAGCCGGGCACGTCGCCTTTTTCGGCTTCATCTCGGAGATGAAGATCCCCACGGACTACCCCAAGACCCTGTACATGCTGCAGTTCACCGACACGAGTATGTATGTCATCACAGCGGTGGTCATCTATCGGTTTGGTGGGAAAGATGTAGCATCGCCCGCGCTGGGATCGACGAGCCCGTTGATATCGAAAATCGCGTATGGGATTGCCATTCCGACGGTATGACACCTTCGCTCTACAGATACGCCTGGGAAAAGCACTGACAGAGTCGTGTTGATAGATCGTGATTGCAGGCGTGATCAACGGCCATGTGGCTGGCAAGTACATCTACGTCCGTCTCTTCCGCGGCACCGACCGCATGCATCAGCGCAGTCTGGTGTCTTTCGGCAGCTGGGTGCTGATCGGGCTGATTCTGTGGACGATTGCCTGGATTATTGCCGAGGCGATTCCTGTGTTCAACAATCTACTGAGCTTGATTGTGAGTTCCTCCTCTTGTGTTGGGTATGCAGACAGCTAACCATGTACCGCAGACGGCCCTCTTCGCCAGTTGGTTCACATGTCAGTGCTCTACGCCCTATAGCTGGGATGATGCTAATGGCTCCAGACGGACTGAGCGGTATTTTCTGGCTCTTCCTCAACTGGGGCAAGTATACGGCTTCTCCGCGAAAGATGCTTTTGACGGTCGTCAATTTGATCATCGTGGGCATTGGAGGATGTCTGGTAAGTCCTGTTATGCTGTGAGTGATCAGTCTAACCGAGACAGTGCGGATTGGGCCTGTATGTGTCTGGGAAAGCGATCCACGACGACCCGAGTAGCGCTAGCTTTTCGTGTGCGAATAATGCTGGCTGATGGTGTTCGAGTCTATAGGGTGCTGGCATATCGGATCTGGGATAAGTCTAGGAGACAAGTGTGATGATATACGGTTTCTTAGTAAATATTGTACATGATACAGATTATCTTGAAACGAGTTCCCTCTCATGGTTATTGGAGCATCTCCAAACTGCTCTTTGGCAACGAAGAGATAGTATTCCCGCTGGAGTTGATGCTCTATACAGACATCTAAAATGCCCGTACATCCAGCCAAATGAGAACCCACAATAAGTCTTACCTTGAGTCATAACAATTACTCTAAACACGATACCCGTACAATTCCGGTGGCATCAATGACTCATTTCGATACGGGCCAGCTGCCAAGCAACGCCATTGCACAGCCTCACAGCCCCGACGTCTCACGACCGAAGATTTGACCTTCACTTGAATCAGAACAAAGGAAAGAAAGCAAGACATTTAAACATGCCTTGGGTCCATCATCTCAGGGCACCAAAATCCATCATCACGAAGCCAGATTGTGTTCATCATGGGGGCTGACTTCCTGAGCCTGCCGAACGAGCTGATTCTGCACCTCGGGGAGATGCTCTCGGACGGTGCCTTGAACAGTTTAATCCTCACAAACCGGCGCTTTGCTGAACTTCTTAATCCAGTATTATGGAAGATCGCGAACAGAGACGACGAACCGGCGTTCTCGGATCTCCCCTTTCCGTCGGAAACCAGTCTCAGCCATGTGCTCGATTTACTGAAATACGCGATTGCAGTTGACAACGTTCCCATGGCGCAGAAGATCCTGCGATTATGTGAACTCGACTACTCAGTCCATCGCGACTTTATGGACGAGGCGATCATCGGAGCGGTTGAACACGGCAATCACCACTGGATAGAGGTGCTCTTGGGCAAAGCCGAAGAACAGCACGACCAGATGAATACTGAGCAACTGGATCAAGCAGTGCACAAAGCAATTGACAGAGAGGACATTGCGATAATCAAGCGGCTCCTGCAGCATGGAAAAATCACCATCCGCTGCTGGGAGGTCGAGTGCCGCAATCTAATTCGAGCCAAGAAGGATGATCTGCTCCGGTTCTTCATGGACCACGCCCAGCCTGTTCCAGAGCCGACGACAAGTCATCTTTCGCCGCTCATGATCCCCGCGATATTGGCGAAACATATTCCCTCCTTGGATGTCTTGCTGGAGCGAGGAGCCGAATTGCACACCGACCCGTCGAGATTCGAACAAGAACCTCTGCATGTGGCCGTTCATCTCGGCGACTACAGCGTGACAGCATGGCTCCTGGACCACGGAGCTGACGTTAACGCGACGGATCGTTACGTTCGTCAGACTGCAGCGCATGTGGCTGCGCGGAACAAAGATCTTCTACAGCTGCTCGTGAGTCGAGGCGCGGATATCCATCGCCAGGACAGTCACGGATTTCCGCCTTTAGCTCGAGCAGCCCATGCCAAAACCCCAGACGCATTCAACTACCTCGTGGAGGTCGACGGAACGCTGGAGCAGCCAGGTTTCTCGTTCCCAGCAGAGGAAATTCCGTGGTGTGCGGGCGCATTGCGCGACGCCCGCTGCCCTGAGATCATTACCTTCCTGCTGGATCGAATCGACGTACCGCAGTTCGGGGAGGAAGTTCTTCGCCGCAGCGCGGAAGGGTACAATATTCCACTGCTGCGGGAACTCTGTACCAGGGGCGTCTCGCTCGGAGCCCGCTTCCCGGACGGAGGGACGATTCTGCATTGCTATGCTGGTCGGCATGTAAATTATTATTCGGAAGACGACACTCCTCTGGGACGAACGATAGTTGACGCAGCGAAATTCGTGCTTGACGCCCGTCCGGAAGGGATCCACGAGGTGGATATGCGTGGACACACGCCGCTTCACTTCGCTGCCGCGGCGAGCTTTCGGCTCATGGCGCAGACTCTGCTGGAGCGCGGTGCATCCGCTACGGCCTTGAATCAGAGGGGACAGACGCCGCTTGACATGGCGCAGTATAGTTTTCGAAGCGTGTATGAGTTGATCAAGTCGTATGGGCCCGCTGAAGGGGAAGGGGGAGACGACAGAGAGGGAAATGTATGAAGATACCACAGCATACCAACGAACGTCTTGAACCGAGCGTACAACTACAAAATAATCTCCTCACACTTCATAAAACCAGCAAGCCTCGAACGAGCAACAGATGACTCAGCCACCCCCGCAACCCTAGGATAAACAAAGAATGCATCCAAGACAACAATACATAGTACAACTCACCACCATGCAGCCCATCCTCCTCCTCTCTCTTGCAGCCCTATCTCATCAGACCCCCCATGCACCCACAGTCCTGGACCATGTCAACCCCCGGATCGGCACCTACGGCACAACCCCCAACGGCAACGGGGGCATGATCCCCTCGGTAGGTCCGCCCTTCGCCATGACCCGCTGGACCCCGCAGACCCGCGAGAACTTCATTTCCCAGGTGCCGTACGGCGACGCGGACCGGCTGCTGCATGGGTTCCAGGCGACACATCAGCCGGCCATTTGGATGGGCGAGGCTGGCGCCGTCGTCGTGACGCCTGGCCTGGGCGAGGTGCGTCCGCTTTTCGAAGACCGCGGGCTAGCATTCCGCAAGGCAGAGGAAAAGGCAACCCCGTACGTTTATGAGGTGCGGTTGGATGCGACGCCGAGGCTGGGGCGCGACTGGAATGCTACCGCCGAGGCGGTTGGGGATGGGCCTGTTCCTGGGGGCGCAGGGGCTGTGCCATCGGATGTGTCTGAGGGTGCGAATGGGCGCGTTCGCAGGGGTTTCTCGCAGAAAGTGATGAGGGGAGTGGGGAGTTATAGAGGTGGTGTTGATGAGGGAGAATCCTATGGTAGGGGGACGATTCAGGTATGCATTTGTTTCTAGGATAGCCCATGCAGCGCAGACTGATTCAATGCGCAGGCTTCGATGTCAGCAGATGCACATACCGGTCATCTTAGGTTCGATTTTGACCAGACTGAAAGTGATGTGAAAGCCCAAGTACCGTGGATCTTCATCCAGGCTACTCGGCGCCATTGGACAGGCGAAGTACATATCGACCCAGCTTTGCAGGAAATCTCAGGCTACAATCCTGAGCGGCAAGACTACCGTCTGGGCCCGGACAATGCCGCATCCTTTAGAGGATACTTTGTCGCCCGCTTCTCGCAGCCCTTCGAAACGTATGGGACCGCTGCTGGGAACCAGACCCTCGATGGCGCCAGACATCGGCATGGTAGGTTTACCGGCGCCTATGTGCGTTTCGCCCCGTCTACCACGCGAGTAGAAGTGCGTGTAGGAGTTTCCTACGTCAGTATTGAACAAGCACGCGCGAACCTGGATCTTGAAATCCCAGACAATCAGCCCTTCAGCGCAACAGTCCACAAAGTGAAGACGGCATGGTTGGACAAACTCGACCGCATACGCATCGAGGGCATCAACGCCACAGACGCTGATCACGACCCGCGCACAATCTTCTACACCGGCCTGTTCCATGCGCTGCAGTATCCCAGTGACTTCACCGAGCCGCTCCCCTCAGGAAACCGCGTCTACTATTCGGGCTATACCGACAGCGTGCATACCGCACCCCCCAACGATGCCTACTACCAGTCCTGGTCCATCTGGGACACCTACCGCGCAGAGCATTCCCTGCTGACGCTCTTCGCCCCCGAGCGGGTCAACAACATGATGCGCAGTCTGCTGCGGATATTCGACTGGTCTGGCTGGCTGCCCATGTGGGCAAACGTGGTCGAAACAAACATCATGGTATCCACGCACGCCGACGCGGTCCTCGCCAACGCATTAACCCGCGGATTCCACGGCTTCGACGTCTCCAAGGCCTGGAAAGCAGTCTACAAAGACGCCTATACACCCCCAGACCGAGACACCGAGCTCCTCTATTACGACCGAGAGCCGGAAACGCCCTACGAAGCGCGCGCCGGACTCACAACCTACGCGAAGCAAGGATGGGTGGCAAACGACCGCTGGTCCGAGTCCGCGAGTCGGACACTGGACTACGCGTTTGACGATTTTGCCTGTGCGGTGGTGGGCGAGCACGCGGGCGCCAGTCAGGACGCCATCGCGGCGCTGTACGCCCGGAGCAAAAACTACGCGCACCTCTGGAACAACCAGACGCGGTTCATGCAGGCGCGCAACGACAACGGGTCTTGGGCGGCCGATACCAGCTGGGGGTGGACTGAGGGCGACGCCTGGGTGTACACGTTCAACGTGTTGCACGACGTCCCCGGGTTGGCCGCGTTGTTCGGGGGACGCGATGCCCTCCGCGACAAGCTGGATGCGCATTTCCGCGGCGGACATAACGAGCATAGCAATGAGCCCAGTCACCACGTGCCGTATCTGTACTCCATGTTGGGGTATCCGGCTCGCGCAGCGGAGACTATCCGCGCCATTGCGTGGGAGAACTATAACGCCACAAGCGGCGGGTTGAGCGGCAATGAAGATTTAGGCCAGATGAGTGCTTGGTATGTGTTTTCGGCGCTCGGGTTCTACCCGGTCAATCCGGCGAGCGATGAGTATGTCGTTGGATCGCCTTTTTTTGAGAGAGTAAAGATCAGATGGCCTGATGGGGTGGCTTCTGGGGGCAAGCCTACAGGAGAGGAAAAGACGCTGGTGATTACTGCGCCAGGAGCTCCTACTAAGCCGTATATTAGAAGTTTGAAGGTTGATGGGAAGGAGATATCAAACCCGGTGTTGAGGCATGGCGATATTGTGCGAGCTCGAAGGATTGAGTTCGAGATGAGCGAAAGGCCTACATCTTGGGGGACACATTGAGTCTCGTGTCAAGTTTACATACTATCTAGGAGTATTGCTGCCTCGTGCGATGAGCACTGCCTGGTAGTGACACTATGGAGTTTTATTGCATGCTGCCAGCCTACATCTGATACCAGAGTTGTTCAACCCGATTTCGTACAGCAATCTCGATCGCTCAGAATCTCTCATTTTCATCCTACTGTCTTTCCATACTTCTGATCAACATAGCTCGAGAATGACCATACCCCCTTCAGACTAGCGTAAATGCATTCGTGTTCCCAATATCTGCAAGGGTGATATTAGCCTGACTTGTGCTTCATCCCCAACCCTAGTAATTCCACCTGTCACCCTAAATCCTCACTGATCATGGCTTCCACAATCACTGACCAAGTGCAACTCCTTCCAAGAACATACAAAGAGGACCAAGGCTATCGGGAGGACGATTCAGAACCGTGTGAGCGATCGGAAACCGTGATCTTCCAGGCAGACGATTCAAAGTATCATGTTAAAGTGACATTTAGGGGCACAACCGGCATCACGACAAGAAATAGCCTTCTCAAGAGGAGGAAGCAATTGGAGGCACTGATAGCTTCGATAGATTTCAGCGCCCTTCCTCTACTTCCAGATACGGTCAGCGAGCTCGTGATTGAAAAGGCATTACATCCGTCTTGCGATTTGATACTTCCAATGAAACCGGTCTATCAATCTGAGTCTAACGACCTCGTTGATGTCGACTACATATATACAGTCCGAGAAGATGTCTTGCGAGTACGCTATCCAGTCTACAGCGCTGATTCGGAATTACCGACCATAGGTCTATCGGAGATCGAAGTGAAAGACCAGATCTCAAACAATGTCTTCCTAATCACAAGGAAAGGAAGTGATGACCCCCTGATCTATAAAACAGTGGAGCATACATTCTACGAACCGAGCCATACGACGGTCTTCCAGCAAGAATTGCACTATATCCAGTGCCTCGAGGGTTACCCAAACATCGTGCAGCTAGTGGCCGTAGTAACAGGCCCAAGTCCCTACACTACCAACCGCTTCAATAAAGAGCATAACGTTATTCACGGCATGGCGTTAGAATACTACCCTCATGGGACACTCGAGGATGCGACCCGCCAGCAAGACGGCAAAGGAGCAGCCTGGAAGTCCTGGGCTAGCCAGCTAGCACGCGCTTTGTTGCGGTTACATAATCTGGGGATCACCCATATGGATATCACGCCTCGGAACGTTGCTATAAATGCCGCCAACGAGGCCGTTTTCGTCGATATCGGGGTTGGTTATACGTACGAGAATCTGGCTCCGGAATTTCGAGACCATGTTTATCCCCTCGACCTATCTTTCGAGCTGAGACGCCAGAATGACTGGTGGGCATTTGGGAAACTCTTGATGGGAATTGCATCGATTGAAGGGGATGGCACGTTCGGAACTATGCTTCAAGATATTGGTCACCGATTATCATTAGACCACCCTAGAGACCGACTTGATGCTTTTGCAGCTCTCCAACAACTTCCGGTTATCGGCCATCGTCTGAAGGATGATGCAGATCTATGAGTGACAGATCGGGCAGTATATGCATTCGAGCCTGCGGCTTTGGACTTAGAAGGCTTTCATGACCTTTCTAGAGGCTCTTCAAACCGCAGAAATCGGATTGGGCATGGATGTTTCCTCTTCATTCCTCCCGACTCTGGGGACTCGCTATCTTGTGGATGGCTGAAGTCGAAGTGGCCTGTATTAGAGATAGATCACATCTTTGCATACGTGAGGGGATCCCGGCGTTTGGTAATTTCATATAGTTTACCAATGTACAATAGTCTTATGTGTTTCTATTTATATTGATCCACGAGGTCCTTTGGACATTGGAGATGTAAGACAATACTTCACTACGGCCAACAACATAAGGCAGCCTACTCACTCCAAAACACGGCATATAAACGCAGAATCAAAGCTTAGCTGCAGACTGTTCCACATCAAACTCGGTCGTGCACAGCAAAAAGGTGTCTCGAAGGGCCTTGACGCTGTCAATACGCATCCAAAACACGGTGGCAACCCACTTACCGAAAGGCGATATTTCTCATTAATAGCCTGATAGTCCTCGCCGGCGAGCATATCACAGAAATGCCGAATGGACGGATAATGGACGATGGAAACCTCATTCCACCAGTCCTCCGCCGGACGGTCCATCCTACCTCGGGAATCCACCTCGGTCGCCGGCGGCACCACGTTGCCCACGAGCTTCGCATTGCCGCCACGCTTGCCGGCCACGGGAATAAAAGCCTGGCCGTACTGGTAGTAGCTCTTCTTGCCGTCGGGGTGGTGGAAATGCAACAGGTTGAGCATGGTGACGGGTCCGTCGTGCTTGCCGCTCAGCGAGTCCATGAACTCGAGCAGGGCGGGCGAGACTTCTAGACTCTGCGACGAGGTTTTGGATCTTGCTGTCGCCAGGGAGCCTGTGAGCGGCGCGCTGGACGCGCTTGCTTTGAGCTGCTTGTCGCGGGCTTCGTAGCTGGCGAGCAGCTTGGACGGGATGCCGACGGCGAGGGTGTATTCCGCTTTCACGGATGATTTGAGAGAATCTGGAATGGGGGATTCGTTTTTGTCTGTCGGTTGGATGAGGACTAGGAGGTCCCAGGGAGTTTTTGTCAGGGCGTTGGTGTCGAGGAGCTCGGGGTGGATGACGACATGGCGCGGTCGCGAGGCAACGATGACTTTACGGGATTTACGGAGGGCCTGCAGGAAGGAGGCCGGCTCGGTCGAGAGGCTGAGTAGATGGAGGGTGAGAGCAGGCATTTTGCTATCTTGATGGCGAGGACTTCTGCATGGAGGGTGGACAGAGGTGTCGATGTTGATAAAGGTGCACATCCGCGGTTATTGCTGAGTGCGGAGAAATTGCAACCGAGGCTCATTCACTATACAGCGTCGCTTGTTCATCTTTGCACACTATGAAATTATTAGAGATAACGAAGTTGTGTTTGGGTATTTGAATGTTGTAGATATATGGCTCGTGAGGAGAAGTGGCCAGTTAGGTATATATATTTCGGAGATGTTAACGGAATCATGTAGCATCCAGATAGAAGAAGATAGCAAGAATCGAGATAGATATACAAGTGACTGCACCCAATATCCCCTACTCACTATTTGAACAGGTTCTCACTTTCCAATCCAAAAGCTTTTCAATGTGCCATCGATAGATAGGTCTTGATCAATGTCCTTATTGACAGGTAGAGCTACCCGACTTCGAGCGATGGTGGGCCATCTCTATACATACAACATGTAATACTCGATGGTCATCTACAAGGTCCATTGCAGCCATATTCGATTTCGTCATTGTCCGTTTGGTCAAAGTAAACTGCATATTTTCTTCTCCAGCTTCAATCCTTATTCTTGCTTATTGAGTAACTAGGGTGCCCCATCCGGCATGAAGCTTTACTTTGGCTTACAAGTGCCCTAGCAATCGTAGCATCGCCTCGGTAGTCTTCCAATTCTATTCGAGCTCATCTTCACTATAGGATATTCAGGGCTGTCCTTTTATACGCCACGGAGGGAGCCCCGCTGCAGCTGCAGGCGGCCATCAACGCCGTGTGGACCGCCACCGTGCGGACGTTCACCTTCCTTCTGGCGGAGGGGACACCCGTGGGTGGACACGAGTGACTGGCGGTACTATATCATCTGGCGGTATTGAGTGTAGCTATAGTTATGACAGTAATGTTTCTTTCTGAGACCATCGGGCGCACCCCGAGAAGATTAATAGGATCCCTCACCGCAGACGAGCTGCTGAATCCACCACGCGTGGCTCGGAAGATGCTCCGATGCATCTACCTGACGCAGTGGACCTAACTATATTGCAGCTGTGAGAACATACTCCGTAGACTAGACAGCCGGCGTTTCGGGCCCACGGCCCGCGTGGATAATATGATGGCTGATCTTCATGCAGCGCCAAAATTTATCCGTGGTGCAGCGATCTCCGTGCCCGTTGAGGTATACGGGTTCAACCTGAAACAATATGAAACCGAAACAGCGCACCTTACGTTCATTTCGCGCACGCATAAATACCACCAACCTCCGCGTACCTGTAGACACTCCGGAGCTTGACAGTGACAAGATTTCGCTCGAGAGACACGATGAAGTCCGTGCTGTTTTTGGCCCCCTTGGCGCAGGCTGGCACTGTCGTCTGGAACGGCTTCTTCAACGAGTCCTACACGCTGGACACGCTGGATCAGTGTATGCCCATTGAATTCCCAAAAATGCATCCTCCTAATATCAGTGCCAGGGTCATGGAGCAACCAGATCGAGCCGTACCAGTGGTATATCCACGGGTCTGGCGCAACCACCGACTATCTCGCCCTGTCGCCGGAGTATAAGAACCCAGCCGACAAAGCGGACGCAAAGGGCATTCGCATCTCCATCGTATGTCACCAACACCATCATCCACTGCCGACAAGCTGACTCTGTAGGACTCCACCTCCTCGTGGAACGGCCAGACCATGATGCGCTCCGAACTCATCCCCCAGACGAAAGCGGACCTCGGCTCGGGCACCCTCTACTACCACTTCTCCCTGCAGACGCGGGAGGAGAACGCCCCGGACGCATCGCTGGAGCACCAGATTGCCTTTTTCGAGGTAAGGCCGCACCTATCTACCTACTCTCCTGTACCCTTTGTCAGCACTTCTGACCTCTGGATAGAGCCATTTCACCGAGCTCAAATTCGGCGGCAGCCAGTCCACCCTGAACTGGATGGCGAATAGCCAGTCGCACTGGTCTGCGCCGCTGCAGGCGGGCACCTGGTACAACTTTGCGTACGAGATCGATTTTGACGCGCAGACGGTTGGGCTGTGGGCGAGCAACGGGTCTGCGCCGCTGACTCGGGCCGTGGAGCCGGTCAGCGCGTCGACGCAGACCAACTCGCAGGACTGGCATATTGGCGAGCTGCGGCTGGATAACGGGCAGAGCGGGCCGAAGGAGGATTGGTACTGGTCGGGGATTTATGTTGAGAAGGGGGAGATCACGACTGATGTTGGGGGGCCGGCTTGAGTGTATATAGCTGTTGTCTGGACCTGGCACTTTGTCAGAGTATCTTTGCGGAGCGAGACCTAGGGTTCAATTCAGTGAGATACTCGCGTGTCCAATAGTGGACTACTTGAATGCTCGTTAACATGAATATAATGTTAGATTGCTCGCAATCTATTCCATCCAGGGAAGTTCAAGAAGTATCAAGTATATACACGAATCTACCGCACGCAGTATCCTCCATCGATCCGCAGATCCGCACCCGTCGTGTAGGTGCTCGCATCACTGACCAAATACACGTAGGCGCCCTTCAGCTCCTTCGCATCGCCATTGCGGCCCATCGGGATCATCGACATCCACAGATCCTGCACATCCTTGGGCACGAAGTCCGACAGGCCCGTGTCGATATACCCAGGCGAGATGCTGTTGACGCGGGCGAAATCCCTCCATTCGTTGGCCAGCGACCGCGCGAGATGGATGCAACCGGCCTTGGCGACGTTGTACGAGGTCTGCTCCTGCGGGAAGTTGGCAATATGACCCGACATGCTGGCCGTGATGACGAGACTGCCGGTGCCGCGCTGCTTGAAGTGCGGGCCGACGGCCTTGGCGCAGTGGAAGGTACCCGTCAGGTCGGTCTGGATGACCTCCATCCAGTCGTTGACAGAGCCGTCGAGGATGCCGCTGGAGGCGGTGCGGCCGGCGTTGGCGATGAAGGCGTCGATCTGGCCGAACTCGGCGATGACGTCCTTGACCAGCTTCTCGACGCTCTCGAAGTTGCCGACGTCGCACTTGTAGGCCTTGGCCTTGACGCCGTAGGCTTTGGCGAGCTCCTCGGCGTTCTTCTCGCCGCCCTGCGGGCGCGATGCGTAGGTGATGGCGACGTTGGCGCCCATCTCGGCGCAGCCGCGGGCGGCCTCAATGCCCATGCCGCGGGGGCCGGAGGCGCCGGTGATCACGACGACCTTGTCCTTGAGGCTGAACAGGTCCTTGAGGTGGTTTGCGGAGGGGACGGGGATGGGCATTGTGAAGAAGTGATTATGGGATTATTGAAGAGTCAGGAATATGAATGAATGTGTTAGGAAGTGAAGTGAGTTCCGTTGAGGATGTGACGGATGTCTGATATAAGATCGGATGGGGAGATGACTTCATACCCGTCATGCGATGGTGATGTCACCACTCCACCAGCCTTTCGATGCAGTCATGCATTTCTCCACCGCCGACAAACCGGATTGCTGAGGATGCTTCTACCACTGCTTGTACCGCCCGTTCAGTTACTTACCTAAGGACTGCCCGATCCATGACGACACCATGGCTCCCGACGGCGTCGAACCACCGGTTCGGTGGATGCGCTCTCGCAGGGAATCGTGTCTGGCGCTTGTATATCAGGCGGAGATGGCGTCCAGCGAGTCCGGCGATCCTGTCGATCAATTGAGGACCCTGACAGTGAGACATGTCGAATCGCGAGAGTGACGTTCCCCTGCGGCGCGCAAGCACTGCTCACGACAACAATTTCGACGATAGCTTTTTGGGACGGTAAGACACGCCAAAGACAAAGAGTCGATTCGCACCGCTGACAGAACCAGAGTGAGGTCGTTTACCCGTCGGGAGCGACATATCGGCCAAGTCAGCCACAATGAGCTTCGTGATTCGGTCGACATTGAACTGCATACTTGGGACGGCCCTGATGATCCGGACAACCCGTACGTTCATCTTCATGGAACTATGAATCCAGCTAATGGAGTAGATTCAACTGGAGCAAGGGATACAAGTGGACGTTGACCATCACCATCTGCATCATGTATATTGACCCTCCTCCAACACCACAAGATACCAAGGTACTGACCTGGTATAGCTCTATCCTGACCGGTCTCCCAGCCGGCTCCTACGGCGCCGGAGCAGACTACATCTCCGAACGCTTCCATGTCCAGAACAAACCCTTCCCCAATGTCACCTGGGCCACGACCTCCTGGAACATGGGCGCCGCCTTCTGGCCACTCATCTTCGTCCCCCTGACCGAATCCTCCGGCCGTATGCCCGGCTACTTTGTCGCCTACTTCATCCTGGTCGTCTCGCTGTTCCCGTCGGCGTTCGCGCAGAACTATGCCACCCTGGTCGTCACGCGGTTCTTCGGCGGCGGCGCCTCGTCGGTGGCCATCAACATTGTCGGCGGCAGCATCAGCGACGTCTGGTGGGGAGACAGAGCCCGGAGCATCCCCATGTCACTGTTCGGGTTGACCAGCGTGATTGGCATCGCGCTGGGGCCGTTCATGGGCTCGGCCATTCTGGCCATCAACAAGAGCTCCCCATGGAGATGGTGCGCTCATCCCCGTCTATCCCATTGTCTTCTTCCCCCACTAACCTAAACGCCAGGATCTTCTACATCCAAATCATCTACAACGCAGGACTCATCCCCATCTTCTGGTTCCTCCTGTACGAGACCCGCGCGGACGTGATCCTCTCCCGGCGCGCGAAGAAAATCCGCCGTGAAACTGGCCGCCCCGTCTACGCTGAGGCCGAGCTCTCGCACACGAGCGTGTGGAAGCTGCTCGAGATCTCGTTCGAACGGCCCATGCGCATGCTCCTCACCGAGCCGGTCGTCACCTTCTTCACGCTGTGGATCAGCTTCGCCTGGGGCATCCTGTTCCTGTTCTTCTCCAGCGTCGTGCAGACCTTCAGTACCAACTACGGCATGAACACGCTGCAGACCGGGCTGGTCCAGCTGGCCATCTCCGTCGGCGCGCTGGTCGGCACGCTGGTCAACCCCCTCCAGGACATGATCTACTTCCGCACGGCGCCCAAGAACCGCGAGAAGCCTGGAAGGCCGATCCCCGAGGCCCGGCTGTACACCTCCATCCCTGGGAGTCTTCTCTTCGCGGGCGGGCTGTTCTGGTACGGCTGGGCGAGCATGCCGGACGTGCATTGGATCGTGCCGACCATCGGGATCGCCATTACCGGTCTGGGGATCTACTCCATTTACATGGCTGTCGTGAATTACTTGACGGACGCGTATGAGAAGTACGCTGCGTCAGCACTGTCGGCAGCCTCTCTCGGTCGGAACAGTTTCGGTGCATTTCTGCCTCTGGCGTCGTATCAGCTGTTCCAGAACCTGGGGTACGGCTGGGCCGGATCGCTGTTGGGGTTCATTGGACTTGCGTTGTCGGTTGTGCCGGTGGTCCTGGTGATCAAGGGGCCGGAAATCCGGCGACGCAGCCCGTTCATGCGCGAATCGACGTTTGCAAACCCAGACGAGACAGCGGCAGTTCCGTCGGAGAAAGGGGTTGCTGGGGATTCGAATGGAGCTGGGTTGTCGGAGCCGAATAGACGTGAGAATGCATAGTCGAGGCATATATAGCATGTGAGTACTGCATGTAGCGAGGTGAATGCATGGATTATATAGAAACGGTTCAGATAAAAGAATGGCGACTTTCTTGCACCTGTTTATACCTAGTCAGCCTGCACTAGCTGTGCATGCATAAGCACGTGAAGGCCCGGGTTACCCGATTAGGCAAACGAATCCCGGCCAGCTGCATGATCAGCCTACTTTATTATTGCGCTGCACGCAGGTCGAGATCACCCACGGACCATCAACTACGATCGATATCGACTGACCGAGTGTTTCTTGCTGTCTCTGCGTCTCTGCACCAGTCAAGAGTTGTATATCATGACTCATCCCGCCTCTTATTGGCCGGCAGCCCAACCGAGGCGAAATTGGGATAAACCGACACGGAGAGGATCGTGCGAGCATCAGGAAGATACGCACCAACGCAATAATTCGCCCACAAGGCCAAGAGATATCTACTCCGTATCCTTCCAGACTCACCGATCAGCGCACAACGCATCTACTCCGCCATCTCAGCGTCATCGGCGTTGAGAGCGGGTAATAATAGCAACAGCTATAATCTCCTCATCGGTCCGGTTGGATCGCAGCCCACACTCTACCCCCACCAACCCCTCCAATCCACGGGGTTCCCATGGAGCTTCCATGGCAAGCGCCAGTAGTGAACCTGGGAAGGCATGCCGCGGTTGACGCAGGGGCCGTGTATCGCGGACGTCCGATCGTTCGAGATTGCGCAGGTGTATGCACTTAATTGGCCCAGGTCGCGATCTTTAGTCATTGCCATTAGCCATGGAGTGGGATGGCAGTCGAAAAGAAACCTACTCGTAGAACGATCGCGTTTCTTTTTCGCCATTGCTTTTCGCCAACCGCCACCGAACAAAAGCCCCGGCAGGTTCGCCGGTTGCCTTGGCTGAGACCCCTAGCCGCTTCGGGCATCGTGAGTGTCCCACTGAACCCTAGAACGATAGATAACATCGGAATTGTTGAGCATGCTAGCTCCATTGGCCGTGGCCTAGGTCGGCTCTGTGGTTCAGAGTATTTTTCTTTTCCCGCTTCCCGTCCCGAGGGGTTTCCTTGCTTTTGGTTGGTATTTATTTTTTTTTACCCCCTCGTCTGGAGAAGCTGTTGGTAGGTCCATCCACCCCGCAGGCAAGTTGGTTCGCTTTGGAGTTGAGGTATATCTGGCGTCCTTCGGTCTCTCACTGACAACTGTCACCTTCAGTCTGGTCGGGACAGCAAACGAGCTTCGATTGCACATGGTTCCTCCCGCTGCGAACCTACCCTCATCGCCCACCCTTCGCTGAACTCCCCCCATACCCCTACCGATCCCAGTGACCATGTCGGTCATTGATACCAGCAAAGACCTCTCCGCCCTCTTCTCCCAACAGGTCCGTGCCACCCCCGACGCCCTCGCCCTGGAGGATGGCTCCACCACCTACACATATGCCGAGCTAGACAATGAGGTGGAGGAGATCACTCGGCGGCTCCGCGCATACGGTGTCAGTCGGGACAGCCTCGTGGGTGTGCTTCTGCCGCGCAGCGCACACTATGTGATTGCCTGTTTGGCGGCCCTTCGCGCCGGCGGGGCATTTCTTGTGCTGGAGCTGGCCTATCCTCCGGATCTGCTGGCGGATGTCATTGAGGATGCCAAACCCGCCGTGATCATCACGCATAAGGGAGATGCGGGGAAGATTAAAGCCGACGTGCCGCTGGTGAAGATGGACGAACCGGCCGCAGCGCTCAACGGCTATGCAAAGGAGCCGGCGCCTCTCCCAGCTGACGATGATCTCGACAGACTAGCGTTCGTGTCCTACTCCTCTGGCACGACCGGTAAACCGAAGGGTATTGCCAACCCACACCGCGCCCCTGTACTTTCGTATAACCTGCGATTTGCCGTGCAGGACGTTCAGCCGGGCGACCGGGTGGCCTGCAACGTTTTCTTCATCTGGGAGATCCTCCGGCCGCTTCTGCGGGGTGCGACAGTCGTCACGGTACCCGATGAAGTCAGTTATGATCCGGCTGCGCTGGTGGACCTGCTGGCGGCAAAGCGCATCACCGAGACGCTCATGACACCTACCCTTCTGGCGACGGTCCTCTCGCGGCACCCGCACATTGGGGTCCGTCTCCCGGAGCTGCGGACCCTGTGGCTGAACGGCGAGGTGGTCACCGCGGACCTCGCCCGCAGAGCCATCAAGGTGCTTCCATCGACGCGTTTGTTGAATTGCTATAGTGCCTGCGAGACACACGAGATTGCCTGCGGTGATATCCGGGATATGTTAGACGATGAAGCAGAGTATTGCCCTGTTGGGCCGCCCCTGGATCCGACACACACATATATCTTGAACGAAAATGGCGAGAAAGTGGAGGACGGCACTGCGGGAGAACTTTACATTGGCGGAGATCTCCTTGCCCGGGAGTACATCAACCTGCCTGAGACAACGGCTCAAGCCTTCAAGCCGAATCCCTTCGATGCGACCCCCGGCTCGCGTATGTACAGAACCGGTGACCTCGCGCGCATGCTCCCTTCCGGGTTGCTTGAGATCACTGGCCGTGTCGGTGCCATGATCAAGCTCCGCGGTTACTCCGTCGTGCCGGCCAAGGTCGAGAATGACATTGTCCAGTACCTGGCTGTCAGCCACTGCGCCGTCGTCGCCCACGGCGATGGCCTGGAGCGCCAGCTGGTTGCGTATATTGTCCGCGACAAGCAGCACTCCCAGGACCGTCCGGTTGTAGAGATCAACGAATCCGGACACAGCCCGGCGGCACGTCGCGTGCTGTCTCCTTACCTCGCACACTATATGATCCCCGCGCAGTGGGTGGAGCTGGACGAGCTGCCCACCCACGAAGTCTCCGGCAAGGTCGACCTCAAGAGCCTCCCGCCGCCGCCCAACGCCACGCAGGTCAATAGCAACGGAAAAGCTAAGCAGGATCCGATCGGCATCGACAATATTGCTGCGATCTGGGCGACCACCCTCAAGACAGCGAGAAACCTTCTGAAGCCAGAGGACAACTTCTTCGATCTCGGTGGCCACTCCCTCTCGCTCGCTGAACTTGCTTCCAAACTATCGCGGACCTTTGGCTTCCGCGTTCCCATTGCCCGCCTGGCCGAGAACGCCACACTTACCGGCCATCTGGCTACTGTCCGCGGGATTCGCGACGGTCACACCGCTGCTGTGCAGGCTGACCTTCCAGCTGTCCTGCGCGCCGACTCCACCCTTGACAACGACATCCGCCCTTCGAATGCGACGATCTGTCCGGTCAACAAGGCAGAAACGGTGCTTCTGACCGGTGTCACAGGCTTCCTTGGCCCCTTCCTTTTGAATGACTTGTTGGAAAACACGTCCGCGCACATCATCTGTCTGGTACGTTTTAATGAACCTGCGGACGATGACCAACCGGGCGGTGTGGCGCGTATCCGTCGCAATCTGCTCGACATGGGCCTCTGGCGCGACTCGATCATGGAGCGTGTGGAGATCCTGCCAGGCAACCTATCCAGACGACTCTTTGGTCTGTCCCCCGACGCCTTCGATGAGCTTGCTGCTCGCGTTGATGTCATCGTCCATGCGGCTGCCACCGTCAACCTGGTGTACCCGTATGCTGCGCTGCGCGGCCCCAACGTCGGTGGAACGCGCGAAATCCTCCGTCTGGCTTGTAAGGGCGGCGCGACCGTGCAGTATGTCTCCACCAACGGCGTGCTGCCACCGTCTGGCGAAAAGGGGTGGCCCGAGGACACGATGCTGGCCGTCGACGACGTGCCCCAGAAGCTTCTGGACGGTTACGGACAGACGAAGTGGGTGGCTGAGCAGCTCGTTCTGGAAGCGGGTCGTCGAGGACTGCCGGTCAAGATCCATCGTATTGGAACTATTAGCGGCCACAGCGTCACTGGTGCTGCGAACGCTTGGGATCTTCTGACCGCGCTGATTGTGGAGTCCATCAAATTGGGCTACGCCCCTGATGTGGAAGGCTGGCGTGCTGAGATGACCCCCGTGGATTTCGTCAGCAAGGCCATCGTCCATCTTGCTACACAGACTCAGACGGAACAGACCGTTCTGCACCTGGGAGACCCCAACCCCGTCAACATGCGGTCTGTCTTTGAGGGCCTGAAAGAGCTGGGTTATCCCACGGAACCTCTGGGATGGGACGAGTGGGTTTCTCGCTGGACCAAGGAGCGGAGTGGTGTCAAAGGTGGTGATGGCTCGTTCACTGTGGACATTCTCCGCAGCGGTATGCCGTCGGTCGAGTTCCTGCGTGGCATTGTTGTGCTTGACAACGCCGCCACCAGACCACTGCGCGCAGAAGTCGAGCGGCCTAAGGTTGATACGCTTCTCCTCGAGACTTACACGCGCCACTGGTTCGCTCGAGGATGGCTGCCCCGCGCTCCGTCGAAAAAGCACGCTCTTAGCCAGTCGCCCAAGCCCAAGGGCCCTCTCTCTGGTCGCGTGGCCGTGGTGACGGGAGCGTCGTCTGGAATTGGCGCCGCTGTCGCCACCGCGCTGGCCCGCGAAGGCTGCAAGGTGGCCATCGCTGCTCGCCGACGTGACGCCCTTGAAGCCGTCAAGGCCAAACTGCCCGGCGATAGCAAGGTGCTGATCCAGCCGACCGACGTCACGAAACAGGCCCAGGTCGAGGCCCTCTTTCGCGCGGCGAAGGAGGAGCTTGGCCCGATCGACATTGTTGTCTCGTGTGCGGGCGTGATGTACTTTACTATGATGGCGAACACGCAGATGGACGAGTGGGAGCGGACCGTCGATGTCAACTGCAAGGGTCTTCTCTACTGTCTGTCCTCCGCTGTGCCGGACATGCTCGCGAGGGGCAGTGGCCACATTGTCGCGATCTCTTCCGATGCAGGGCGCAAGGTCTTCCCTGGTCTGGGCGTTTACTCGGCTAGCAAGTTCTTCGTCGAGGCGACCCTGCAGTCCCTGCGCCTGGAGACGGCGGGCACGGGTCTGCGCGTGACGAGCGTGCAGCCTGGCAACACGGCTACAGATCTGCTGGGTATGTCGACGGATGCGGAGGCTGTGAAGAAGTACGGAGAGCCGTCTGGAGCACAGATCCTCGATCCAGAGGATGTGGCCAACTCGATTGTCTACGCGCTTCGCCAGCCTGCGCATGTTGCCCTCAACGAAATCCTCATTGAGCCTCGTGATGAGCCGATCTAGACAATACATGACAGCTGCGCGGTGTCATGTAGTATGACGTGAATGACCTGTTTGACTGTCTTTTGATTTCAACAATCAGGATTGCTCTTTCAGCGTGTGACTTTAGGCCCCTAATGTTGTCTGTATGTATTTAGTTCGCGGTAGATCAACCGGTAATATTGTGCAAGGTCTCGAGGTATGGATGACTCTCGTCCTTCGTTGACAGCTCCATGGATGTCGCATCGGGTAGGTATCATGTGGCGCATAGGGATTGAATGTTTCGTCTAGATCAAATAGGATCGAGTTACAATTCGTTATACCCATGAATCGGTGGGACCGAGAGCCGGAGGATTGACTATGTCTCAGGTTTCTTTATTGAGCGGTCATCTGCGTTTGAATGAACGGACGAGGTGGCTCTAAATAGAAACTCAACCAGGGCCTTCCGGCCATCCGGCTTGACGGGCGCTTCGATATGCATGGCGCCTGGGACTTGTTTCCACTCGATATCTAGCCCGAGAGCTCTACCACTCCGGTGCAGATCGCCAGCGACATAAGGGGGTATTACCTCGTCGTTCTCTGCGGAGAGAATAAGGATAGGCGGAATTGAGCGAGCTGAAAGCGGGGACAAGGTCTCACGCTCGTCAGCGGCGGGATTTTTCTGATCCCTCCATTGAGCCATCCGCTTCATGGCCGTGGTGTTGTCCCAGTTGTTCCACGAGAACGGCCAGAGATAACGGTAGGGCAGCCACTTCTGCGGGTACAGACTTATCAGCATGTCTTTGATGCTCGACGTTGGTGCTTCCATCACCATCCCAGAGATACGCAGTGGTGGTTGTGTTTGTGTCGCAGTTTCCCTTTCGCAATCCCGCGATAGATATGTGGCCAATGCAGTGCTCGCCACGGCGGACCCCAGGCTATGGCCCCAGAGGATGACCTGGAGGTCGACATCTGGCTCTGAATAGGTCTGCGTGACCCAGTTCAAGAATGCCTGGGCATCGCGTTGAATTCCAGACTGTGTTGCCCGACCGGAGGAGGTCCAATACCCACGGTAGGATAAGGTTGTGACAATATAGTCGACATCCTCCAACGATGTAGAGATTTTGGAGTCTTTTATTGTGCGGAGGAGTTGAGAAAGCAGCGGCAGGCGCATCGGTGTCGATCCTCCATTCCCTTGAAAGTAGCAGATCACTACTTGCCGCCTACGTTCCTTGGGGCTGTTTTCGCGGGGCCGAGGGGTCGGCATGCGGCCTTCGCAGACGGCCAGCTTCGTCCCGTCCAGACTTCGGATTTGCTTCTCCTCCCACTGCACTGGCTTACACTCTGCCGCATAATCTTGCACGGATTCTGAGCGTGCGAACGGTGGTAGCCATGAGAGATACAGGAGCTTGTCCTGCATGACAATGATCCAAAAGCATTTCCAGGTCCAGAGGCCGAGTAACAGCCCGACGAAGAGGACTGGCGGAACCAATATTGGAGGGATGGCGGACGTGAATAGGGTACGCGACCCCGGAATATTCTGGTTTACTCCGATTCCCTGATGCGGAGTCTGTGGAACACGGCGGCTCAGGGGCCTGTCAAGTGGTCGAGGACCAGGCCGGACGCAGGATGTCCTGGCGAGATTGCGCCCGAGGCGCTGGGAAGTCCATCTTCCCAGCATCCACAGTCGATGATGCAGTTGATGGGGGCTGGAGGAGGAATGTAGGGAGGGAGAGATAGAGAATGAGAAGAGGATTGATGGTCCGATGGTGTTGTAACGTTCTTTCCTTCCCCGCATTAAGCATTAATGACTCAGCACTATTTATCCAATGCACAATCACCCGTTACAACATTATCGACGTCACGGTCTGGGTTGTTGAAGAGCGTCGACTTTAGAGTGTGTCGCATAATTTTACTCTGTACCTAGTAGTTCTTTTATTGTACGTAAGGTGGGATGCGCGTTGTTATGCTCAGACCTTCACGCACCTGCGAGATATATCAAGGAGCACAGCCTCTGTACCACGTCAGTGAGATCGGACTCTGCAGCACAAAACACATGCAAAATGACGAATCGTAAACAACCATCGACTAAAGACCTCTAGTGGCCTGCAGGATAAGTCTGTTGGTACTGGCCACGTGAACCGGTCATGCCGTATGCGGGATTAATTCAACCAATCTGGACAACCGGATTCTCTTTCCCACCATCACCCAGCAGATTAACAGATTGATATAAGAGAGACGGCGTCCCTGAGAAATGAAATCATCTACGCAACATGGAATGAGCTATGAATTTTGATCCGTCGGATTTCAACGTCATCTGTGCCCTTCTCGGCCTGTTGATGTCCGTTTATGGGCTACTGGCATACCTGATCCGTGAAAGATGCTACCTGTCCGATGCCTGTAGGTCTAATCAACTATCTTTCATGAAATTTGACCATACGCTGACCTGGTAGTGATCTCATTCATCCTCGGGGTCCTTCTGGGTCCTGTTACAGGCCTCGTGGATCCCATGCGTCTGGCACAAAATGATGTCGGCAATATCGACCGAATTACCTCCGCATTTAGTCGGCTGGTGCTTGGAGTACAACTGGTGATTGTAGGCATACAACTACCCAAGCGCTACCTGATCTACGAATGGCGTTCACTCGCAGTTCTCCTGCTCCCAGGCTTAACTTGCATGTGGATGATCAGTAGTATTCTGGTGTGGCTAGTACTACCCCCGGTGCCCTTTCTCCATGCACTTGCCATCGGCGCGTGCATCTCTCCTACAGACCCGGTGCTATCAAGCGCTATTGTTAAGGGGGCATTTGCGGACAAATACGTGCCGCTTGACCTTCGGCGCCTCATCATCGCTGAATCAGGGGCCAACGACGGACTGGGATATCCGTTTCTCTTTCTCCCGTTATTGATACTACGGTATTCCAACTCGGAGACCACTGCGTCCGGGCTCTGGCAGGTATTATCACACTGGTTTGGAGAGACGTGGTTCTATGTGATTCTGCTCAGTGTCGTGTATGGCGCAGTGCTTGGATGGTGTGCCCAATCGATGCTTCATTTCACAGCCATGAGGTAAGCTCCCTATTACAACGACTAGGCCCAGGCTAATATAATCTTTCACCAGAGAATATCTGGATAGAGAGACCTTTACCATATTTTCGATTTCTCTATCCGTGAGTCTTTTCGATCTTCCCTATGTTTACGGTCTGACTCAGTAGTTGCTTGTCCTCGGAACCGCCGGTATGGCCAACAGTGATGATATCCTGGCTTGCTTCATCACAGGGAATAGCTTTACTATGAAGTAAGTTATGGTCGCATAGAACATACCGTTGGTTAACCATAATGGACCAGTGACTGGTTCCGGATCCAAACCATGGAAGACACCCTGCAGCCGACCATCGACCTGATTCTGAACATGTCCATGTTTATTTGGCTGGGCGCAGTCTGTCCATGGTCTGCATTCACGGACTCGAGTATAGTCCCTCTGCCTCGGCTGATCTTGTTGGCGATATTGATACTGGCCCTGCGGCGGCTGCCGGTCATCCTGTCTCTTCGTCCATGGGTGCGCCACATACACACCACACGCGATGCACTTTTTATGGGATTCTTCGGTCCTATCGGCGTCAGTGCTATTTTCTATTATTGCCTCTGTATCGAGTACCTGGCGACATTTCAGGGGGGAGAAGCCATGGCGGGTCTTGCTGCGTCCATGCGGGTGGTCGTGTGGTTTCTGATCATGACCAGTGTTGTAAGTTTGATATTGCCATATGTTGGATTGCGTACTGACGAAATAGCTGGTGCATGGATTATCTATACCGTTGGCGATGCTGGGTCGCTCGTTGTTCGACTTATTCCGACCACCTAAGAGGGAAACGCAACCATTGCTTATAGAGTAAGAGGGTGGACCGAGTTTATATATAGATTGTATCCTTTATTTAGAGATATAAGCCGTCCCTTTACTCATTGAATGTTTTATCGCTTTTAGTTCTGAGGATAGATCTAAACCAGGGGCAGAATCGGAAGAATGCAAGGCATTCCATAACACGCATGACCCATGCCTATCTCATCCATCATTAAATCAAGAAAGCCACGTGGAATCCGTGCAACCCTAGATGTGAGACAGACTCTGGCTGCATGTTATGGATGGCGATGGGGTGATCCCTGTCGTGCATTCTTATGCTACACTTGACCTTCTGTCATAAGTATCACTTACACAGAATTTTTGGGTAGTATCCTGATAGCTCCATAGCTTCCTGGATACTACCTTGCGTAGGCAGCCATGTGTCATGCGCATGGCGTTCCTGAGCACCTCCACCCGATTCCGGCCATGGCCATGCCACCCGAAAGATTAGCGAAATTGTGAGCGGAATATGCCCTCTCATAAGAAAGGACGAGGTTGAAGGAGTGCCGTCTAAACTGGATCCGGGGAGATGCACGAGAGAAGAAATAAAGTGTTGGTGAGAATAAATCGCGCGCGACAATTGTCAGCCAATCACCCCGGCCGTACCGCACTTTGTATGGCCTCGACTTTTCTATGACGCGACAAAGTGACAGCTTCAACGAGGCACTGCTCGCCTATCTTTTTTTTCTATAAGCAAAAATGGCGCATTATTTGCGACTTTTTATAAAGCTGGAGCTGGGAGCAGCTGGCTGACAGTGCTTTTTGTCCAGTTCTCTCGTTAGACATCTACAGCTCCCTTAGCACGACCTGTTCTTGGTTTGCAAAGCTTTCATGGAGGACGACAGTCGCAAAGATCACATACGCATCGCGGAGGAGGGTGTTCAGCGCAATACTCGACCCATGACTCGTCAGAGATCTGCAGCATCGTCCTTGTCCATACACAGTGTTCGAGGGAAGGTGGCGGCTCCAGAGAACCTGCTCCCGATCACATACAGAACATTGTATGTGCACTCAATTTGACCTCACGATTAGAACTAATGTGTGAGCATTGTACAGGTCCTACAAGGTCGAACAGGCGGATGAGAAGGGTAGTCAAGATTCCTCTACGAAGCAAGAAAGAAAGCAGCTCAAAGGTCACATCGAATACCCTAGCATTCGACTTATACTAAATGAACTACAGGCATTGCGGAGCTTGACTGGCATCGGCTCTCGATTGATGAAATCCAACGACGTCTCTCTACATCCGCCACCCAAGGTCTGTCAAGTGAGCAAGTGCACCGTCGCACTTCTGAGTATGGGAAAAACAAGCCGAGCCCTCCTCCATCCAGATGGTTTCGTACCATGATGAGCTATCTCTTTGGCGGGTTCGGCTCTATCGTGTTGTTCGGTTGTATCATGGTCTTTATCGCATGGAGACCACTAGGAGATCCTCCCGCACAAGCAAACCTGGCTCTCGCTATCGTCCTCCTGGCTGTATTCTTCATCCAGGCCTCGTTCAATGCATGGCAGGATTGGTCCTCCTCGCGGGTCATGGCTTCCATCACGACCATGCTGCCTGATCAGTGTATCGTGGTGCGAGATGGTTCCCAGCTCAGCATCAGTGCCATCGACCTAGTCCCGGGGGATATCATCCATATCAAGCAGGGAAATAAGTTGCCCGCTGATGTGCGTTTCATTCAAATCTCGGCCGATGCAAAGTTCGATAGATCAATTCTTACTGGTATTCTCCCCGATCCTACTGAAATGGCTCTTCTCTAACAGGGAACAGGGGAGTCGGAGCCAGTCTCGGGCGCAACTGAGTCCACCGACGACAACTATCTTGAGACCCACTGCATAGGCCTCCAAAGCACCCACTGTGTGTCAGGCACTGCACTGGCTGTTTGTGTTGGTACCGGTGATCTGACTGTTTTCGGACGAATTGCTGGCCTCTCGAATCGTCGTCGCACAGAGATGACTCCAATGCAGAAAGAAATTCTCCGGTTTGTTCTCATTATAGTCAGCTTCATTGTGACTGTCGTCATCATAGTCGTCATCTTGTGGTATGTTGTTTACTTCATATTGTTTGAAACCAGTCTCAATAAATGACGACTCTAGGGCTGCTTGGCTGCGAAAAGACCACCCCGACTGGATCAACGTGCCCACCTTAATTGTCGACTGCGTCAGCGTCGGAATCGCATTCATTCCCGAGGGTCTTCCTATAGCCTTGACCATGAGTCTGACGATCGTCGCAAATATCATGAGGAAGAACAAGATCCTCTGCAAGACACTAGCTACGGTTGAAACCCTCGGGGCTGTTTCTGTCATCTGCTCTGATAAGACTGGCACATTGACGAAGGTAATACTCTATCCACGCATACATATCATACTCGCTAACGATTGTAGAACGAAATGTTTGTGACTGATTGCTTTTCCGGCGGCGAGGAGTTTACGTCCGAGGGGGCCAAGAGTCTCCTTGTCCATGGAGCTGGCCCGAATGATCTTCCAAATGCCTCTGTGGGCGTTCTTCGAGATGTTGCTGGATTGTGCAACGCCGCTGAATTTGATGCATCCACCCTGGACCGGCCGCTGCATTTGACCAAAATCTACGGCGATCCGACTGATCAGGCCATTCTGAGACTCTCCCAATCTCTGGGTCCCGTCAGTGAACTCCGAGAACAGTGGAAGAAGGTCTTTGAAATATCTTTCAACAGCAAGAACAAATTCATGATCCGTGTTATGTCGCCTACGAAGAGTCAATCTGGCGACGGGTAAGTGGAGGACATGGATACGGGAAGGAGGCACGAAGCTGACAGTAGGCTAGGTTGCTGCTTATAAAAGGAGCACCTGATGTTCTTCTACCGAGATGCACATCTATGGTCATGAGAGATGGCAATATCGGCGAGCTTTCAACGGGAGATCGGAACAGGCTCGAAGACATCAAAGACCGGTGGTCCGCACGAGGGAAGAGAGTCATTCTCTTGGCGCAGAAAGAGGTCACCGAAGAATGGGTGACCTCGTTGACTAGTCTTCAGGATGAGCGACTCGTTCTTCACTCAGCTGAGCAACGCCTGACACTTGTGGGTATCGTTGGACTTGTGGATCCTCCCGTATGTCAAGCACGTTCAATCTATTTCCTAGGTCCCACTGACCAAATACAGAGAGACGAAATCCCGGGAGTCATCGACACTCTCCGCAAAGCTTCCATCCGCATCATGATGGTGAGTCTCATTCATATTGAGGGGGATGTTGCACTGACAGTGATAGGTGACCGGTGACTACAAGCTCACGGCACAGGCAATCGCCATAGAGTGCGGGATTATCCGAACTCCGCCTGCACTTATTGACGACGTCAAAGCCCTTGATTTCTCCGAGAAAGTGGATATCACAAGTACCGGCACGACGACCGCTATAGTACTCAGTGGGCCTGAGCTAGCTGACCTTGGGAATGACCAATGGGAGAAGCTGTGCAGCTACGATGAGATTGTCTTTGCCAGAACCACCCCGGAACAGAAGCTCCGTATTGTCAAAGAGTTCCAGCAAAGAGGGCATATTGTTGCAATGACAGGCGATGGTGTCAATGATGCTCCATCCCTCAAAGCTGCTGATGTCGGTGTCGCTCTGGGCAGTGGTTCTGATATTGCTATTGAGGCTGCCGATATGGTCCTTCTGGAGTCGTTCTCCGCGATCTTGGAAGCTGTGAAATATGGCAGACTAGTTTACGGTACTGCATCCTCACTCAGCTCGTGCTCTCGAACACTGCTAACCCAGCTGCTAGATAACCTCAAGAAAACAATCATATACCTTCTTCCTGCAGGAAGCTTCAGCGAGCTGTGTATGCAGAACTCCGATATCATGGGCGATTTTGACAACCTAATTGATTATAGGGCCCGTTATGACAAATGTTATCCTTGGTGTTCCCCAGGTTCTTTCATCATTCCTGATGGTATTTTCGTCCCCGATTCCCCTATTCCTGTCGGCCTTTAACTAATCGTGGTTCACAGATCATTATTTGGTGAATGACCCCTGGATATTTCTTTCACAAACAGAACTAATAAACCTGTCTAGCTGTCTGACTGATTGCGCCGGAGCAATTACGCTGGCGTTTGAGAAGCCCGAGTCTGACGTACTCCTTCGGCCCCCAAGAGACACGCACAAAGACCGTCTCGTCGATGTAAAGTTACTCAACCATGCCTACGTCTTCGTCGGCCTGTTCGAGTGTTTTCTATCATATGTGGTGGCGTTTTGGCACATGCAGGTTTGTCTCCTAATCTAGATATATAACAAGCCTATTCTAATCATGTGCAGAGGAGAGGCATCCCGTTCAGCGCGATGATTCTCAAGTTCAACAACATGGACCCCAAATACGACAAGAACTACGTCACACAGGTTGCTAATGAGGCTTCGTCAATCTACTTTGTCAACCTGGTCATCATGCAGTTCTTCAACCTGCTGGCGATTCGCACTCGGCGGCTAAGTATCTTCCAACAGCCACCGATTTTCAAACGCGAGACACAGAACTTGCTCCTGTTTCCAGCAATGGTGTTTGCTCTGTGCATCGTATTTATTTGTATGCCACTCAATTATTACAGGCTAATCTTTGAGACGTTGCACTAACGAACGGACAGTCTGCTATATTCCCGGGCTTCAGAAATCGATTGACACCACGACGATACCGGTGGAAAACTTCTTCCTCCCTGTTGCGTTTGGTATCGGGCTGCTTGCGCTGGATGAAGCGAGAAAGTATAGCGTCCGTCGTTGGCCGAAGAGCTTTATTGCTAGGATTTCGTGGTAATTTGACGGAATGCCTAGTGGCAGCCACCGTGACCACTGGCAAGGAATTCTTTGTAGCTTCCTCTAGAACATGGGTGGCTACTTATTACACTTTCTGTTTGCTGATATTGCCAATCAATTAAGGAAGGTATACATTTTTTTTGTCTCTAGTCTCCTATCCTTGGCCCGGGTGGATGAGCAGTATGCTTCGATGATAGGTATCTAAAGAAAACTTAACCCAAGGGGATTGAGTCTAACACATCTTCCAGCTAACAAAGAGTCTACCAGAACCTGTTCATAAATTAGAAACCGTCATCATCACAATCATCTGGGACGAACATACCTCTTAGCATACGGACAAATCTCCTCACCTCCATACGAAGTCCAGATCGCCTGCTCGCGCACAGGTGTCCCCGTGCGCGCCGCATTAATCATCCAGCCATCCTTGATAAAGATCCCAACATGGACCACCCCAGAGTCACAGTTCCCATTCTCCCCCCAAAAGATAAGGTCACCCTCCTTCGCCTCCGAGCGACTAATCCGCTTCCCGAGCGGGGAATCATACTGGTCCTGCGCGACACGGGGAATCTCGACCTTCAGCGCCTGGCAGATCGCATACTGCGTCAGACCCGAGCAGTCGAACCCGCCGCTAGACGGCCCATTGCATCCACCGCCGCCCCAGACGTAGGGCAGACCGAGCTCGTCCTGGGCTGCGCTCACGATGTCTGCGCCGGAGCCGGAGCCGGAGCCCCCGCCGTCGCTGCCGCCGGTGCTGCACTTGTCGGTGACATAGCCGGTCGAGCCGGTCTTGACGTAGTAGTCGGAGACGTAGCAGCCGTCGGAGGTTTTGTCCCACAGGCTGTTGCCAAAGATGCTCTCGCCGGCTTGCTGGCAGGAGATCTTTACGTCGGTGCCCTTGGCGTAGGTCTTGACGCTTTTGTTGCTGGTGCCGGGGCCGGAGCGACAGTTTACGCCGTCGGCAGTGATGGTGTAGGCCGTGGCCAGTGGGATTGTGGCGGCGAGGGTTGCTAGAAGGGAGGTGTACAGCATGATGGATGTGTTGACGATGTAGATCGTTGTAGCAAAAAGGGTCAAATAGAAGGTAGATGAGTGTATTGTCTGTCATGAAGACATCCAGAGAGGGAGACGTCTCCTTTTAAATGCTCATTCTTCTATCACATGGTAAGATTGTAGGTTGATCTCATAGCCAAGTTGTAGCCAAATGCCGTCTATACTCAATGCTAGTCACTGAGGCATCGTATTGCCCCCACAAGTTGGACTACACTACAAGCCGTCTCTCGTGTTCGAATATAGCACGTAGTTTTTGGCCCGTGTTTGAAAATAGACATAGACATATTCAGGGACGCTCTTCCTGGCGGCGGATTAGAATACTACTTCGTATACTAGAAGCAATAGACCCCGGCATGAAGCTCGTGGACCTCGTATTCGTAGTGCTGAGGAATGCAGATAGACGCAAGGGACACTATAAATAAACACGATACGGCCTAGCGTCATCTAGCACTGTCGATCATCATTCTTCGAATGTGAAGTAGTTACCCATCCGTTTATTTGTTCACTCTATGCAGGACTTGGATGCATACAGGAGAGTCTGGCTGTACTGATGCATCAACCACTTAACCGTCAGGGCGAATGAAGTACCTACAACAACTAATTCGGACATAAGTCCAGGCGTATTGTTATTCGTAGCACTTCATGTCCTGGATAATTCCACACACATCCCAACCGTATATATCAATGGATATAAGACCAAAGATCCTGAAGATCCGAACTCTCAGTTTCCCAGCCCGCACTGTCTGCTCCACCCTTGGTGAAGAACTTGGCTGCTGCTGAGTCCCTTTTCAACGTCCACTGCAGCCATTTGACCGCAGCGACACCGTACGCTCCGCCATCAACCTGATCATAAGTGCCCCCATGGCCACTCGGATAGTTACCGATCCACTTGGGAACGCCTTCAAGCGCGTGATAGTCCCTCTCGCCCTATTGTCCTCAGTCAGCCATCCCCTAACAGTATTCTCATCATCAGATCACATACATTAGCATACGCAATATCCGTCGGCCCCCCGATGAAATAAAACGCCGGCTTATGCACCTCCGAAATCGTATCCGGACTCTCTACATCTGGGATGACGACAGCGCCTCCAGACGCAGGAGCTTCATCCAGGAACCCCGAATTGAACAGTCCCAGGAAAGAAATCCGATCATCAGATCGCATCTTGTAAGCCTCGAGACCGCCACAGCTCTGGCCCGCTACGGCGATTCTGCTTGCATCGACGGCAGCATACCGTCCGGCCCCCGCCTGTGCGGATATCCAGGAGACGGCGTCGGCCATCATCCCCCAGCTGGTGCTGCCGCTTGCACCGCCCGGTGGCCCGGAGGCGAGAACGACGAAGCCATATGATGCTACGTTGGTGAGGAAATTGGCGAATCTGGTGCCGTTGTTTTCGCAGCCGCCTTCGCCCCAGATTAGGACTGGGAGGGACTCGTTTCTGGCCGGTCTAGAGGGTAGGTAAATGGTGTGGTTGGAGAGAGTAGGTTCCGCGAAGTAGGCCTATTCAAGGGTTATTGTGTCGATGCTATAGGCTGGACGGCTTTACTTACGGCTGGATATGGTCCACTCCCTCCGGCGTGCCTGCAGCTGGCGAATGGGAGAGCCAAGGCACTGAAGCCTAAGTAGGTGGAGAGCTTCATGGGTGAATATGCGTGTTACAAATGGTTGAAGATATCGGTCAGCTAAAAATGGACATTTCATGGAGTGTACTCCGTAGTACATACGTCTTCCCAATTATATAGGACTTCCTTTGTTATTTACCCGTACTGCCGATATGAGTTGTCGATCACCGCATCCTAGTATCTCACGGAACAACCAGCGTCTCGAAACCGACAAGGGCATGCGGAGACGGTGCATACAACCGAAGCATACATGCCTGCTGTGTGCCTGAAGAAAAGGCCCCTGCGGTAGTGGAGATGGTGGAGATACCGCCGTTTAGCCTATTCTTCAGGGCCTTTTGGCTCTTAGCAGGTTATTCAATGAGTGGTGGTTATCTCCACTGTGGGCCTACAAAGATTTTACTCCATATGGAGTAATTGTCGGTGACGGCGGAAAGACCATGGTCGTGCGTGGTCTTTAGGTAATGAACAACGACCTCGAGGATTCGGTCTATATTGTCGGAGCTACGCAGTATCGAGCCACTGTGAGAAGTATAAGATTTGGTGGACAGTACCTAAGTAGTATACATCTACCCGTTGGCCAGTGCGTTCTGTTCCCTAGCGGGGTCCTTACCCTTTTGGAGCCATGCAATACCAGAGCTCCAGCCTTTGGGCAACTCCTCCACCAAGGTACCAACGACATTCATCACCTCGCCCACCTCGACGCCCGGCTACCCGACAGGGTTTCATTGAATCCCGCCTCCGGTCAACGTCACCTCCCCAGCGGTAAAGAACGCGACGATGCCGCTAGCTCACCCAGCCAGGGAAGGCACCAGTCGTCCAACCGACCAGATTACAAGGTTGGGATCCTGTCTACAAGTAACCTGGACCAAATGGCTTCTAATTGCTTTCATATCTCTAGGTGTCTGCGACCGCCGCACCTGTGTCAACCCTGTTGGACTGGCCTGTTTGGTGAAGCGGGCTTCCGAGAGCTCTTACTACCAGGCGGCAGCAGGCGCTATACGTACAGAACGTCCTGGTCGGGACTGGCAGCATCCGAGACATGTAACTGGTGCCGGCTACTACTGATCAACCGAGAAATCACTGACAGGGGCGACGCGCTCACGGTTACTGTTGAGATGCGGGAAGAAGAATCGCGAGATATCACTCCGCCTGGAGTACAGAGACTGTGGGTCTTTTTGAACAACGAGGAATCTGCGCATCATGCTGCTGGCTACATACGCACGTCCGCAAGTATGAGCCACTACCTCCTTTCAGCGGATCTCAGCAGCTCTACTAACCGTGTTCTGGTCTGGTACTACCAGACGACCCACTCGCGAAGCACATTGTCGCCCGCGGCCTGCTCACCCAAGTAGGCGCCCCTGAAGTCTTCCAATCAGTCCTCCAGCATGTTGAGCAGTGCATGTCCGGGCACGAGCACTGCAAGGCAACGGCACACATCAACCCCTTGCCTACTCGTGTGGTCGATTGCACCAATCCCTTGAAGCCAAAACTCTGGGCTACGGATGGCAAAGAGGGCAAGTACATCGCCTTGAGCTATGTGTGGGGGGAGCCACAGGCTCATAGCACGACCCAGGATAGGCTGGAGACGTACCAGGGAGGAATTGAGCTATCAGCCCTCCCGCAGACGATTCGGGATGCAATACGCGTCACGCACAGCCTGGGTTACCGGTTTCTCTGGATCGACAGCCTCTGCATCCTACAGGACTCGGACGAAGACAAGAGGAACGAGATTGGCAACATGCGCAGTATCTATTCCGACGCTTCTCTCGTCATCATCGCAGCCAGCGCAAAAAAGGTAGGCGACGGATTCCTCCAGACCCGGACGTCCAATGTTTCAGAGGCAAATGACACACCGTTGGCTTTTCAACTGCCAGGGGGTCGGATTGGATCCCTCCACTTGTCAACCAACGGAAAATTCTCAGGCTATGACCCTTCTATGGAGCCGGTAAACGCAAGAGGATGGTGCTTCCAGGAGCACATGCTCGCGACACGGGCTCTGGTTTTCGCCTCTCATACACTGCAGTACCACTGCCGGACAAACGGCGTACGCAACATCGGCAACTCTTATAACTATTCACCTGATGAAACCGCCGGCCGAATCCCTGGGAGAATATTCTTCATGGCCGAATCCATGAAGACCCAAGGCTCCTCGATACAGCCACCAGCACGCACTTCGCTATCGGCTGAGGAATGGAAGTCAACCCGCAAGGCGTGGTTTGTCGCGTTAAGGAATTACACGCAGCGCTCAGTCGGCCATCCGGCGGACAAGCTCATTGCTTTTGCGGCCATTGCCGAAACCTTCCATGCCCTTTGGTCCGAGACGAGGTACCTTGCTGGCCTCTGGGAGGACACGCTCTTGGAGGACCTGCTCTGGAAAAAGCCGAAGCCGCCACTCCCGCGCCCCGAGGCATACAGGGCACCCTCGTGGTCTTGGGCGTCTGTCGATGGCGAGACCAATTTGGATGTAATAGACGACATGATGCAACGGTCTGGGGAAGACGCCGTCAAGAGTCGTTGCGAGATACTCTCATGCGACGTTACGCTAGCGGATCCGGCACTCTTGTTTGGCGCCGTCACCGGAGGTACGCTTGTCTTGCGAGCTGCCTTGGTACCAGCCCTGTTAGCGCCTTTTTTCTCAGAAATCGCGTCAGAAATTCAAGTACACGCCCGACCTCGCTGTGGCAACATGGTCGGCCAGGCGGGGTCGAGTACGGAGCATGAATCCACTGCCGACTCGGAGAACCCCAACACAGGAATGGTCACCATCGGTACTTTTTGGCCTGACAGCTCGGATGACGCACGGCTTGGGGAGGCCTGGGCCGTGCCCATGATGTGGAAGAAACCGAATATCAGGTACGGACTCATCGTCGTCCCAGCCAACGAGGATGGAAATGTGGTAAGATACCGACGCGTCGGCCTGTTCACACATGGTGTCGTCCATGCAAATGGAAATGCGGCGGGTATAGACTGGATTGACTGGCAAGATCCCGTAGAGATAGTGATTGAATGAAACCGCACTCAGCACGCTATATTATAGTAAAGTGTGGTGGATCTCGGCAAAGCAAAGTATGCATTCATGAATCTCCAAGTACTCTATCGTCGTCAGGTATCTGTCTATTCTATATAACCATTACCATAAGTCTATCCGTTCCAAATCATGCAGAATCAAATCGTAAATCAACTGTCGTGTATCGTAGATTGAATAAATCACAGGGCGACCGGCTCGCCCGTTCTATCACCCGGTCCAATGCCCTTTCTGCGAACAGCAAAGAATGCAATGATGAGGCCTACGCCTCCTATACCGGCAGAACACCAAAGGCCAGTGGAGTACTGCTGTGCCAGGCCGTGGCCTTGTTCGATATCAACTGCCTCGGTAACAGCGGCGGAGATAGCCAGAGCGACACCAGAGCCTATCTGGAAGGCAGTGTTGAGCTGTACTCATTAGCATAATCCATACACCTTATGGAAGAAAGGACTCACCATTCCTCCGCACAAGCTCTTCACTTGAACAGGGACACTCGTCAATATCACTGTGCTAGTGGTGACAAAGATGAGAGAAACAGCCGAAATGCTGAGGAGGGACGTTGGGAGCACGTTCACCCAGCTGTAACAGTTAGCTCTCTACCCGTACCTTTGGGATACCTAGGATACTCACAAACTAGTCTCCGGACTGGCGGTTATTGCGCTCGGGATAGGCGCCACCATGGTGAGGACCATCCCCGCGAGAAGACAGTACTTCCCGTTCATGTACTCGAGCGCCTTTCCAGTTCCCAGGGATACCACGAACCCGATGGCCCCCATGGGCAGGAATCGAAGAGCCGTGTCGCCCGCGGACAGCTTATCGACCTGTTGCGCCATCAGGACGATGTAGTAAATGACGTTCTGGTAGCTTCCGTAACCGGCTAGACATTGGTTAGCATCTTGCGAGAAGCTCCTGGGTGAGTTATCTTACTGAATCCTGCAATCCAGAGACCGGCAAAGTTCTGGATCTTCCACAAGGAAAGCGGCATGATCGGGTTGCCGATGAACTTCTCCAGGAGAACAAATCCCACGAGAATGGCAACGGTAAGAATCAGCAGAACAATGATGAACGGCTGGCTCCAACCATAGACACCACCGCCGGAGAGCACAAATTGCAGCAGGATAAGGCCGGCGGTTGAGAGGATCGCGCCAAAGTAGTCCATGCGCCCGTTGGTTTTCTCAGTGGTTACGGACTTTGGCAGCACGATGAATCCGAGAATACCTAATGAGCCCGTGATGATGACGATCAGGTAGAAAATATATCGCCAGCCCAGAGACGACGTCAGGAAACCGCCAAAGATCAAGCCAGCGCAGAATCCCAGCGTCCCAGATGCGGCATAAATTGACAGTCCCCGGGTCCTGTCAGTTCCAGTGAAGTAGGAACTGATGATGCCAATGGCAGACGGGACGGTCAAGGCTGCACCAACGCCCTGCAGGCCACGGAAGATGGTGAGCTGGATAAAGGACTGTCCGAAGCCAATGGCCAAGGTCCACACCGACAGCCAGAACAGACCGAGGCAGAGGATGAACTTCCTCCCATACCTGCAGCCATCCATTAGAATTATCTCCGACAAGGGGATAGGCATCCTCACCGATCAGACAAAGCACCAGCCAGGAGTAGAAACCCGCCGAACGCCAATGTATAAGCGGAGATCATCCATTGCAGGTTGCTACTGGAGACGTTAAACTCCTCCTGGATCGAGGACAAGGCGATGTTGGAGCTGGTCATAAAGACATTATCCAGGAACTGCGATCCGGACGTCACCAGCAAGATCAAAGCTCCTCTCCAGGAAGCGAGACGGCCGAATTCGGGTCTCTTTTCGAGGGTGAGAGTATCCTGGCTGTCAAAGGGAGAGTCCAGCTCAACCTTCGGGGTGTCCAACGGCGTCGACCGCTCCGTCGACGACCCAGACCCAGGCAGGGAGATGATCTTGGGCTCGAGGACTTTGGGGACACAGTCCACCTCGTCGGCGCCCTGGCGGCCCACCTTTCGACTGAACCAGTCGACAATCGCCATAATATTGCACTGCGGTGATCCGAAAAGTCTCTGCCAGCTGCACACCCGTCCATGCTGTCTACTTCTTATACTTCTCCTGCTAATAGCAGCAGATTCTGTAAAAAATCTGATTTTTTGGAGCTCCCGAAGTAAAAAGTGGGTATTACCACTTCGGGAGGCATCCGCACGGCAGCAGGTGGATGAAGTGGATGAAGTCCACACCGAACACTGTTTTATCGGCTGAGACGAACGGTCGAGCTTATCGCTAGCAGATTTTTTTCTATCACGTTTGTTGATCTGGCGCCTATCGTCGTTGTTGATGTGATTCACATGGGTCCTCAGCGCGTTGCATCCCAATCTAGAACCCACTCGGCCCTAATCACCCTGCGTGTAGTCCCACTGTCCGTGTAGAATCTTTCAAAGCTCCATACATTTGCCACAGAGATGCATTGCACGTCGGCGTAGCTGCCAGTACAGCTGCAGCTGTGCGGATGCTTTATCCACCGGCATTGCTTCAGATTTGTGTGAAGCAATTTGATTTCTAAGTGTCTCGTCAGCTCAATTTTATATAGAACAATTTGTCATTCCTGCTCTTCTACACAAACCTGTGCTATAGGATTGAAACAAGTAGTATATAGTATATGCTGTGCGAATGCTCCTTAACCCTGGACAGTGTTAGTTATACTGATGGGCTTTTCCTATTTTTGAAGCCTTTTTATCGCACAATCAGACCGAGCAATGGCCACATGTGCACCCTAATTTAACTCGCATTGCTTGCTGATCACTGCTGATCCTAACAGGCTGACAGATCTATTCACTATCTTAGTTAACAAGTTGACCCACTGATTGCTCAGCGCCTGCAATTCAGCAGCGTCTAGACAACAATCGAACGTATTTCTTTATCAAATGCCTAACACTTGGGTATCAATGCTTATATATTGTGAGTCATTGAGACGAAGAATATGGTGTTGAAGCAAGTATACCAAAAGTACTGCGATCGCAGAAACAATTCTATTCACCACAAGTGGCACAAACGCATGAATTACTGTAATGAAACGGGCTTCCAGAGCTAGGCTAAACTTCGGTGTATCGTCCATCTACTTCTCAAGAGCCTTACTCACCTCAACAAACAAAAGGGCATGTAACGTACGGGTGAACTTCGGGAGGCAGCCGAAGTTGGGGATAGTCACACAGGATGACACAGGCACATCAATCGAACGAATAGATAACACATAGCTCTGTGGACACGCAATGAAGACACTGAATCAGAGTGCAGATACTCAAACACGACGCATGTACATCCCCTGCATTTTGACGAAAGTCCGACAATATACAAGCACCTAATCAAGAATCGCCTCACACTTCTCCGGCACCCCCAAAAAGACATCGTCCAAGTAGACATCGCCACTCGTAGACGAATCCTCAGAGTCGCAACGAGCGAAAATATGAAGCACCTCCTCTCGATACCTGGCCTTGTAACTCCCAGTCACCTTGGTCCATCCACCGTTTGGAACCACGTCGTAAGTCGACGCAACCGCCCCGGTAGTCGCGTTTCCGCCCATGTAAACAAGGACATTGCAGAAGTTTGCCGCCGAGGTTGGGGTCATGGCCTGCAGGCTGAAGGTATAGTTTGCTCCAGGCTGCAGGTCTGTGATCCGCTGCGAGACAAGGTTGCCCATCGTGACATAGCCCGTTTCAAGGTCCCTGCCAATAATGATTAGCATGACTCCGTACAAAGCACTGGTGACGGGCGGAACTCACAGGTAATAGTCTCCGCTAAAGGCCTGTGTACCATTGCTTACATGGGCCACGTCGACGACGGTTGTGTACCATGGAGCTAGGACACCGGATTCGAAGGAGGGGTTGGCTACCACGTTGCAGGAGGATGAAAGTGCCATGGTTGCGATATGAGGGCTTGTAGAGCTCCAGATTATGTTGTTCTGGGATGGGAAGGTGAGGAAAAAGAGTGGGATTGCGCAGGACGGTGCTGGAATATAAATCGTAACAGCGTCCGGCAGGATCTAAGAATATGCCACCATTGCCACACAGGAATAAGCATGTCAGCATTATTCTTAGCACTCTGGGCGACCACATATAGCCTAGTTCGTTGTCTAGTTCCATAGTCCATTGGTCCCGTGTCACTGTGGATCGTCAGGCATCCCGGAATCCTTCGCAGGATGATACAAGGCGAATAATGTACATAAACCATCAAGCCACTGATGAGGCTTATCCGTGCTCATGTAAGACATCTCGACTCAGTCAGGCCGACATCCGGTATCAAGGAACAAGGCCCTATACCTGACTCAGGGCGACCTCTCTCGATCATCATTAGGCCGCCGGGCAGTCTACGGAAGTGGTGGCTGTGGAAAGACATGCATTGTGCTATATGTACATAGAAGCATCTTCTATTCCGATTCTATTTTCAAACGCTAGACTGTCTCCCCGAGGACATCCGCATATTTCTCCATCATCGCCTCCCTGATATACGGACTCCGGTCGCGAATCTTCTTCCCCCAGAGCAAGAACGAGATCGGGGCGACAACCAGCAGCAGACTGATAAATCCAAGGAGTGTGCTAGCCCACTGGAAGCCCATTGTCTTGTACATGCTCATCGTCGCAAGAGGCAAAAAGGCCGACAGGGTGTTCTCGCCCATGGCAACGGTCCCCATGACCGTGCCTGCATACTTGCTGTAGGCGTCGACAATATAATCCGCCAGCCCGGTCACCACGACCACGCTTCCCATGCCCACCATGAACAGCCCGACTGCGGGTGCGATCCACGGCAGATCCGGATACGACGTCCAGGCGTACACAAACATACCCCCGCCCATTCCAATAATGCCCCCTCCCACCGAGAGGTAAAGCCGTGATTCGGGGATTGGCACACCGGGAATCTCTTTGTTGCGCGTCGCAGATCCGAAGTATAGTCTCTCCGAAATAATCGAGAATGAGCACCCCAGTGCCTGTCCGATGACAACCGCGGCCTGGACGTAGCCAGCCTGAACAGGGTTCCATCCGTAGAGCCCCGTGAAAACCTGCTCAACCGACTGGGTAAAGAGGTAAAGGGTTCCCACGGTAAAGGCAGACCACAACGTCGAGAAAAAGACCACGTACTCGGTGAAAAACATCTTGAGCGGCCTCTGCACGCTGACACTGATCAGCCCGCGCATCGAGCCGCCCTGGAGTTCCCATTGAGTGTACGCGTTTTTCCCCTGGGCGCGGAGCTTTTTCGCGCGCTGTTTCAAGATGACCGAGTCTCGCGACTCGGCAAGTGCAAACACATTCACGACGAAGGCGATGCCGTACCAGATCAGCTGCATGTATGAGATCCAGCGCCATGACAGAAACTGGAAGATCGATGCGCCCACCACCGGTCCAATGCTGCTCCCGGCGAGGTACCCGAAGATCCAGAGAGTGACGGGCTTGTTGCGTTCTTTCTCTGTCTGCCACACGTTGCCGATGATGCTGGCAGCACTGTTTCCCAGGATCGTCACGCATCCGCCGGCGAAGAAGCGGGTGATGACCAGGGTTGCGAAATTCCGGGCCACAGCCTGCGGGATGACGAAGATGATGAGGAGGAGATGTGTGAGGAGGAAGGTGTACCGGATGCCAAAGTCTTCCATGATAGGAAGCACGATCAACGAGAAAATACCGCCCCCAATGGCCCAGCTCGTCACGGGCCAGTACGAGTGAGGGAAGTGCGCATCGCTGATGTTGAATTCCTCGTTGATGGCCTCATGCGCCACAGTGATAATGGTCCCGTTCATCAAGCAAACAAACGTCATGAAGAAGGCGATGACTGTCACCAGCCATTTCTTGTACTCGGGCCAGTTGAAGGGGTTTTCAGGATCATCTGGGCCGGACCAGTCGACAATGATCACGTCGGAGCTGCATTCTGAGGGAGCTATAGATTGTTCAGCGGGTGTGTTTGTGCTGAATCATCAGTCAACCTACCTGGCTTGTTCTCGCCACCATCAGCCACGAGCATTTCTTTGGATCGTTCGATCTTTGGAAACGATGGAGTGCCTCACGGGAATGTCTGACAGTTGTGCTGGACCCTTGGCGGTTTTGAAGCCAAGACTGGGGCAAGGCTTGTCGGATGCTGCACGTAATGGCCTTAGAGATGATGCAAGATGAGGGTTTCAGGGTTTCTGCCAGCAAGAAAGATGATCTGCGTCAACTTTATGCTCTTCTTCGTCCCTGATTGACTGAAAACAAGATTTATATGAGATTCATACGACTAGACCGCGAAGAAGCTCGCATCCGGGGCCCCGAACAAGAGAAAAAAAGCGAGGGGAGTGAATAATTTCTGTCTGTCAGCGCTTTACGTTTCTTCATTATTATTTCATTCTTCCATGGAACAGGGCCTCAGCCGGATGGACGTGCGAGCTGACGATCTAAAGGCGTCAGAGCCAATGATAGCGCGCATTTTCAATCTCCAACGGAGAGACGGCCTCATCTTCGATCATCATTCGGCTTTCGAGCGCCCTGGTGCCCGCTAGACGGCGGTAGGTCCACTGTTCTGGGCAATGGCCTCCCACGCCATCCGTCGGCTCTGATTCTGTCGTCCCATCTCCCCACTGCCTTCTCCCTCTACTGCCCCGTTTGGGTTAGATCCGGTCACGTGGTGGGCTAGCCCTACAACCGGCGGCTGTTTCCGATTCCTCGGCATTCTTCCTCGGATTAACGTCTATCCCGATATGTGTACACTGGATAATGCAAGCAGCGTCAGTATGCTGGACTTGGAGAGGGAAAGCGGGATTATGCGAAAGCAATCCATGGCTCTAATCTATAAGTTGTTCCGTACTTCACCCGGGGACAAAAGAAGCTTCAAAACTTCGTCCCGCACCTCGTAAACAATACTCTCAGCATCCTTTACCTCATGAATCAGGCCAACAGCGGCACCGGCGTAGGTAGCGAGTCTTCCATCCGGACCCCAGCCGCTGTCGCCAGCCTTGAGAGCTTGGTCATGGAGCTCCTTCAACTCGTCGAAAGGTTTTCCCGCTTTGTGCTCAACAAACGATCTGTTGATGATAGTCCGCGGGCTATACTCTGACGGCCACCCGTGCGTTCCTCGCAGCTGGTTATACAGGGTCGTCCGGGTCGTTGCCACGGCCCCCTCACTGGCGCGCACAATCTCCCCCTGATATCCATTGCTAATACGGGCCTCCTTGGCTGCAAGGAATCGCGTACCCATAACAACACCCGAGGCCCCAAGGCACAGCGCTGCTGCGGCTCCGCGGCCATCTGCAATGCCACCCGCAGCAAAAAGGGGAATATCTGACCCAGCCAGTGTATCTGCAACTTCGGGGAGCAGCGTCATAAGCCCCATTCCGTCATCTGCTCGGCCGTGACCGCCCGCTTCGGCGCCCTGCACTACGACCACATCAGGTCGTTCTGTGCTAGTCAGAAGCTGTTTAACCTCCGACACGGTACCGATCTGGATCCAGATCTGGGTTTCAGGGGAAGCGTCGCGGATGTACCGTGTCCAAGTATCAAAATCGCTTTGTCCTCCACGAGGAGCAAACAACCATGCTGCACAAGGTTTGAATTTGGCGATGGCAGCGACAGCGACGTCCATGTCATCACTCCAGAGTTGGAAACCAACACCGATAGGCAGCATAGAATTAAAAGGAGAGGTCTCGGCGAAGACAGAGGAAGAGCGAAGCTGTTCCACCAATCGAGACGCCTCCTCAAGGTCACGGGCAGTATTTTCCGTTTTGATTCCGGGGCCTATGAAACCGAGACCACGGCTGCGAGAGACAGCGACTGCCAGTGAGGGGCCTGACATCACCCGCATCGGCGCCCCAACAATGAATGGGCTCGAGACCCATGGATAGGAATGGGAGATTCTGGACGCAATATGCAATAGTCGAGACATTCTTCTCAAGTGATGTAGGAGTGTGGTGTACGCCCCCTGGTCCTGAATGTTGATATTACTGGAAATTCTCGTTGGGCGAGGATCGCGTCCGTTATAAAGTATCATCTCGGTGCGGAGCGGGTATTGCGGCAATATCGGGATGCGGATGACCAATTCACATGAAAGCCGCAGTGGTCAATACTGCGTCGAGGAAGTCCTACATAAGTGTATCAATTTGCATGCAGAGTCACATCTCTTAGCCCGTCCCAAGATGAAAACAACAAGAGCCAGGTGCATAATGACTTGATGACAAATGGTGGCACAACCATCACAGAATCTCCGAATCCTGGGATAGTCGAGCCATGTCGGCTTGCAGAAACTCATAGAGATCCACTCCCTGCAGCGTCGGAACGTCAGCAACCAAACCCTCCAGCCAAGAGACCTCGTCGGGATTCGGGACTATCTGTCGATGAAGTGGCGCCGAGATGGGATCCTGATTGTGATCGTTCAAGAGATGGCTCAGCAATTTAGTGTCCTCCGTCCTGCGCCGTTGGTAAAGCGTTATCAGGAGACGGGCTGTACTGTATGCGTCTCGCATCGTGTCTGTGTCATACGTGGACGCAACAAGTTTCAGGGTCTGTAATGCATTGGGGAGAATTGCCAATGCGGGACTAGTATCCATTTCGAGGAGGACAGTGATCATCTGGAATGGGACGTTGGCTACATGATGCCAGGGACAACAAGTTGCAAGCATGGTCCGGGCAGAATCCAGCGCTCTTCCAAATAGATTGAGGATCTGCATCATCGTTTCGGACGAGGCAGTGATGTTTGTCATGCGTAGACGGCGAAGAAGGCAAAGCACAAGATTGCACTGGCCAAGAATGGACGGTGGCTGCGTGTGGTTTCCATTAAGTGTACGCAATAGAGCCACCCTGAGGTCATTGTCGTTGTTTTCCTTCTCCGGGCTCAGGCTCGCAGACACATCCAAAAGGCTGAGGATTTCCACCGTGAAGTCACCGGGTCTCGGGGAAGGGAGCACCAATGAGTCATTGGGATAAGAAACTCTAGAAAGACCAAGATCGTAGGATATCCAAAGATTTAAGTGCCGCGATACCCCCACGAGTCTTTTCCGAATATCAGGATCACATCGCGCATTACTTCCTGTTTCGTTTGATGAATCCTGATGCAGCTTTGCCGCTTCGATCAGATGAATCAAGGTAGAACTTGCTATCCACGCCGGATATGGCGGAGACGTCATGCGCAAGTAGACCACTCGAAGAGCCCATGCTGTTACGACGTCCAGCGAGGGAGGTTCGCGGCTGAGATGTGAATCCACAATGGAGCGCGCCAGCTCTATTAAGCACACCTCCGTTATTTTGATACTCCGTTCGGAGAACAACAAGCCCAGGGCTGCCACACCAGCCAGTACACTGTCATAAGCATCATTGGGCGAAGAAGATCTCCAACGGGCATCCAGGCGTGCGAAAAATACGGCCGAATCTATGAAGCCGTAGCATGGATCCACCTTGGTGAAATAAACATTTGCCAGCGATTGCATTTCAGCAAGAGAGACGAGATCGACAATAGGTACCACAGAGACAGTCCCCAGTCCGGAGGGGAGTTTTCTAGTACCGATATTCCAACTGAATAGGTTCAATTTCGGAGCATTGGCCGGATCGACTTTCAGCGCGATCTTCCTCACAAACGCTGCGCCAGAGTTCGCCTCCAGGGACTCGGTGAAGTCACTGGCATGTGATGTAGTCGGGATATGTGGCGTCTCTATCGGGGAGCTACCAGACTGAGCTACAGCACCTGGAGTTGCATATTTCGTCCGTCTCTGGGATGCGTAGTGACAGTCGTAGCCCCAACTGGTGCATGTGGAACAGGGAATGTCTCCGTCGCATTTCCGTTTCCGCTCGCGACAAGGCTCACAAGCAACCCGAGAACGCTTGCGCTTGTATTGTGCAGGGGTTAAAGACATGATCTACCGAATGAGATATGATATGGCTGAGAGAGGGTTGTAATGCAGTCCGACGGGCATGAATAAGTCGTCGCGGATATTGCGGATCTTCCCGCAATAGCCGCGGCGGTTGTTCAATGCATACTCTGTAGATTAGTGATAGATTATTGAGCAATACAACAAAGCAGTCCGGAAACCACGGGCGCGGATACCAGGGAGTAAGAACTGAAAGACTGTCTCGATGTCAGTTGGTATAGGAGAAAGACGAGGTGATGCGTGGGACGATGCACTGCAATTACGATACTACTAGGTAGGACAATCGATATGCACGTGACTAACCGACGTGACGCGTCTTCTGGGACGCGTTGATTGACAAAAAGTTGTCCGTCGCTCAACGACCGTGTATACTTCTACAGACTGGTACTATCCTCACCTCATCGAAGACAATCCGAGGCCAAGTTCATCATGGTCCAGCTTCTGGACCTCCCCAAAGAGATCCTATCTCAATGTGTCTCCTATCTCGTCCCGCTCGGCGAAATGGACGATTACGAAGATGAAGCAGACGAGCAAATGGACGAGATGGATCTATCAAATCTCTGCCTTGTGTCGCGGAAACTTCGCAACATCGCCCAGCCATTGCTATTCTCCAATTTTGAGGATCTTGATACCCACGGCGACTTGAGGCGGTTGATGGCTTTTACAAAGGTCATCATCTCGCACCCCGAACTTGCCGAACACGTCCAATCCATCAGCTTAACGCCCTTGGTCTTGAATCCATTGGAACCATTTGACAGAAAATTACCTGCCGAAGACCTAAAGCTGTTCACAAAGGCGATGCGAGACCTGCAAGTACCGAGTGATCAGGAGAATGCCTGGTTGTTCGACCTAGAGTTCCGAAATTTGAGCTTCATACTGGCTCTCCTGCTAAGCAAAACTCCTAATCTCCGTAACCTCACTCTTCCCGGGGCGTTTGTAATGCTAAAAGCGACCGACTATTTATTCACACGCAATCCGTCCTGCTTGCCCAATCTCAACCGATTACGCATCGAAGGCCACCCAGAGGTGGCCTTTTCATTTGGTATACACATGTACGAGAAATTCTGTTCTCAATTACCGGTCAAAACTCTTGAGGTACAAAACGGTATGCTCACGGAGCGAGCGTTTCCGGCTTCCTGGACCCCCGATTCCCTCTCGGTCGAGGATATATGCCTTACCTTCTGCGATATAGATCGCAAGAGCATCACCAAATTGCTGCAGGCCTGCAAAAGCGTGAAGTCATTTGTCTGGACCAACTGGTCTGAGGATCTGCAATTACAGGACTGTCTATCGGAAAAGACGATGGATTTTGACGGAAACCATCTGCATGCTATGCTTCTCCCACACAAATCCACTCTGAAAAACCTTCAACTCCTATTCGGCGATCTGTGGGACCATGATCAAAATGGCGTCTATCTTGAGCGAGCCAAATTCCCCTCCTTCCGTGACTTCACGGCGCTGGACACGCTTTATATAAGTCACCGACTTCTTCCACCTAACCCGGAATTTCCCCCGTCTCTGGAAAAGATTATAGTCGGAGACTGCAGCAAATCTATCCGTGAATGGACGCGCAAATTCGCAGCAGACTGTCACAATGGTTGCTATCCTTCCTTGCGATGTATTCTAGTTTTGGCGATGGATCTTTCCCAGCCCGTCATGTTGCCCGGTCAAATTGTTCCCGTGGGTGAACAACCTGTGGATGCCTACTCCAATCTTCAGAACCTGTTCAAGGGTACAACGGTGGACTTCAGAATTATGCCTTACAATGTGGAGGAGATGCTGGGGGATCACGAGCTGGATGATTACGATGATTATGACGACCTTGAGGATGGTTTAGAAGATTTTCGTTACGGACCGGGAGGTCACTCTGGCAGATTCTACGGATATTAGGATTGCGGTGAGGATTGGTATGAGTACAACTATGACCCAGACTCGTTGCCTCGCCTGCGAGATCTCGTGATCCAGTCTCTGCGGGAACGTGGCATGAGAGTTGACTGAGCTGGGGCGCGACTTGACGTCGAATGGACTTGTGCTTAATGAGGGTCTGATTTTTTGGCAACGACTATATATGAAACGACACGATGTATGTTCCGGGATATGGAAGCGATATTGTGACTTGGTTATGTTTATTTCGGGGCCTGGTATCGTTCTTGCCCGCGCCTTTTGGGCTGTCTGTATATAGATTACGTTTTTTATGTCCGAGTACCACTGTATTGACAAATGCTGAATAATGGAACGTCCTTAGGACATGGCGCATCCACTTGGAAGACGTTTCTGTACGCCTCCTCTGACAGATTTTGGCTGGGCGTCGTGGGAAAGCTAGGCGCCTATATACCATCTACTCTACATCCCCACCTTCGACCTCCTTCATCATCAGCTCTGCCTCCCCAGCAATTCTCCTGATATAATCTGGCTCATCTTCTTTCCTCGCAGCCTCACCAAACCTCTCTCTCCAAAGTTTCCACCGCTCCTTGGAAAAACCGTGCTTCCCATTCCACAACGGCCCTCCACAACCCGGGGCACCAACCAGCATCCCTGCCTTATACTCTTCGTCCCATTCATAGATCTCCACGCCTAAGAGCTCAATCCACGCTGCTGCGGCAGGGATCCACGCCTCCAGGGGCTCATCCGCCCGCATCTGCACCCACGGCGTCTCAAGCGCTATCCGGAGCGTCACGAGCGCAAACCATGCATCCGCCACGAAGACAGGCTCGTCGGTCGCGACGAGAAGGGCCACGAAACGATTCACATTCACCGTCCTTGCGACAGCGGCGTTCCTCTCTTCTGGTGTCGTGGTACCTGGAAGCGGAACGGAGTCATCCCAGTGCCGTCGGATCTCCCAGCGTAGCAGTGGCAGGTCCCTCCACACTTGCATATCGTGGAGAATCAACGGCTGATCTCGTCCATCGTCACCGGGTTGTGTGGCGTCCGGGAGATGCGACATGTCCACGAGAAGATCGACTAGCTTATCCTGGTGTTCAGAGTTCGTGCATGCAATCTTGAATATTAGGTGCCAGAGCTGGCCGAGCTGGGCTTCGAGGGATGCATCGAGTGCTAAAGCAACAGACGCTAGTTTGGCGGCTGTTTCTGGGGAGTGGATTTTGCCTGCGAAGAGATCGCGCAGCACTGCGAGGTGGGTTTCTAGATTGTAATCGCTGCCTTCGGTGTGGGTAGGCAGCTGATTCGTGTAGAAAAGGTCCATTTTGAAGGCGAGAAGGGATGGAGACTTGAGTTGGCTTATGGTGGTATATTGTTGCTCTTTCTCCTCTGCCCCTGGTTTCTTAGCTAACGCACCCCACCACCCGATACTCCAGCCTATATTTTTGGCCCCCTCATGATTCAGCTTAAGAACGCCTCACCCCCAAGATCACCTCGTACCTAACTACAGTGCCACAGTTTTTGTGTCCCAGCACCTAAATGAAGGCAAGCAGTTCAGGAGAGCCTGTGCTTTCGGCCCAAACCCGTGAACCACCTCGCAACCCTACCCTCCTCCGTGTCTCGAAGTATGCGTTCTGGATTCTAAAAGCGTAAGCAAAGCTCTCTTGGAACTTTTGTCAGTAACCACTCCCACATTGATAGATAGGCTCGGCTACGGCATGCCAATCCTGACCGCAGGGGTCTACTTTCACTGCTATCTCTATCAATAAAGAGAGAAAGAAGCTTGTCGACGGGATAGATCGAAGACGATGATAATCCTGAGCTGTCTCTTTTTGGTTTGGTGGCCTCTGAACAATGCCCTTGCTTATTACGCCCATCGCCGTGTTCGGGCACCTGCCGAGTGAGTTTGTCTGAGCAAGGATTGATAGGGCGTGTGATCATGTATCCTTTTCGTCAGTCGAATATTTTGTTGAAGACTTCGATGAAGCTCGGCGTTAGCAGACTGCCAGTGGCCTGATGCTAGCAATGCGCATCGTTGGCCCTAGTGGTTTAGTGTCTGCCGCCATCACAAAGTCCGTCGTGTTAGCAAGGAAGATGCACTGTTTTCGTCCTCTTCCGGGCGGCACAGTTACAGAGCTGTTTAGTTGTTTGGCCCATAGGTTGAGTAAAAGATACATATCGTTTGCGGAATGTACCACCAACTTCATGTTGCCTTGAATACAACTACTAAGAAAAACGTTTGTCTGATGGATGAAACAATAACCACTCGTCACCACTGCTGTAGAAATGCTTTGGTACAAGCAGCTGCAGTGGCCGCAGCATATTCCTGCCATCGCTTATTCTTGTGACTGTCGGCATAGTCACAGACGCCCTTGATGATCACGCAGGGAAAAGTATCCCACACCCCTGCGCCCTCCATTTCGAACGCAATGATATTGCTCTCCGCAGCCACTTGATCCCGATGTATCTCGGACTTGACAACACTGTCTCCTGAGGCGATAAGGCCAATGTGAACAATCGGGCTATTCAATCGATTGCGACGCCGGCGGCGGACTAGTTGCCTATCGTCACAACCAAGGTCTTCACATGTTGAAGTTCGCGCGAGATCACACACCGAATCCGTGTGCCGTTTGCAGGCTGCACATATTGGGCAGACTTGAGGGTCTTGGTGCTTGTGCCGGTAGGACGACCTGTACAGTTTGTCTTCCTCGTCACCCGGATAAGAAGCCACATCATGCTCGATTTCTGATAGGAACTGCGAGGTTTTCCGCTGGAGGATTGCTCGGTGTACTATCGTTTCCAGCTTGGCAAGCAATGAACCGATTCGGTCGTTCGGCCTGCCTAACGAATGTTCCACATCAATCTTGCGTCGAAACTGGTCCGAGAACTGCCGGCCGAAATCATATTGGATGACCCCTTTGCTGATGACCACATCTCCAAGGAGAATCTCCTCTTTATCGGACTTGTTAAATGGCACACCGCCACAAACACCCACAACCAGAGCAAGTTTAACCTTCTTGAAGCTCAAGGCACAGAACGCGGCGACGCTGGCGGATGCAGTTCTGCCCATTCGAGGGGGGTGGGCAAGCACCACGTTCCGACCCCCTAACACTCCAACAGAGTAAGAGTTTGGGTCATTCGCCTCTTTTCCATACGTGTAGGTGTCTTCGTCCCAAAGCTGATCGAACAGAGACAGAACGGCATTGGCCTCCAAGGGTAGTGCACAGATAATGGCCACTTCAAAGTCCTCTCGACATGTCGGCCTTGATGGTGCCGTTGTTGCTAGGGGATACCGCTTTCTGGTTTCATCACACCCTGGGCGTTGTGTTTGGTGTGTCTGTAGTATATTTTCTGCGCTGGCCGCACTGTCTGAGGACTCTGACAGGCTGGATAGACTTCGCGTACGAGCTAGAACAGCTCCCTTCTCGGACAGCCGCTCACGTGCGTCAGTTGTCATCTGGTTTGGCTCCACTTTCTGCTCTATTTTCTCCAGATTGCCGTCTTTTATCTCCGCAATGACCCTGCAAACGACATCGTGACCGGAACCATTTCGACGAAGGCGATTCACTTCGTCCTTCGACCATTTGGCGCCTTTTTCTAGATCCTCTTCAAGTGGCCTCACAGCCTTGTTATAGTAGGTGGTCACGAAATCCCTGTTTGCAACAAGCTCTTCGTGGTTTGCGTTGACGAATTGAAGAAACGACGTCCTATCAACGCAGAAGCTGGCTGCGCGTAGCAAACCGGACTCGCCAAACCGCAGGCTGCATTCACGTAGAAGCCTTGGAGCGAGCTGATATGGTCGGCCTTTTAGCTTCTCAATATCTGGGTTGCTGTATAAGTCGCATAAGTCATCACCTAGCTCAATCTCGGCTAAAATGATTCCCAGGGCGAGAATGACGGGAAATGGATGGACACTGTACGGGTTTCGTCGAGCCGTACTATCCCTGCCCTGTGCGCCATCTGTCTTGAAGAAGGTTGAGAGGAATACCTTATCAAAGAGCGGATACGGTCTCTGGTTCTCGATCCGGCAGAAGATGGAGATGTTGTCGATATTCAGCCACCGATTTACCCACGGTCCTTCTATGAGGTGCAGCAGAGATCTTGCCAAAATGACCCCCAGTACTCGTTTTGCTGCATAGGTGGGCTTTACCATCCTGAGTACCTTCCCAAGGTCCAGTTCCATATACTTTTCATCTGGCTGGAAAGCCTCCAGAGGTTCACCAAGGCTTTGGTCCCACAAATTATTATTTTCGTCCATCGCAAGATGAAGGCAAACAGAACGCGAATCTGCAGGATCTACCAGACACACCGGGGTGCTAGTCTCAGTTGTAACTCTACATCGCGTCAGCTATCATGCAAAGAGACAATATATGGCAGGTCTCACCCGTTAGAATGCAGACGCACTCGGCATTCTTGTAGAGTGTCTGAGCCAGCCAGCAAGACGAAGAAGCTTCCGTGCAATGGATCTGGAGATTCCGAGCTCCAAAAAGGGTCAAGATAAAACTTTGCACTGGTGCAATGTCCCAGTTTTCCAGTATGATCGTGGAATTCTGATTGACAAGGCCAGTTATGATGTAGCACATCATATACGGTCCCCGCGAGATGTCGAACGCTAGGTCCATTGCAGAATCCAGTGGCATCTATAAATGGGTGCCCACGTCGATTCTCCAAAGCCTTCTTCTCGTACTCGATGACTTCGCACCCGTAGGCTTGGTCAACCAAGTCGTTCCAAAAAGTCAGACACTCAGTTAGCTTGAGGACGAGACTGCCGTCATCCGTTAGGAGACCTTGTGTCCGAATATCCGAACGACCGAGGTTCCTGACCAGTTCGTGGAGTAGATAGAGGTTTGGATACATGGTAGCCCAGTCGTGGACGGATTTTCGAGCATTAGCTGCAGGCGTTGTCAGCCATGAGAAAAGGCTGGTCTTTCTTGACTTCTCGTTCATTGCCTCCAGATAGTTCGATTTCAGGTAGTCGCCATTGAGGGCCCGGTTGAAATCGAATGCAACGTCGGTGAGGTTCCGGAACAACCCTTTGCGCCATAGGTCATCCTGTAAAAGCTCGATATTTCTAATCTCGGCCAGCAGAAGAGCGAGAGCCCGCCTCAAGTCACGGTAGGTCGACAACGTATTCTTGAGAGCCTCACCAAGAGCTGTCGCGACGACAGCAACAAGTTCGATCAAACTGCGTCTTTGTTCTGCATTCAGGGAGCTAACCTCAACAGAATCACGCATCTTGCAACATAATTCTCTTTCATTTCATGCTGTTCTGAGGGGTTGAGAGCTGGTGAGATTGAAGTGAGAGGGTTGGAGACGGCGCTAAGCCCCTCACTCAGCTGCTGCATCAGTCGCGTTGAAAACGAGCCTGACCCCTCCAACAGCAACATCTCCTCGCTTTCTCTAGGCCTGCTCTTTTAACTTATGTCTATCGCGAACATTGTCATCGGTCATCCGCTATGGCTATCGCGGCGAGCGCTACCAAATGTGCTCGGCTCTTCGAAAGCCTGCTACAGCTTCCCCCAAGTGATGATTTGAAACAGAACTGGGAGAGCGTGGTATTTCGATTTAATATCTGGTGTGAAAACAACTACATTCTGCATCCTCGAAGGGCTTCGATGGACTGGCGCCTCAGAGATGCGCCCCTTATCGAGTCGGCCATGGTCGAGGTGCTTGATGAATTGAAAAGAGATCTGATCCGTGAGCGCCTTCGAGCAAACTGTAGCACATGTGCACTAACTCCTGTTCTAGAACACACCACTTTTAGCGTCAGCGAAAATAGAATTCTGTTTCCTCCGAGCGATATACGCTATTCGCTGAACCGGCTTTGGCGGCTCTCTCGTGCTATTCGTCGGACAGACGCCCTTCACGGCGTTCCCGGATTTGCGGACTGTATTGAGTATGACGAGAATGGAGTGAACCTCACAGAAGAGTTCAAAGAATTTGCCAAGGCAGCTGTGGAATCTCGACTAGACTCCTCCATGGCAAGCGAAGATTTGAAAAAACGCATCTTTGATACCATCTGTCTACGCCAGCAACACTTCGCGTATCTGAGACTCATCAATCAGACAAAACAGCCAACGAGTCATCCGAATGACTACTTGGCTTCCACGGTACCGGGGTCCAGATCAGATATGGCTAGCCTTAAAGCACCACGGTCCTCGAGCTCAAGGACAATACCAGCTACGAAGTCGCCCAGGGGTTCAGAATCGGATATCCCTAGCATGGCGACGACCAGTACAGAACCTGAACGAGGGAAACATGTACATTCACTCAAACCGGCGAGCGGTAACGACGACGATAAAAGCTCACGTATTGTTGACAAACTTCCCCCTCCGCCAAATACAGCATCCCACTTTATAGAGTCTTGGTGTCCATACTGCTTCTCACTCCATCCGCCAATGGAGTTTAGTGGCAAACGATGGAAGTGAGTACTTCGACAGAATAGTAAGTTGCTGAAGTGCTGATACATAGAAGAGAGCACATTCTTGAAGATCTTATGCCATTTGTCTGTATATTGGAACCGTGTCTGACGCCGACTAAACTCTACGAGTCCGAAGAAGATTGGGTCAATCATATGAAGACCCAACATGGCATTGGTTGTTGGACATGTATGGACAACAGCCATGGTAAAAGCCTGATATTTCATGAGGAAATCGCGTTTAGGTCCCATATGCAGGAGTGTCACTTTGAAGAGGTTGACTATGAGGAATTGGATGACCTTGTCGCCGCATGCTACCAAACGCTGCCCAGGGATGATGTGATTACGGAATGCCCGTTTTGTGTCGACGCAGAAGATAAATCTGGCAACGTCAACCTGATAGAACATGTCACTGGGCATCTCCTTTCTTTTGCCCAGCTATCTTGGGAAGGACGTGATCCGGGGGCCTACCTTGACAGGGTTTTACGGGGTGTGTGGATGGCTGAGGGCCAATGGTGGCCTTGATCATACTGTCGTTTGTACTAATTTCTATGGAAACACGAAGGAGGCTCTGAACATGCAAATATGTCATCACAAGGTTGGCACATAAACCCCATGCTTTCGTGCCATGACTGAAGTTGACTGCGATAAATTCAGACTCCGGTTTATTGTCCGCCTGACACCAGACAAGCAGTGCCTCCTGAGGGTTGCAAGGACGGCAGGGTTTAATTTTGGGGCTCAGACACACGGATACCTAGCCCATGTGATACTTTTAGAACACCGAAGGGATTTTACGTATCTCCTGCCATCTGCCACAGAAACTTCTGAACTTTACCCTGCTAGTCTGTCCCACGGAGAGACTGTTTCCCGGGGGTACGTATACATGATCTCGTAGGTAGAGCTGGGTATGTTTGGGAACATGAATGCCGAACATTTGTTCATCCCAGCTCCATCTAGTATGAAATGCGAGTTTTCGCATGCATGTCGGATAGCTTGACATTCGAGTAATATTCTAAGGGTATACACGTTGTGCGGGTTCTGTATCTAGTCCCAATCATGCACGAGAGCAGTTCCCTATATAACAACGTTGACGAAAGACCAACCTTTAACTCCGGAACCTAGCCCATGAGATGCGGAGATCACAGCAACTTCTGCAAGGACTCCGCATCTACAAAAGGAACAAGTTTCTCTCCCATCGTCCCCGAACACCAGCCATCCAGCGGCACCATCCAGTTCGGCGGCGTTAACTCCATATTCCGAATAACAAACCCAATCGCCCCGTTTTCCAACCCCGAATCCAACCGCAGCCCCTGACACACCTGATTATCGTAGAGCGCGGGGAACATGGTCAACTTGCCGCAGGGCGTGCGGCGCGTAAAGACCCCCGAGAGGATGATCAGGGCGAGGGCACCCAGCATCAACACCAGCGTGTACAGCCGGTACCACCAGGAGCGGATACATGGGATCACCGTGGTGGTCGTCTGTCCGCCACGGATCAGGTAGATCGTAAACAGCACGGCGGACATGCCGCTCATGAGTATGTACACCGCAGCAAGGAGGATCAGCGCTGAAGCGGCGCTGGAGGTGACGACGGCCATGCTGGCTGCTCCGTAGTAGGGGATCACGTAGCAGACGCAGATGCCGAGAATGATGCAGATGAAGAGGATGTAGACGGTGCGGATGATGATGGGGGCGATGGTGCCTGTCGGCGCTGGGTTTTTCGCGGCGTCTAGCCTGTCCACCTCCGTATCGGGAAATAGTGTAGAGTTGTCGGTACCGTATGTCGTGGCATGCTTAGTACCCAACTCGCCGTCATCGGCAGAGGGAGGTAGCGGGTACGAAATAGGGTGATGCGCACCCTGTGGCATGAGTACGGTGTCGCCCTCGTAGGATGCATGCTCAGCATAGGTGTACAGCTCCGTCAACCACGGAGCAGCAAACAGGCGCAACAACCCAAAAACAGCGAGCGGGTAAAACACCGTGTCCATGGCCATGGTCGCATTGAACGGATGATGGTACTTCATAGAGGCCAGGGCCATGATACCGCGGACCAGGACAAAGAGCGCCTGGATTCCCTGCGCGGTGGTGATGAGCGTCTTGACCGTGTCGATCGAGAAGACCTTGGTCCGGCTGTCCCTAGGCACGCGCGTGCAAAATGCCCGACTCTTATACATCATTTCCTCGGACCCGTCGAAGCCGTCGGAGGTCCAGAAGAGGGCGTTGCTGGCGGCCATGTCGGCGGGGTCCCAGGTGCGATGATATCGCGCCCGCCGGTCTGCGATCGCGAGGTATCGCCATAGAATCGAGGTGGGATTGTACAGACAGAGTGTGTCGATCCACGACGGCGGCTTGGGACATCGTCGCACCACGGTCGGTACGCCGGAGAGGATGTGCGCGATCAGAGGGGATAGACAGAGGGTTAGAATGCTGACCCAGTCTTCTAGGTCCAGCACGGTGGTCTTTTCGGCATAGTCGAAGATCTGGCGTGTGATCGGGTCGACCTCTACGCCTTCGGTGATATTCATGTTGGGCTTTGAATGCGGAGAGAAGACCCAGGGTGTTTGGGGTTTATCAACAGCGTTTTAGTTGCAACACTGCCTCAGGATCATCGCGCTTGGGCTTCTCTCCATCCTGATCATCCAGCCTGTTTCAGCCGCAGACTAGTGACATTAGTCGCTTATAGGCTGGTGGCAGCCGTTTAGATGACGATCCACCGGGATAATTGGGGGCCAAAATGCATCTGCTCGATGACTTGTGCAGGGCACCTTTTCTGCAATATTGAGCGATGGAAGCACATTCAAGGGAAGACGTCTTATTTATGGTGTTGGGTATCTCTTCAATTCGAGGACATCGGTCTAAAACTGCCTGATTGGATATCCAATGCTCAATGCAAACTGTACAGCAATGCAGTCAAAATCATATCACGTCCACGCCGCCCAGTTCAGTCCGTCGCGATACTGGAGGCCAACCTGCGGCCCCTCGTTCGAGATGATATACCCATCCAGGCACTCATCATAACTGACCTTGGGCTGCTCCTGGTAGAACCTGTCGTACTTCCGTGCCAGCGCATCCTTCAGACTGTTCACCGATCCGTCCGGGTGCAGCACCTTCCACGGCTCAATGCAGGTATTTCCTTGGCAGGACTGTAAGACCAGGACGAGGGCATCCAGGCGGTTCTGCACAGCGGGTAACGGACGTCCCAGGTAGTGTGCGTTTGTGGTGTTGGTCGAGGAGTACAGGTTTGCGATTTGGTAGGGGTCCGTCTGCATTTGTTAGCTTCGCTTCTTCACCGTTCGACGATAGAGAGAAGACCTACCGAAAGATCGTAGAGCTCGTGCTCGCCCGTGCACCATACAGCGTAGTAAAGATTGTAGTCTTCACTAACAACACGAGCAGACTTGTAGCTGTTGTTAGGCAAACGGGTGCTACCATTGGGTCCTGTGTCCGGTGAGCGAGTTGTCAATAGCGAGGCAGATGCACGTTCTACGTACCAACGCCCCCAAAATCTCCCTCGGTAAGCAACGTGCCCCAAAACTCCACGGCGACATGCTCGTGCTTAGTTCCACTAGAACTCGCGATTGTCATTGGTGTCCCGTCAAAGTCCTTGCGAAGAGGGATGCCCGCAAGATCAAAGAACGTAGGGACCAGGTCAATATGCGTGCTGACGCTGTCCACCGTCTTGCCCTCAGGGATTCCAGGGCCGCGGATGAAAAAAGGAACACGAATATCTTCGTCGTAGCCGGTCGTCTTGCCGGGCCCGAGACGGTGCTGACCAATATGGAACCCGTTGTCGGCAGAGAAGATCACGTAGGTATTGTCGATGGCGCCGCTCTTCTCCAGGCGATCAATGAGCTTGTCAACCATCTCGTCGACGCTCTGCAGCGCGCGCAGACGTTGCCGGTAGAAGTGGTCCTCATAGTCGACGACCGTCTTGTTCTGCAAGGGCAGGTCCCAGATCGAGCTGACGCCGGTGCGCTGGGCCAGTCAGTACGTGCCACTCCGTATCCTGGGGTTCAATCTTACGTTAAGCGGGTTGAAGTTTGCCGTCCGCGGGACCTTGACATCCTTAAAAAGGTGACGGTGACGAGGGGCAGGAATGGGTTCCGTCATCCTCCCGCTGCCGGCGGCGGAAGGGTCAATGTTGGAATGCGGCGCGATGGGGGCGACGGTCAGGAAGAACGGGCGATCACTTTCCAGAGCATCGTCCAAGAAACCGAGGCCCTTCTCGGTGATCACGTCGGTGGTGTATTGGCCGGCGTAGCTCTTTGGCGGTTCATGGTTTCGCTGGTAGCTAGAGTTGTAGTACGAGTAGGTGTGGGGGTCGAGGAGGAAGTCGGAGCCATTGAATCCCTTCACGAAGGGATGGTTGTACGTCGTGAAGCTGTGGGAGTTCATGAGCTTGCCGGTGTAGTAGGTGTTGTAGCCGGCATTTTGCATCCAGATGGGGAACCAGTCGTCGTTGAAGCCCTGCGCGACAAACTTGGGATATCCGCCTAGGGATGTCAGCTTGCTTGATCTCGCCCTAGTCGAACTCAGGACTCACCCCATGGAGGGTTCACATCCGTCACGTTGGTGTTGTGCGCCTGCCGACCTGTCCACAGACTGACCCGAGACGGACAGCACAGCGCCGTGGTGACAAAGTGGTTGGTGAACTCGACGCCCTTGTCCTTGATGCGACTCAATGTCTTGGGCATGTACTCCGGGGAGCCCAGTTGGCGGTCCTGGTCGTCGGTGAGGATGAACAGGAAGTTAGGCCGCTTGGAGGGCGTCCGTTCCAGCAGAACATGTTGCTGCTGAGGAACAGCGTCTGTGGCAGCCAGGAGGCCAGCCAGGACCACGACGTTGGAGAACTTCATGCTGGTGCTTGAGCTTGATTGAGTAGGTGGCGCGTGAGTTCTCTTCCAACGGCTGCGCTGACCACTATGAATTATATAGACTGAGGTGACCGAGGAGCTCTGGCGAGCTACAATGGCGATTTAAATAAACGGGATGATGCCATCGCTCCAGTTCCTGAGCTAAAGGGGTTGCTTTGCTTTTTTCCACATTCTGATAGCCAGAGCCAACGCAAGGGGCCAATGGGGGGATCTTCGGGTGTATTCACGCGTGTTGATCGGCTTCAGCGAGACCCGAAGGAGGGCCTAGCCGAGGAGTAAAGTGGGATAGATGATGGGGAGCGCTGAAGCTATTGCGGTGGAGCAGACGTTGGTGAGCTTGTGTTTTTAGTTGGATATTGCATCACGATGGACCAATGAGTCGCGAGGTTTATAGTACTAAGACTCCGGGAGATTCATTGTTCTACTCTGTTCTACTCTGTACAGACTATCACGAAGCATCACTAAGTTAGGGTTGTTCTCTTTAAGCAATGTATGGTCGCCTTCTACGGAGTACTTGCATTGTCACGACATCTTCAGCAGACCACATGGGTTGGAACGCCATGGAGTTGTTGCGCAATAATGCATGGTGCACTAGCTCCTGATCTCCGCAAGAACTGCCGACATCTTGCCGTTCCTCCACAGTCTGCCGGATCCTTCGGCGGGTCTGCTCGGCTACAGATTACGTGCTCGGTATAGACAATGAGCTCATCATAATGGTGATAACAGTGATTAAGGACATGACATGCACTTTTTCTATCATCAGACCGTTCAAATTGACAATGATATCTTCGATCGACTAGCGTTGACAGTGCATCATGATGTATCAGACTCGATGCAGGGCTGAACCCTAACATGTATGTATATCATCTCCTCTCCCGCCAAGAGACTCACTCCTGCTCACTCATCCTTCGATATGAGGGTCAGTGCATCCAAAACCCCTCTATCATCATTTTCAGCGGCTTCAATCCGTCCGGCACGATTCGGTATATTTTGCTGGATCGGTGCCCAACAGCATCCAATACGGAGTCATCCTGATCCTCCTGATGTCTCCAACGGTCTCGCACGGCCCAACACCCTCAATTCCATCTGAAGGAGCTGTTTCGGCAGTGAAATCGGGAGCTATGGGCTTCGGGGGCTCGTCGAAGATACTGTTTCTATCGACCTACCCACAGTATACGGGGTATTGCGGTGGAGATAGCCTTAGCTAAGGATTGTGTGACGACTATTTAGGACGATCCTTGGATACCCCAGAGATCCCCATGTGGGGGTTTGCCTCTCGATGCCCTCGAGCCCTCCCCAGGAAACCCCAGATCCCCGCAAGGATGGAGATAATGTGCGGAGGATTCTATACCATCAGACTCTATTCTTAAATTCTTTCCCGCAACGTTCGACATGTTTGCCGATGATGGGTCGTTCACCATAAGCGTCTTAACATCGCAACACCACTTCGCCACCAACCGAGCTTCCAAATTGTAAAGCTGCCATCAACATGTGTCGATTCCTGGTCGTTCTAACTCCCAAAGAAACAGTTCGTCCTCTTCAAATGCCATCTCCTGGAATACCCTGAACCCACATTTGCTCAATACCCTACTTGACCCCGCATTCGCCTTCTCACAGATGGCAAAAACCCGTTCCACCCCTTCGTCCACGTCCTCTCCCCGCGAACGAGACATCTCCCACCATGCCTTGAGGAGTCCCTCCAGAGCTTCAGTGGCATACCCCTTGCCCCAGACGTCAGGATGGATGGAATACCCGATTTCAGGGCTGGGATACACTTCATTGATACCGACGTAGCCGATCACCCGTCCGCCCGTGAGCAGTCGTTCAGTCTCAGGCTCAGACTGTCCATGTTCAGTTAGCACGTAGGTGAAGTGACGGCCAATCATGTCCTCAGGGCCCTCTGTAAATATCTTCGTCGCCATCCATTCGCGCGTCTCTTGGACTGACTGATGGGGTGTTTTTGGGTAGCTGGACTATCAGTCTAGACCCTGGAGAAGCGTGCAGGTGAGTACATACTTGGTCCTGGCGACTTCTGGCCGTGACCGGATAGCAAACAGATCGTCTGCGTCAGAGTCCGCCAGCGGGCGAAGGAGCAGTCTCTGTGTGCGAATCGGTGCAAGGGTGTCTGGGATTTGGACTCGGACAGCTTGCTCCGGTAGAAGAGCCATGGCAGTATATAAATCCGTGCCTTTTCTAACGCAGAATATTGTTAATGTTGAGTATGGGTGTCGTTGCTGGCAAATTCGGACTGCCAGTCCAGATTTGGTCCCCGACACGGCGCTAGTTGATTCGGTAGTAGCCGAGGAATTCCCAGAACGTTGCGGTTGAAGACGCCTGGAATAGACTGAGGATATACCTCACACCCATTTACATGTAAACCCAGCCGTATAAGGTAGTCTTTGAGGTCTGCGTCTACGATAAGCGTACCTTATCTTTTCTTTGTCCAAGTGGAGTCAACGGCTAGTCTAATTCCATCCATCTCCTTCTCCTCCTTTCTCCTAACGACACACTGTCTACCTACCCAGCAGCTTCTCATCACAATGCAGGAAACCAAAACCTGGTTGATCATTGGTGCATCTCGTGGTATTGGCCTGGAGTTTGTCCGCCAGGTTCTCGCCCAAGGACACCGAGTCATCGCTACCGCCCGCGGCGCGAGCACTGCTCTCGACGCCCTCATCCAGGATGCTCCCATAATTCTGGGGCTGTGTTGACATGCGATGTATCAAGTAGCGAAGGGATCGATGTATGGACTATCCTCCAATGGAAAGCACTCGATTACTGTCCTGACATCCATCCAGGGATTCATCGACCAGTTCGCGAAGACGGGAGAGAAGAAGATAGATTATGTCGTGGTCAATGCTGGGATTCTAAAGTATCCAAATGTACGCCCTTAGCTGCTCAGATCGAATTCCCCTTCGAGTTTCATCCCTCCGATATGCAAGACTAATATAACTATAGAGAGCAACCGAGATGTATGTACAACAACCAAGGACCACATAGACCGCCTTCATAACTCCACCAGGACTTTCGATCACTTCGCTCAACATCTGCATACCAACACCGTGGGCCCCATCATTGTCGCCCAGAAACTTCTCCAGATGGCAGACGTCGCCGTCGGCACTATTGCCTTCATGTCGAGCGACTCCGGCTCCACGCGGCGTTTCCTCTCCTTTGAAGATGGGTATGACTCCACAAATACGCAGAGGCCCACGCAGAAAGCTAACACTACCAGGTTCGCTGCATACTCTGCTTCAAAAGCAGCACTCAACCAGGCATTGCGCGTAGGATGCCTCTCTCGTAATACATACCAAATCCCTACTAACAACCCCTTGCAGCATATGGCGGAGGAGTTAAAGCGCAAGGGAAGCCAAACTATTATCCTCGCTCTGCATCCAGGGGAGGTTGCCACGTAAGTTGCTCATTTGCATTAATCATGCCAATGCTGATTGGATGAATCTGTTATAGAGACATGGCAAACATCGATATCACCTGGGAGATTGACGGCGGCCAGATCACTGCCGAAGAGTCCGTTAGAGCGTTGGTGAATGTCATTCAGAGCAAAACCATCGAACATACCGGGACATTTTGGACTTGGCAGAATGAAGTAAGCTTGAGGAACGTCTTTCATTCTTGTGTGAGCCCGCTAACGTTGTTGGTAGGAATACCCATGGTGATAGAGACAGGTGGGAAAGCAGGACAGTGCAGTCTAGGCACGACCAAGAGTGTTTAGAGTATCAACAATCATGAAGTGATTTCGCATTGACGCTACAATTGGAACTAAGGTGCAAATGGAACGCTCATTTGATAGCTCCTGGTGCCAGTAATATATTTGCCGTGTTTTCGGTTGTAGGCAGTACATAACGCTACCTAGACATGAATTGTTACACTGTACAGTGTGGTGTAGACCTATCCTCCCTCGAAGGTGTTTTCAGATGGAAGTCAATAGACAAACACCCTGGGAATGGCTACGTAGTGATTATCAAAATCATGTGGAATCACAGAAAGAGAGCTGTCATTGATGGTTAACAATGAGACAGCCACATTCATTGCTGCCCTGGTCGTCAATTAGTGAAGGATGGGTGTTCTTCAATTGGAAAGTCGATGTGGCACGCTGTAGTCACTTCAGAGCCCCTATTGCATAGGAAATGGCAATCCAAATGGATTGTCGCACTGCTCCTCTACAAAGGACTGGTCATACACCTTTCGGATATGACAGCTCATACGATAGAAAATCGATAAATAAGACTATTGGAATTCTCGTTCGAATAAACGTAATGAAAGATAACGCCCGAATCATGCTAATTACCCGTCATAAATGTACAGAAACTCATCTATAGATTGAGTCGACCATCACCAGCAGATAACGGTCCAAGAACAACTTCCTGGGCTTGTTCTGTGACGGCGCCCAAGCGGCCGGCAACCCCAAGGATACCCGTTTCAACATCCCCGAGGACCGCCGCCAAATCGTTCAACATCGTCTTGGGCGTAGCAGTGCTGCTATCACGGCTGCGAGAGGCAACAAACTCATGAATCTGCCGGTCTAGCGTCGCTTCGACGCCGTGGAGGTGGTCTTCAATTTCCTTCAAGTTGCGTGTGTAGGTTTCCAAGACACCACCCATCTCGTCAGATCGCTGAGAGAAGTAGTCGACCAGGTTGACGGGAACGCCATTGACAGATGTGGATTGATCGCCCTCAACATCATCAGGAAGAGCAAGGGTGTTCTTTCGAGCCGCCCGGACAGTCCGATCCATCTTCTGGTCCGTCCATCCTGCCGACTGGTACTGAAGAGGCAATTTCAGAGTATCAATCGCGCGGAAGGCCACCTCGGCCTCGGCCGCGTCGCGAGCCACGAGGCTCCGAACTTGATCGATGTTGGCCGCATCGTTCTCCAAGGCGTGTTGCATGGTCTCCAACTTGCCCTGGACGAACTCCACGTCATTCGGGATAGTCTCTCCCTGGCTCGCAATGCTGGGAATCATGCTTGCGACCTCATTGCACATCTTGATCTGAGCGAGGACATGATTGTCAAACTGTTCCAGAACAGTCCTAATCTCATCGGCGCAGCTTTCAAACTTGGTCGTCGGTAAGAGGTTGCTGACATCTACCTTCACACCGGGCACGACCGTATTGGTGGCGGTAGATTGTTGAGCTTGTTGCGGCGTTGCAGTACTCTGGTTTCCGAAGAGAGTGAGCGTGGGTTTCTGGGCTTGTTGCTGTTGTTGTTGAGTATTGGTCTGTCCACCACCACTGGTACCGCGTAGTTGTTAGCTCACAGTTTATGGAATGGTATCACGCGATACTTACAATAGAGACCCCCCGGTTGTAGTAGAGCCTCCCAGCCCGCCAAACAAAGGTTTCGACTGAGTCTGCGTCGCACCGCCACCGCCAAAAAGCCCCCCACCAGTAGCTCCCGTCTGTGGCGTGGTCGTGCTTCCACCCGTCGTCCCTCCGAACAAACCGCCAGACTGCTGGGGCTGCGACGTGGTTGTATTCGCCGTAGAGCCAAACAGACCGCCGCCGGTCGTACCGCTTTGTTGTCCGCCGAGCCCAGAAAACAAATTGGAGCCGGTCGAAGAAGTCTGTTGTGTATTTCCGCCTCCAAAAAGGCCACCCGCGGGTTTAGCCTGCGTATTTCCAAAGAGACCGCCCGATGTGCTTGTCGTTCCCGGAGTTGTCGCGGAGCTGGTCTGAGTGTTCGCACCGCCACTATTCAACAGAATGAAAAATTAGCTTGTTTACTGCATGCGCACAATACAAGAACACGGTTGCGACATGGATTGTAGCAATTGACAAAGCAAGGGAGACCGCCAGCGTTCGCGACGGGATATTGTGTTCATAGGAATGCGACAGAGTAGCGGATGATGGCGATATTGGGCTCGCGAATATAGCGCCAAAACAGGAGCAGGTATCTTCGTTGAACTTACAATAGGGAACTGCCGGAACCTGTGTTAATGGACAGACCGGTCGAAGGTTTTGAGGAAAACATGGTGACTGAAGGGATGATCGCGCGTGCTTCAAGAACAAATGGCACCCAGAGCCGCCGCGAACAGGACGGGAGTTTCGGGAAGAAGAATCCCTAAACAATGGCTTGCAGTAGAGGATGCGGAGGGTGATGATGTGGTTGACGATGCTGAAGGTCGAAAACAAAAGAAAGCTCCGCGCCTAGTGCCCGACGGGGAAAGATTCGCCGAGTCCGGCTCTAAACTTAAACGGAACATCATCACCAAAAAAATAGTTGATAGCCTGAGGGAATGATCGGATGGCAATTGCTGGGGTTTCTTTCCCTGTAGTTCAGAAACGCTGTCTCCTCTAGTTCCTTCTGATGCTAAGATCTTGATCTTTTTGTAATCCCAGTACCATCCATCTCTTGCGATAGCAGTTCTCTATACCCGTTTTTCATGGACTATACGAAGAGACCATCTGAGTTCTACATATAAACTTCTCATCCGGAGAACCCACAATGGATGGGAACAGGCCTGCCATATGTGAGCCGATTTGTGTCGCATCTACCCTGCCGGAAGACAGTCTGTCGTCTAAAAACGAAATCTCTCCGGAGAATGATTCCGGATCTCAGGTCCCCGATAACCACAAGCCGAACTACTATAAAGGAGCAGAGTGGTACGTTGTCCAGGAACTGAGTTGGGACCGATTGATACTGACCATTAACAGGACTCCCGATGGAACGACACTCGTAACTGATGCTTCAGATCATCATATCAGAACTTATGTCTTGTCAGTTGTTGACCTCCACTTTTCCATGGAAGCGGACTAATTGGAATGTTAGACCTCCGGACCTTTTGGAAGAGAGATCATCTCCACTTCAGTTGTCACCTTACTCTGTTCTGCCTTCGGGGGAACCAACCTATGCAACGGCTATCTATCCGTTTTACTCCCTCCAGGACCCGTCAACCACTCTCTTTCTTAGCTCAGTTCGAGATCACCCGATCCGTCTGGCCTCAGCCCTCGCGCCTGTCACACTTGCGAGTTATTCTCTCGTGAACCCTATGACAGAAGCTTACATCACCCCTCACTCAATCGTGTATCCTTCGACTCTGGGCGGCACTCACTTCCTTACCGGGTCGGATAGTCTCATCTGCCTCTTCGATGTCTCGCGCCCAGGCGGCGAAGGCCCCGTGTCCTGGATGCCGACTATCCCGAGTAAACGCAAGCAAATTGTGGGTGGAGGCGTCGGAATGAAAGGGATAATCAGCGCAATGGCTGTTAACCCATCTGGAGACGGTGTACTGGCTGCGGGTACGTTCTCAAGGCAAATCGGGCTGTACGGATCCAACGGATCTGGTGAGTCCTTGGGCACTTTCAGCATTGTCAAAACGGAGGCAAATCGGCACATTGGCGGTCGGGGAGTCACTCAACTTCTCTGGAGTCCCTGTGGGCGGTATCTCTATATCGCGGAGCGACAAAGCGACGGGGTATTGATATATGATATTCGTGTGACGGGTCAGCTTCTCGGGTGGCTGAAGGGTCGGAAAGCTCTCACGAACCAACGCATGAAGATCGACGTAGTCCCCGCTGGCGAATCGCACGAGATCTGGGCTGGAGGGACTGATGGGGTCATGAGAATGTGGCAAGATCCAACGCGTACTGTTGGCGAGCAGATGCCCACAGGGGAATGGAAGGTACATGATGGTTAGTGCATTGAAATTCCCTCCAGAAGTTTGTATACTGAACGATCACAGATGCTGTGAGCAGCACAGTCCTCCATCCCTCTGGAACTGTCGCAGCTACCACCTCGGGCCAGCGTCACTACCAAGATGATGATACTCCCACTATGGAGAAGGCACTTACGGGGTTTGATAATACCTTGAAAGTATGGTCGATGCCCTTTCTGAACGCCACCCCAGAGGACTGAAAAAGACGTCCAAGCATGATGTCTGGTTGAAATGCAACGGCGATGGGATCATAACGTCGTGGTCCAGGGAACTCTGAAGGCTGCGCGCATTAGACAGAAAGTGGCTTCCTGGTTCGTGTCTCACAGATGTCGACGTCTGACGCGCAGTAGAGGGTGTCTCCTCCATCCCTTGGCTTCGAGTCATCCAACACGCACTGCATTGGATAAAATGCGCGCCATCCTGAACAATCTCTTTGTTCGCAGTCCAGGAACAGAATGTTGACCTAAAGGGTAAACAATCAGGGGTACGCCTGCGCCACCCGTTAAAACAAGGCACAGGCGTATCTTCACCTGCAGCCTTATGGCTCCGCCAATCACTGCTGTTCACTCGAAACCTCTCAGTGACTTTGATATCAACTTGGCTATTCTACCTGGATTGTCCGTCGCCACAATTCTATTGTCCAACCGGCCCAGCCTGGTATCAATGGCTAACAGAAGAGTGAAAGATCCCTTTTGCGTGAATATCAATGGTCAAATCATTGGGGAATACCGATTAATCACGTTCATATATTCACGCTAATTCCCTCTTCTATATTCTCCCGCAATATGATGGTCATTCCTTCGCTTAAGACTTTCTGTTTCTGGCCCTTGGTATCTTGTCCTATATCTTCTTTCGCTACCATCGCTTCTCCCGTCTTCATCCCTCTCTCCCCCAAGTCTCCATCACAGCAAACACCTTTTCTCCCTTAGTACATACCCCCTTCACATCTTCATCCCTCCAAGTCGTATCCTTCCCTGCTGGCTTGTGAATTTCTTTCGACATGGCATCCTTTGTCGGCTGGTCCCTCAATGGAGACATGCCCAAGTCCCAGGAACTCCAGCGTCAAGACACCACTCCCGACCTTGATGGTCCTCAGACTGGTTTCCTCATGTCCAATGACTGGTCAGCAGTTGCCAATTCCACCGTTCATGGAGCTTCACTAATAGTTGTCCAGGAATTGGGCATCCGCTGGACCCTTCCCAGATGGGCCCTCCAGTGGACCCTTTGATGCTGGTAGCCCTGTCACTCCGATTTCTTCTCCTAACCACCCTGACCTCGCCCTTCCAATTCGCGGATGTGAACATCATGGGCGTCATGGTGGCCAGACGATTTCTGACGAGACTGAGACTTCGCGGGCTGAGTATGCGGTGCATTCTATATACCTCCCGTTTGACAATGGCTGACGAACCCTTCCTAGCACGTCCTCTATGTTTGTGCCCACAGACGATGACAGCTCCTTTGTTGTCTCATCTGCTGCGACGAGCTTCAACGACACCCCCTACGCCAGCCCCGTGCACAATCAATCTCTTACGTACCCTGAGCATGCCAGCTTTCCACAGTACGGCCAGCTCCATGGCGCACATGACACCCCCCTTCTGTCCTTCAACAACGCTTCAGCTGGGACTATGTCTAGCTTGACTCCGGTCCACGCGATGCCTTCTGCGCAAGATGTCAACTCTATCAGCTCTTCATCTGCTGGGTACAATGAATCCGACAGCGTCTTCCAGCTCGATCTAGACGCCCTTGACAGCACCCACCTCCAAAGCCAGCTCTCCACTGGTGAGAAAGACACGTTTGGAGCTTCCGAGGACGCTGTTGGCAGTGATGATGAATACTACACCGATGAGGAAGACGAAGATGCAGAGGGGGAGGAAGTGGGTGAGGACGAGGAGCAGCAGGAAGAGGGTATCGCGGCTGCAATCCTCAGTGGCAGACCACACTTCGTCCCTGATATGGCAATCTTCGAAGACCCATCGGCCAATGGTCTGGATACCAACACCTGCTTCAACGATATTGAAGAAGTTCATCGGTACTTGCGCGCTCAGAATACGTGCCCGCCCGACAACACTCTCCCTCGCACCCAGCTCCAAAAGCAAGCAATTGTCAATGAGATGGTCAAGCTAATGAAAACCACCGAATTTGCTCTTGACAACGAGAACATGCTCAAGCCCTTCAAGCAGGGGAAGCATTCGCGTGAAAGAATGGAAGCGGCTTGTTGGCAGCTCCTGGTATGACCCGCTGAGATCTAATGCGTTTGCAGTACATATTAACCTCGTCACAGGAGGCTATGATTGATCGCTCTCTCAATGGCGCTCTTTTGTGCGCATTCAACGGTTTCCGCCGCCCTAGAGAGAAGTACGCTACTTTCGCCGACAGGATGAGCTACATCTTCGAATGCCTGGGTCTGCACAAAACGATCTGCAAGCGCCTCATGGACCCGCCCTACATCTACACTTTGGTTGACGACCCTATCGCTGCAGATAAGAGGGTCAGGTCCAACAAGAATCTTAACGCTCGCAAAGGCAACTTGATCGTTGCAGGCAAGGAGGCACGACAGCAGCAACGGCAAGGGTCAGACGACGAAGATCTGGGTCCTAAGAAGCAGCCTCCGACGTCGAAGACCAGGACCTCCCGGGCTACGGCGTCGAGAACCAGAGCGGCAGCCCCTCTAACCCGGACAACCAAGGTGCAGTCCCGAGCCAGGAAGGCCCGCAAGAGCGAAACTGCGACCGCCTCCACTCCCAACGCGCAGGTCTCTGGAACCAGTGCTCCTCCGATGAATCCGCAGCAGAACGCTTTCCCTGTCGCTCCTACGAACCTCGCGTCTATGGACGGCCACGTCGGTGCGAACGCCCACATGAACGGCTATGTCCCTCAGCACACTCCGGCCGGTAACATTGATTCTTACCCGGGTGCCAATGGCTATCATGGACATGATAACGCCCCTTTTCATGCGTTCCAGCCTATGCTCCTTTCTGGTCCTCCGGCCTCCGCTATGCATATGCAGACTGGACAGACCCCGGGGTTTCATCACCAGGCTCCGATGGGCGTCGAGGCTGGCATGGCTCCTCATGTCGCCTTTACCGGACCCTCCTACGGACCTGCACCCATACATGGAGCTCCCCCTTCGTCGCACCCTCAGGGACCGGTTCGCCGTATGACTGAGCCCATTGCTTTTTCCAACAACTATCCTCCTCATTTTCTGCACAACCACGGTACTCAATACCTCAGTCACAGCACCTCTGACAATCCCTACGTCGCTCAACCTCCGATGGTCCCCCACATGGCGTTCTCACACACCCAATTCGGTGGCGTTACCACTCCTGTTACTCCGTTTACCCAACCCCATGTTTCTCCTGCTACGCAGAATGGGCAGAAGCGCTCTTCGCCCGATGCTCATAGCGGTCGGTCTGGCTCGCCCAAGAGGAGGCGTTAGTTTAGCTGATAATCGTTCTACCCGTTGATGATTCGCTTTCCCTGCTCCGTACATCATTTGGCTCTGACTTTGATGACATTTGACGACATCGATGATATTGACGACTTTGATGATTGATGGTCTGCGGTTTTGTTTTGCTCTGTTTCTTCCTTTATTCTTCTTTGTGTTTCTTGTTCCTCTCTTGTGGTTCCATGCGATGCTTCCTTCCGCTTTACGCATCTGAAGTGGCTTGCCTCTGCAGCCCTTACATACCAAGTCTGGGCAATCTTCCGCCGTTCTGGATACGAACGAACATTTGTGATACCCAACTTGAAGATTCCATGTTGAACGCCTGTTCTACGGTGCCCTTGTCGGTTGATTGCAACTGATTGTTGCCAATTTAGGCATAGGTCTAGATCCATTTCCCCGACGGGTGGTTCCTTGTCTATCGCCGTCAGCATTTGTACTTAGCATCCATTGTTACTCATCGATTCTTACGCAATGCAATACTCGATTCTATTCTGATTGCCATGTTTAGAAGCTCTCAATGATCAATCGCCGTGTCGGTATGGCGTGATCGCACCTCATCGGGAGACCCACCCCCAGATCCCTCCGTAGTATCCTTCCGGATCGACCACTAACGCACCCGGGATGGTCTCCCGGGTCATCTTTCAGTCTGCTTACCACGCCAGTTGGGGTGATTCTCGCCAACGATGGTGCCATCGCCATGATCGCCGCGATGCGTCATGTAGCTGCGACATCAGTCATGAGCTGGAAGAGCCCCATGCTCCACCGGAGCTCCCGGCCTGCTGACGGCTCTATATAAACCGTGTCGGCCTTGTACGTTCTCTCTCTATCAATCCAAGCTCTAGTTTTCAGCAATCTCACCTGTACAGTTTCTGCGTCTTCACAATGGCTCCGTCCCTGGAGGATCCGACTGTGGTCTCCTCCTCGCCACGCTTCATTGTCCCAAAGCATGACGCTCACAAGAACATCCACAACAAGTTCCAGTACACACCAGGACGGACTCCTGTCGAAAACCATGATGACTACCCTCACAATGACTTCCTACCCACCTTCCCCGACATCCATTGGCCCCCTCTGCAAGAGACTCCCTACGAAGACAGGGGCCTCCACGGCGACCCGCAGTTTCGCCATCTCCTCCAAGACGCAACCGACGTTTTCGATTACACGCCCAAGATCGGGACCGAAGTCCACGGCATCAACCTAGCCAAATTAAACGACCAGCAGAAAGACGATCTGGCGCGCCTCGTCGCCGTCCGCGGCGTCGTGTTTTTCCGCAACCAAGAAGACTTCGACATCGACGCACAACGAGAACTAGGTCGACACCTGGGCAAGCTACACAAGCACGCCACGACCGCCGTACCGCGGAAACAAGGACTGGAGGACGTCCACGTGGTCTACACGGGGGACAACTCCAGTGACCAGCGCGCACTTTTCACCCCGAGCTTCCTCTGGCACTCGGATGTGACCTACGAGATTCAGCCGCCGTCCTATACCTCGCTGAAGCTGCTGACGGGACCTCCCCGCGGCGGCGGCGGCGACACCCTCTGGGCATCGCAGTACGCCGCGTACGATGCGTTGTCCAGCCACATGCAGACGTATCTCAAGGGCCTGACGGCGCTGCATTCGGCGGACATGCAGGCGTCTGACTCGCGCGCGCTGGGCCGGCCCGTCCGCCGCGAGCCCGTCACAACCGAGCATCCCCTTATCCGAACGAACCCGGTGACTGGCTGGAACAGTCTGTTCTTCAACCCGGGGTTTGTGACCAAGATCGTCGGCATTCCGAAGACCGAGAGCGATGCTATCATCCGGTATCTCACGGAGGTGGTAGCGACTACGCAGGAGGCGCATGTGCGCTTTCAATGGGGCAAGAATGATGTTGCGATTTGGGATAATCGGACGACTGTAAGTTTGCACGATGAGACAATGGAGATACCCGATCTAACGAAGACAGAACCATTCCGCTTCGTACGGCTTTGCGCCTCATCGACGGCACGCTGTCCGCGTTGCGTGCCATGCGGAGCGCCCAATTCTCGATCCTGCAGGGAAATCTCAGGAGGAAGAACACATTGCGACATACAATTTGCCGCCGGTCGACAAGGACGGGTCGCGGCAGTCGAACTACAACGACTGAGTGTGGGTTGGGGTTGGATGATTCTGCTGGCGGGACTCATTGTGTGATAAATAAGCTACTACATAATAAGCATTAGAATGCATTTTCTCATTTATATAAGAATGAAGCACGTAGAAGTTGTACAGGTAGAGCTGTAAGCTGTACTCCGTAAGTATCCTCGGCAGGACTGATGGAAGCAGCCGGTCTTGGCATTCTGGAAATTTCTCGGATGGTCCAACTCCATTTCTTCCCCGATCCGCTCTTCCTCTTCCTTTTCCTCCCGTCCATCCCCACGCTTCACCTTCACGACCTCCATTGCCCTCTCTCTGTGCTATCTTCCGTCTGCAGGACACTTCTCAATCATAACAATGGTAAGTTTCTGTCGACATCGCCAGTTTTCCCCCTTCGCGTCGCCCTTGCCGACATTCTTGGCTTCATCATCGATCTCCAAGCTCCCCAGGTCATCCCCAGCCCAGCCATTGACCCAGGCCATCCTCGCTGACATTTCTCTCTCGCGCCAGTCTTTCATCCGCAACATCAAGAGCCTTGCTCCCCTTCTCGACCGCGTTCTGGTCCAGCGCATCAAGCCCGAGGCCAAGACCGCCTCCGGTATCTTCCTCCCTGAGAGCAGCGTTAAGGAGCAGAACGAGGCCAAGGTTCTCGCCGTTGGCCCCGGTGCCGTCGACCGCAATGGCTCCCGCCTCCCCATGAGCGTTGCCCCCGGTGACCGCGTCCTGATCCCCCAGGTACGTTTTCCCTCGATACGTTCCGTGTCCTTCCGACGGCAACGAAGCCATCGATGATCGTCGCGATTGCGGGAAGAATTGTACTGATAGACTATTCTAGTTCGGTGGCAGCGCCGTCAAGGTCGGTGAGGAGGAGTACACCCTCTTCCGTGACTCTGAGTAAGTTTGACTGCCGATGAACGCTCGTCGCACACAGCTAACGAACGTCTTCTATAGGATCCTCGCCAAGATCAACGAGTAAAGAAACAGCTTACGGATCCGAATCGAATCGCGCTTGCATGTTTTCCCTTCGCCCTTTGACTCGCGCTGAAATGCCCGAGTCGAAGATTTGTATTATACCATCCCACCCGTCCTCATGAACTCCGGTCGTGCGCTGCGCCTTGAGAAGAACAAGAAAAAAGTAATTCAGAGAACTCACCCGGTGATATCGGCCGGACTCGGTCCGGATCCTTGTTATCCCGCTTGTGTTTCTATTTGCATTTGTATCGTTGACAGCGTGAAATGATTTTCCTTGGCATATCACTCGATGTACTTTTAAATAGCAAAGTCGCCATCATCTATGCTGTCCGCTGGATGCATGGGTAATTGGATATGATAATCTCCCCTCTGCCTTACACTACATGGTAGACTTTCTTCGTCTAACGTTTGGTCTTACATTGTGAGTGGTGATGATTCCTGGTCTCGAGGAATGTACTCAACGACCCTAATGTCGCACCCAATGTGGCTGGGAGGTTCTCTGCGTGTTTTTTGGGTGAGTCTCCCCGGTCATCCTCGGCGTGTCGCTTCGGGTGATGTGGTACCAGTCTCGTTTCGAGTGGAGAGGTGCTAACGGTGGGCTCGGCAGTGGACGGAGGAGAGTATATGGACATGATTGCGGAAGAGTCGTCGGGTGTGCTGTCGGCTCCGACACCCATCCCGGTCAGTGTGGCACAGGCTATCCTGCTGAGATCATCTGGGTTGGGAGTCGGTTGAAGGCCGAAGAGGTTGTCGTCACATGGTTCATTTTCCAGATTTCTGGCTGAGGTAAGGAGTAGCGGAGGGGGTCTCCTTGTCGTCAGAGATTCCTTCAAAGGAACAGGATTGCGTCGCGTAACGTCCTTCAATAGGAGAAAAGCGCTCTTGGAGCAGTTGAGTCTCTCCTTTTGGATCTGTTCCACCACCCTCTGTCCGTAGTCAAGCGAGTGCGTAAGGGCGTCTACGGTAGAGGGCTGGTTGGCGACGCTCTCGACAAGCCTTGCATCTCCGTTCTCTTCATTATACCGAAGAGGTGAGCTGGGAAGCTCTATGGGCGCACCGAGGCGGGAAAGAGGGAGCTCAACCTTGAGGTCCTGCGCTGAATTGAACGGGGGTAGAATCTCGGCCCAGTTGATATCAATCCGATCAGCTCGTGTCTCGCGGAGTACGGATGACAAGAATCGAAGGGCGTCCTTCCTGATGTTGAGTTTGTCGTTGCGAAGGACCTGGTCCAGGTCGTCTGGCACGTCGTAGTCTGGCGGTGGTTGAGGCTGATGTGCCTCAGTTGGATCCTGAGACGAGTCGAAGAACAAGCTGGAGTCGATTACAGTGAAGTCACTGGCGATTTCGTGGCATCTGGCATATTCCAGTAAGGAAGGTTCTTGAGGGTTGTCCATGGGGATTTAGTTATTGAGGATGGTGGTGGTGTATCTGTGAGGGTTGGATATATATTGTTTGGTGGGGTGTAAACATCTTAGACAAACAACAAACTATACCCTTCAGACATCGAACATGCAGTTATATAGCCTCATGAAACCTCCCATAGGTTCCATTATCATTCATTCTTGGATGCTTATATACACTTGACCATACCCACACAGCTTCCTGTCTTTCATAACGATGTATCCTGTTGTGTGATAATCGGTGGAGCACTAGTCTGACACCAGGCGAATAACTGGCAGACATGCCCGTCAGTAAGTGGAGGCCAAAACTAGACAAGTTCTTGAAGGGACTTCCGCCTCCATGACCATGAACTGTCTCTCGATGTTTGTCTCCTGAGCTACACAATGAGTACAACAAAACCAGAAAACAGCACCTCGTCACCGGTAACAGGCCGACGAGACTCTCGGCCAAAAACCCTCCTTTGGCGCCTGCATGACATTGTCGACCGAATCATGGTCATGTAAGTCCCTTGATATAATGTACCAAAGGAAACACAAATGACCCTAGAACTAGATCCGGAATCTGCTCCGCCAGTCTCCCGATAGCATACTATCTCATGTGCTGCTACTATCAGGGAATTGACAAAGGGACATGTCGCGAGCAGGACCGCGTTCTCATGATCATCCTTGGGGGCTTTTTCCTTGTCATGTACCCGTTGAAGTTTATCCTGCAGTATTATGCGCTGCGCTCGCAAAGTGCAGGGGGCCAGTGAATGGTGAAGGCAAGAAATCTCGTGTTTGGATAATGTGTTATGCACCCCCTCTCTCGCTTCCTGCATATCTGGATAGGGCTTTCTATCCTCTAAGTGATATCAAAAACCCTCCATCTTTTAAGAAACCTCAGCATAATCCAATATTAGGACGTGGACTCCACAGGTAACATACATACATTGCTGCAGCATACAAAATTGCGGTAGCCGTAGCTCCGTATCGTTCCAAAGTACAAGCTAACGATGTCATCCCTACGGAATTATTACTACCACTTCCTTACGAAGAAACTTTTCCATTACAAAGTTTGACATTACATATCCCCCCGTCTCTTTTCCATCACCTGAGAGGTATGTTCGCTCATCTCTCATCATAGTCGACTGTCTGGGCGCACTTTAAAAGTCAGCCGAAGCTGAGCGTCATACAAGCTTGCTCTCATCAGGTCGTAACAAGTGTAATCACTTGCCTTGATGATGAGAAGGATGTCCTGCTACTTTTGCAGACATCGCTGAGAGGCATGGAGGATCATGGTGTTGGTTTTCATCGTTGGCCGCGCCCAAATATCGTAACAAGCATGTCGCCTTGATGATGATAATGATGTCCGGATGCTTCGCTTGCATCGCATCACTGAGAGGCATACTTCCATCTCCCCTATACCCGAGATAACAAGAGTCACGATGAGAGAATGCATTGAAGGGAGAGGAGAGCGCAAATCTACGATAGGAGGCAGGATATATAACCACCCTCCGTGCCCTGCATGAGGGTTGGTGGGTAGAGGAGAGAGCTTTTACTGAACTTCTTTCCTGTAGGGGACAGTTATTGCCCTACTTCTAGTTGTCGATAAGGAAGTAACTAAGTAAGAGCATATTTTGCAGGAAGCTATGAGAGAGGTCTAGGTATGACTTGAGTAAGTGCAGCTCCTCGACATTCTGAAGGGAGAAGCTGCTATGAAGTAGGAACCTAAGGCCTACAGGTGGTGTGGATTTAGCACTACAATGGTGGAAGCATTGGCCGCATTGATATTCCTGCGATAAATGAATGACAGTGATCAATCCTCTATACTCAAGGATTGCCCATCAAAACCATGCTAGCCAAGTTCAAGCTCTGGACCATCACGAGCACCGCCAACCCACTGATCACAATCTCCTCTTTCAGTCTCTCAGACAGACGACCGACCATTTCAAAGGACCCAACCTCCGTGACAGAAAACACCTTGTTATGGAATCGAGCCAACACCTGGCTATTATGCTGATTCACAAGTTTGAAGTCACCAGTCAGAGCCCCATCAGCCTCCCAATGAAGGACGGTGCCTGCTAGAGCGATGCTCTCAAAGGCATAAGTGCGCGAGAAGATATCGAGCCGCCGGAGAGTGACAGGCTGGTCGTGGATGGAGAGGGCGACGTCCATGCTCAGCTTTTCAAATGCGGCGGTGCATATGCCTGTGCTATTGCCGGTATCACCACCGACGTTGGGATTTGAGTCTTGAGGGAGTCGTACCAGCTGCATCTGCGGTGTATGACGACACACCTTCACGGTGTACAAAGGCGTTATGTCGTCCGAGTCGAGCAGCGAGAGGCGTTTCTCTCGGTAGTGGATGTGAATCATTTGAATAGGGACGGGCATGGCTGTTCAAGAGGTACAAAATGGCTGTTGGGATGAAAGGGAAAAGGGAGCAACAGTAAAAGGACAAGGCTTTTATAGACCTGATTTCTTAACGACAGCCGGCGTCATCGCTGATAGATACTACCTACTTACTAGACCAGGAATATAGGATGATTGGCCAGGAGGCAACGGTTACCGAACAGGCCAATAAGACCACCATGAACTGTTGGTCTCCGCATTACCTAGGTACCTCCACTGAATCGGTCATACTTACCTACTAACCGTCTACGGAGTAGTAAGATGTCTCACCACATGACAGAAGAGTGTTGGGCTGACTGCTCTTCCGCACTTCATCCCGTCTCAAAAAGCCCCATCATGTCTGCAGAGACATACACGAAACCCAGAGGTAGAACAGGATGCTTAACATGCCGGTAAGGCGTCACTCCAACCAGGCGAGACCAAAACCGGTACTAACCACAGACAGCATCCGGAGGATCAAATGCGACGAGGTCCGTCCCTTCTGCCGTCGGTGCACCTCTACCGGCCGGTCTTGCGACGGATATGAGCTAGAAAGTCCCATCATTCGTGACAATGCCATGAAGCGGAAGGGCAAGAGGCTCTTACAGCCCCAGAAGCCGGCCGCGGGTTGTACGACATCTTTGGTTTCACCACATCATCCTGGCTTATTTCCCCATCTGTCTCTTACAGAAGGTCAGGGGTTTGCTTTTTTTCGCCAATACACAGCATCTGAAATCCCAGGGGTGTTCATATCTTCTCAGTGGGAGCAACTAGTCTTCCAGTTGAGCCACTGCGAGCCATGTGTTCTTCATGCTGCTGTTGCTGTTGGCATCATGCATCGCAATTCAAGGGGGCGGTGCCCTTCGCTCCAAAATGGGAGCATCTTCAATGTTGGAAGTCCGTTCGCCGTTCGACAGTACATCAAGTCAATCAATTATCTGAGGAAGCGCCTTAATGGCCCAAGAGACCCACAGTGTGGACAGGTTGCGTTGATAACGAGCCTGTTGTTTATCTGCTTCGAGATGTTGCAGGGCAATCGACCAGGTGCCATGATCCACTTGCAGAAAGGACTTCGCATCCTATGCAGCTTCGCACCGGTGTTCATGAGACTGGACACTCAGACTGGAACGATTTATTTTGACACCAAACCTCGTCATGGATCCACAGCCCTTGATTTGTTAGCAAGCACATTCGCACGATTGGACTTCGACTCCACGATGTTTGGTGAACTCAGTCCTGTACTTACGCTCCTTCCTCCAACGAGTCCGATGGGCCCAGAATTGGGAGTATCAGGTACCTTCTCAAGTATTTCAGAAGCCCGGCATGCTCTAGATTTCCTTGCAAATGCTGTCCTCCGGCTTCGGGGAGAACTTCTCCAGCTTAGCGTCCGCGACCTGGAAACGGAAGAAATCAACGGAGACCGGGTATTCAGATACTGCAAATACTATGCTCACTCCCGCAAGGTAGACTTATCAGGCTATCCAGATCTCCTAAGGCGACAGGCTTGGCTCCAATTTGCCCTCGAAAAGTGGTCGGCAGCTTTCGCTTTGCTAAAAAATGACATTCGTCATTCCTCCCTACCACCGGCCATCGTACTGGAGATCCAGCATTTCTACATGCACTTCATCGTGTCTACATGTCGCGACACGTATGAAGCGCGCTGCGACCAATTCAACGATACGTACATTCGCATTATAGACATGGCCCGCCAGCTCATCGCCCGCACCGATAACGCACAAGGAGTTTCTTCACCTACTCTTACTTTCACCTTGGAGTCCGGTATTATCCCCTCTCTCTACTTGATAGCGATGAAGTGTCGCATCCCGAAACTAAGACACGACGCTATCTCCTTACTTTACTCAACAAGGTGCCAAGAGGGAATGTGGGAAGGGGCCCTGATCGCGAGGTTCGTTGATGAAGTCGCTAAATGTGAAGATGAAGCTGCTGGGATTTCCTATGGAAAGAAAGCTACTTTAACGGATTGCAGCATTCCGGAGTTTGCGCGTTTCAGCGATGTTGTTATTGCCTTGTCAGAGACACCTGGCTATGGCCGGTTAGTATGCGCTCGATATCTGCATGAATCAACGGGCGAGCTGGAGGTAACGGAAAGAACATGCCGGCTCTGTATTTAGAACAAGATCTTGTAGACGTGGCGGGAATGACTTAGTTAGAGATTATTTCCTCTATAGATAGCGGTCTTATAGGTCTTCTTTTAGGGCAGTTATTACTATAAGCTATCTTTTAATGGCCTAGTATTGCTTCTTTATTTAAAATATCTCTTTTTCTACGACGTCTAAGTAATTTATAGTTTCTCTCTCTTTATTTCTCTTAATCTATCTAAGTCTACTACCCTTATTCTATTAGTTGTCTGGAGAAGGCCTCTGTAAAGGACTCAAGCCTAGGGCTTAGGGCACGGAACCAGGGCCGGCCCCGCTCCTTATCATGGTTATCGTTCAGTTGGAAGAAAACGATTTCATCCGTCGTGCCAAGTCCAAGGGCATGGACGATGATGCTCCATTGAGCATATCATCTAGCTTCGACCACTTCCTCGCACGAAACGACGAAGCGGAACTCGCCAGGAAGCACCTGGATGCAGTTCAATACGCCGCACCACCTGGTTATAAAGCCTCCGTGGGCTTCTCAAACTCCTTGAAGGCCAATGTCCGCTATCGGCTGCAAACTACATCTCCATGACTAGTCTTTTCTTTATGCTCTTTGAGAAGATAAAAGATGAATTGAGACGGCGGAAGAATCGACTATCCATGCGAGCCTTCGAGAATGATCCGGGAGTTTGGGACCCGAGAAAGAGAGTTAACCTTGCCCTATTGGCATTGGCAGAAGAGCACGATGAGTGTTTGAGTGTTTATGGCACACGAGTTCCAAAATCCCCGATACGGGTTGATGGCATGTATCTATTGGGTCGACCTATCCGTAGCTCCTTCCGATGACGTCGCTCCTGTACGAGCGAGCTTTTGAGTCCCTCACGCTCCGGGATGCCACTGTTAGATAGGCCGATAGGAGCGAGCATGTTGAACAAACATGACTACTATTCTTCTCCCCCCGCTTGGTTGGGATACGTGGATGGCAAGGTTCATACTCAATCTCCTCCACCTTTGGGTACAGCCAATGTCATGAGACTTTCCTTGTTTACTCAGGCAATGGCCCGCCTCCATTGAACCAAGCGCAGACGACAGCCCAAGGAAAACCGTCACTGCTTTGCAACGCCTGTCTAGGTATTTCAAGCAGTTGCATGTATTAGTCAGCATCACACAGTCAAGTCCAGCGAATTCAGTTGGATTATGATTATAACATGGCATACTGCGGATAATTTTTCCCATTCCTTTCTGGATTTTCGTAACTTGATCGAGCCATTCTATCATATATATCGTACATGAGAGGAAGAATGTACTCCAGCTGAGGGAGGAGGATATCCGCCGTGGGTATACTTCCATTCGTCCGAGGCGTCTTGATATATCAACAACACAGTGACAGACAAAGATAAAGAAGGAACGTTCAAAGAGGCCGAAATACGAGATTCATTTGAATAGAGCAGTAGACAACGAACCTTGACATCCCCATATTGGATAACCAAGAGACTACTCCGTACATCCAACAACCCGCCTTGATATCAATCCATACTATATACCATACCCTACGACACCTGCCAACAAAGAAATCAACAACAGATCCAATCCAAACCACAAACAACCACTCAGATCAGACAAAACAACGTAAACCCACCAACCAACCCACAAGGCCCGTCCCGTCCACATGGCCCGGGAGAGGCCCACGCCTGGTCAACGAAAGTACCCGAGGCCGTGCATCCGGAATCGCTTCGGACGGACGGAAGTCCATCAACCCAACCAGCCCCCTCCCTCCCCTTCCACACGCTCCAGGAAAATCCTTTTAGTCCACACACCTAATCGAACCGTTGATCTGATGCTCGATCGGAAACAAGATTAACTTAAGCTTGGAGCTCTGGTGGAGTTGTATGTCTTTTCTAGTTGTATTTTTTGGTGAGCTTATTCT